TGAACGCCCCCACATCGAATATCGAGTGAGAAACGAAGCAACCCCAAAAGTGTCGCCCCCGTTGAAGCCTTTGCCTCAGCAAGCAAACGAGAAAAAGCAAATAGCAAACCCCGCTCTAGATTTGCATGGCATTCAAGACTCGCTCGAGGACGATATCGACGCCGTTTACAGTAGCCTACATTCAATAAATGCATTGTCAGCTTCTTTTGTCCAGCCGCGTATCTCCCTGTCCTGGACACTCATCTTAACGACTTCCCTCCTCTGCGCCGGTCGTCTGTCACCGGCCCGCGACCCAAGACGGCAGCCTAGACGAGCTTCACCACCTTCTCTGCTCCTTTGTCCGTCCAAATGGAGGGCGATGGGTCGCAGCCCACCCAAGGTATGCTCCTTCATCACATCCCCGGTTCTGCCGTACTACGAGTACCGGCGCAACAGACTAGGAACTGACCTCGGCCCTTTTGCTGCTCAGCTACCCAGAATGTCCTTGATCCGCGCCGCGTAGGCAAGCAAAACTCTGGCTTCTCTGACGACGACATCTCTGATATCATATGCCTTCTCTACCCCCACTCAGAGTTCGCCCGTCGCGAAGTACATCGGATAGCCCGCGAACACTCGCAACATGTCGTCGGCAGGGAAGAGGCGGATGCCGTGGAACCGGACTACGAACAGGAGGACAGAGCCGACCAGTTTCAGCTGACGCCGCCCAACATTGAGCACGCCATCATACTCCGCCTGTCTGCAAAGACCAAGGCTCCGCTACATGGCTTCTTGTTCGGCAGGAACGTTTCACGCTGCGATATCTGCTTTGCCAATGACCCCATGAAGCGCCTCAGCAATATCCACTTTCGCATCTACGTCAATGAATACGGTGTGGTCATGCTGGAGGATCAGTCAACCAACGGAACCTTTGTCGAAGGGACGCTGTTGCGTGCGAAGCCCAAGAACGCAAATGAAAAGTGCGGCACGAAGAGGGTTCTTAGCCACGGCTCCAAGATCAAAGTGTTGATGCACAACGAGCAGCATGACTTGGAATTCCTGGTTCGGATACCGAAGCGGGTTGGCGAGTACGAAATGGCGTACAGCACAAAGCTACAGCACTACTTCGCCACACTGGCAGGTTTGCGTGCGAATCATAATGAGACGGTGGTACCGGGTCCCGGTGGCCATGTAAGCTGCGCCCCCTTTTGCGTCGTCAAGCGCCAGGAACTAATTAAATCAGGTCGACTTGTTCGCTGCCCCTAGGAGACCACCGACTGCCACCACGCGGAGAATAGCATTGCCGTCTGGAACCACACAGGATAACGTCGATCGATTCCCGAGGGACTGGGACGGTTCCGGCAAGTACAATCGGGTTGGCCAGATTGGCAAGGGGGCCTTCGCGGTCGTTTACAAGGTCACGTCTAAGTTTGACGGAGTCCCATACGCCGCCAAAGAGCTCGAGAAAAGGCGGTTCATCAAGAACGGCGTCTTGGACCAAAAGGTGGAAAATGAGATGAAAATCATGCAGAGGGTTCAACATGTAAGCTGTGCCAGTTGGTCCCTTTCCCGAGTTTACAACCACTGACCCGAGAAAGCCAAACATCGTCCGGTATATTGAGCATTTCGATTGGGACAATCGACTCTTCATCATAATCATGGAGTTTGTCGGCGGCGGCGACCTTGGCAAACTTATCAGCAGTCGTGGACCCTTGCAAGAGGTGTCAGTCAAGCAAATGGCAGCTCAACTGCTGAGTGCCTTGGCTCATCTGCACGAGAACAACATTACACATCGGGATGTCAAGCCCGACAATATTCTCATCTCGTCACTCAACCCCTTCGATGTCAAGTTGACAGACTTTGGTCTCTCCAAGATGGTTGATAACGAGCAAACGTTCCTTCGAACATTTTGCGGCACTTTACTGTACTGCGCGCCGGAAGTTTACTCGGAGTACGCCGAGTACGACGATAATGGCCATCGGAACCCCCGTAATAGAGCGAAGCGGGCAGCGGTTGGCCAGAGATACGACCACGCTGTCGATGTCTGGTCACTCGGTGGCGTGCTCTTCTATGCCCTCACCGGCAACCCGCCATATCCCGTCAAGAACGGTGTCAGTTATTCAGAGTTGCTCCACACAATCATGACAAGGCCCCTTGACACACTTCCGCTGGTGCGGCAGGATATCTCGCAGCAGGGCATTGAGTTTCTCTGCTATATGCTGGAGAAACGCCCAGAATGCCGCGCGACAGTCAGGGAACTTCAGGAGCACCCTTGGCTTGGTGTCCACAGAGTAAAGCCTTCGCAAAATGGTGACCAGTCATTCGACGAAATCACTGATGAAGATGAAGAGTTGCAGGTCAACGCATCTCAGCTGAGCCTGGAAGAGGGACAATCGCGTTGTCTAGCCGACACGGAGCTGCCTTTCGAAGAAAGTGTGGATGATATCGCCAGGGACTTTATCGAGGAGGATTCGGAGCAGGAACATGGGACGTTTGGTCCTATTGGGCAAGGCGCTGGCCCCAGACTTTTCGGAGAGGTCAACAGATCTGCTATAGGCAATAGGGGCGCAGTAGCGGCGGAGCGGCTCAATCTCCCAGTGGCCGATTCGGGCGTCCTAGGCAACGAGAGCTTAGGGTCTGAAATACGGGACAGTTACGAGTCGGAAGATGCCTCGACGATCATTGGCAAGAAGTCGGAAAGCAGCGGGGGTGCTCGGCTTTCTGTCTCTGCGGTCGAAGGCCAATCCAAGGATCAGCTGTACAGCCTGGTCGAAAACGTAGCCTCTCAGAGTCTGGGCGCAACTGATCTTGGCAGCGATATCCAGATGGAATCCGCGGCTGCTTCTCATACCAATGGGACGTTCTATAATGCTAGCAAACGGAAACCGTCGTCAGTTGACACAAGTGACGAGTACGAACCGCGACCGCGAGCGAATCCCATCTTCAAACGCCTCAAGTCGGAGGGCAACCTCGATGCCCTCGCAGAAGAGGAAATGGAGGAGTACAGATTGCTTGCCTCTGTGCCGCAGATCAAGAGGCTGGAATCCGGACGTCAGATCGATGGACCTTTCAACAAGATGCACTTCTGGGGAAAGGATATGAGTACATGGCACCTCCGTTATCCTGAGATGACTCAGTTGCAGTACGAAATGTTCAAGAAGGCTGCACAAAGCCGGGGAGAGGAGTTTGGCCCAGGCAAGTCGCCATTGTGGGAAATGGCTTTCAAATACTTCCCACCAAACAACGGCGTGCCCGCTATGCACACCCAGAGTCAGCCCACCGTCGATGAGACAAACCGGGCCCTGCTAAAGCGGGATGACAGGAAAGTCCTGGAGGGCACGGAATGGGACATTCCTGCCACTGCCCCCCAGCCTGAAGAAGATTCGCTTCCCGACACTTTGCCGCCAGAAATGCAGCCCCAGATCATCGTCCCCGTTTCCGACGACGGGCCGAAACGAGCTGTTGCTGTGCTAGAGTCGGCCCCCGATTCATTGGTTTCCGGGATTTCCGTCCCTGTGACGATTTCGCTGATGTCGTGGGGCCGAGGACCTTCCAATACAGTCATATACGAGCCCAAAACAGAGGTCAAGATACCCAAATATGCCCTCAAGATGTTGCTGTGGAAAGACGGCTACGACCCTTCCAAGGACCCTACTAAGCATCCATGGGACAAATACCCCAATGGCGAGGGATTTGCTTTTTACCTGTCAACAAAAGCGACAAACGGGATCTTCCTCAATGGCTACGAGCTTCTTTCATACGACTGCAAGAATCCCAGTAGCCCATCGAAGAACTGGGTCCAGGTCTACGATGGCGATGAGATTGTCGTATGGGGTACCGCTGCCGACACAACAAGCCAGACAAAGGTGATTTTCCGCTGCTTTTACGGTGATTCCTCAAAGCAACGCCGCCCAGACGCCCCTCTCAAGCTAGTATCCTCATCGGTGGCACGCAAGATGGACGAGATATGCAACAAGTACGAGAGAAAGCTAAAGACGGCAGCTGAGCAAAGACGGAGGTACAACGAAGTCGACAAGGAGTTGTTCGAGCGTAAGCAGAACATCGAGAGGGAGCGCGAACGCAGCCGTGTCTTTGAGGAGAAGCGACTCGAGGCGCTTAGGTTCGTGGCGCTGAGGACAGTGTCTAGAAGGGGCTCACCGACTAGCGCGTCCGCGACTACTATTCTTCGAGGCCAGACGCCGGGTCTAAATGCCCCTTCACCTTTGCAAGAGACCCGATCTAGTAGCCCTTAGAACTGAGAGGCTGGCCACAACGCTTATCTCAGGGGTTCCTGGAGAGCGTCGTGATGGGAGGGGACATCACGGACGAAATGAAAGAGCCTCAAGACCTCGCCCCCCCTAAAAAATTTCCTCAACATTGCGACGATGAGGAAGTTGATATTTATAAAATATATCGGGTTTGGCGCTTTTGTTGTTAAAGGGAGGAACGCGGGCTGTGGAGCGAACAAAATAGCGTTGGATTCGACAGACTTTAGAAAGCACATGTTCAAGCAGGGCAGCTTTTGCCCCCCCAAATGGATCTGGTTATTGTGCAAGACAGCGCCGTTGTTGATGGGACATGGTAGAATAGATGACTCCAAAAAAAACACAAGACTCATGAATCAACATGTAAATCATTGTTATCAAGCCACCCTTGGGGGCACGGGTCGATGAATCCACTTTGTCCACACGTGGTATCATCTCGTGATTTCCAACTTGGACGCGGCCGATCCTCCCCAGCTCCCCCCCTGACAGTATACCTCACAGGACACAAGAGGCAGTATGCCCAGATAGATCATCATCTCAAGTTCCAATCGTACGAAAGGCACCATGGACCGTGGCATTCTCATTTTCATTCCGGGTCGCGCTACTTTCGATATACAGGTCGCAGTTCGGTTATCATTCTCTTCCAAATATATTATGTGATGAGACAGGGTCGGCCGCTCTCCGAGTATGTTTCGGAGAGTGTGAGCCTGCCGAAATTGAATCCACAGCCGTAGAAGAATCCTTCCCATTCCCTAAAAGCCCCTCCGAAGGCAGTATGTGCCTAGTATCCCTCGGTCTCGATGAAAGCCTAGGCCCGGCATCGCCCAAGACCCCGACGCATCCCGGCCCATAGAGAGAGCGTCCGTCCCCTAAAGTTGAGAATTCTCTTCAGGGCAATGGTCGTCCTGAATCCCAGTGTCTGGGTCCTGCAGTTGTTTCCTCGGAAGGACATTCCAGGGCGATACGAAAAACACGAGAAAATTCCGCGGGCGATGGTGAAAGTAAAAAAGCCGTGACTTCATAGTTCATTGCGGAAAGGCCGTTAGAAAGTCTTAGCGGCGGTGATAATAAAAACCGAAATGGGAAACGGGTCCAGCTAGGTAGAGAGCCTGGTTGAATGGCGAGGAGGGAAGAAAGTGTGGTGACGAACAAGCATATTGTGTAATCAAAGGAAAAGGGTAAAGTAGCCAGCAAGACGTTAAAATGCGAAAAAAAAGAAGAGTCATACAAGAAAAAAGACGAAGTAATCCGTAGCAAAGTTCTGCAAAATTGCTTGCGGGCAGAGTTGTATAGCTTGACAAAATTCGTTCCCGCCATAGAGTCGCATTGTGATGCCATCGTTTAGCTAAGTTGCCGAGTGACAAAGAAAATCGACCCTGATTTCCATGCGGAAGGATTCAGACATGTGGTAGAAACTGGCAAGAGCTGCCCTCTGCGAAGAGTTGCTGCGAATCATGTCGAGCCCGTCTTGCGCCAAGGGACGTAGTTATCGTAGCCTGGGATGAGCAGGTTGTGGACGTCGCTGTCGGACATGTCGTCCGGAATCTCCATGGCACATCCAGTAGAAGGAAGTCTGGGTTCGTGAAGAATGCTCTTGCTCGCGCTCGAGAAATCAAAGTTAGTATCAGCGTCGTAGGGAATATCGTTGGGAAAGTCGTGCTCAATATCTGGTCTTTGATCGGCCGAACAACCAGAGAATCTGCGAGGGAAGCGAGGTCGGGACTCTAGGAAGTCCTTGTGTATGCTGAAAGGCTCTGTGTCGTGGCAAGTCCACTGTCTGTCTGAAGGATGTGAGTGGCGGGGCTGAGAGAAACGCTGACGGGCAGAGTCGGAATCCGAGCTGCCTTGATGAAAGCCTCGATCGTCCGGGATGGCTTCTTGATCTTTCGAAGGAAATGATGCGTTGAGTCCACCGTCATGATCAATGTCATAGTCTCTAGAGAAGCTGTTGGTGAAACCAGGGTACTTGCAATTCCGGGTTGGGCTAGAGGCAAGATTGGAATATGGATCTTCGAGACACCAAGGCAGATCAACATGGCTGGCACATGGGCCGTCATGTCGTGAGGACCAGTTACACTGACAGTCTGTACCAGAGCAACAGTGTTCGCCAAAGGAGCTGAGAGGAGGATATGATCCCTCGGGAGCGACCGGGTTGGTGGGACAGGACTGGTTCTCCTTGCCTTGATTGCAAGGGAAATTGTTATCACTGTATGGCTGATATTGTCGGTTGCTGAGATTCGGCCGCGTCTCATCGAAGTCAGACGGCCCAACGTCAAGACCAGAGTTGCACACCCTACTATATCCCTGTGAAGGGCACAAGGTGTTTAGATGCTGCTGATTGTCGCCTGGTCTGTTTGAGGAGAAGCTGTATCCGCAGCCTGAAGCCGCAAAGGCATCACATCCAGCACTGGGAGCACTCCAGGAGTTAAAGCTTTCCTCATCGACACTGTAGCGTGGCAAGTGCAATTGTCCAGCACTGTTACCGTCAGGGTCTTTTAAGGGGTCCTTAAGCGGAACCGCCTTCTGTCCTTCTCGGAGTTCTTCGTGGTAATTTTCGTGTCGAAATTGAGCATATGGTCCATCTCCTTCAGAATGTTCTCTTTGCCAGTACGTCGGAGACGTGCGGACCTCAACACGCTCGTTGAAGGTCGCTCTCTTGGAAGGCAATTTTGAGTCCGAACTTAGCAAGGACGAGCCGGCTTCGAGAATACTGTCCCTTCCTGCCATAGACGCTTCGGGCGTGGATGGTGCATCGGGAAACCGCTTGGCATGCGGACAGCTGACTGGAGACGGCTTGTAAGTTCCAGAAGTCATGTCGCAGTTCGCACTCTGATTGCACGACTTTTTAAGGTCATCGTCGACGGCAGACGTTCCGTGTTTGATGCATGTTGCCGGAGAAGCCTCATCGTTGTCTTCATGTCTGTTGACTGTCGACCACTCAGTCCCGCATTGGTCTTCTTCTGAGGGAGTCGCATGGCTTATCCTGCCAGAACGGCGCTTGCGAAGCCGCTCTATCACAGATTCGGATGGAGAATTCTCTGCTGAAGTATCCCCGGGGGGTTCATTGTTGTTGGCGGCATCAATGTTCAACACTGTTATTGATCGATGGTGTGAGACTAAAAAGTGAGTTCCCTGACCAATGTTCCACCTGTCATCTCCATCTTCGTTGATTTGCTGTCGATCAAGTTCAGAATCGCTTTCGTCAGAAGACTAGATCATGTCAGTTACAGGTGAATCCCGAATTCATTGGGACAAGGGAGAGGAAGTACGCTGCCGAGGAGAGTCTCTGTTGGAATCAACGCCTTTCTGGAGACTTTTTTCATGCAATAGGCGCAGAAGTTCTTGACGGGCCTCTGATCTTGGTTGATGGGATGCTCCTTGTTGAATTGAGAAGACCGTGCAAATCCACAGCCGAAACAAAAGTTGGCGTAAGTCTTCATAGTCTTGCCACGGCTATTGACGAGGTGTTTTGCGTGGCATCGCCTACAAAAGTTGCGCCAGGCCGGATCTCCAGACTTGAACTTGCGCACCCGGTGGTGCTCGTCGGATCGACGGATGCCACAGCCACAGCAGTAGTAGCCGTCGGCATTATCATCAAGATGAACAGATATATCGGTGGCCATGCTTTCACTTTTACCATTTTGCTTGTCGCCTATGGTGCCCCTCATATGCTTGAACGACTGCTGCTTTCCATGGCGTGATCGATCAGTACAGGCTCCAGTGTTGTAGATGACTCCGGTATCCATGTCAGAGACTCTTCGAATAGCCTCAGAATGGGCGTGGGGTGCTTTCTCCATGTCAATAACCGACTGAGGCTCTGCATTAAGTTGACAAAGACTCCGGGCATCAGTCGTTGAAGAGTCCGGAGAAGCATAAGATTCGCTCATTTTTGAGCCCGAGCAGCTAGTGTGGGAAAGATGGTGGGTTGCAGCTGATTGAGCAACCAATTTTTTCACATCCGCCTGGGAATAATAAGCCTTCAGACGACCGGAAGCACGACTCGATTTGATCCGTCTGCGGCGAGGCTCTTCGACTAGTCCGCTCTGGCGTTCGTACCCATCGCCAGCTTGCTGTTTCTGGCGGGAAAGGTCATTCCACACAGATGCTAGATTATTATCAGTATGATCGAATTCTTCGAGCAATAGCGGGGGTGTTCTTACAGTGACGTTGGCAAGACTCTGTTCCTCCACCTTTCGATGCCCAAGCTCTTTCCTTCGGTGCCATGCTTCCAAAGCTCATGTGGCTCCAGGAAAGCCCACGATACCCCGGAGAAGTAAGCGTTGTGCAAACTGTAAAGAGAGTGAGAGGTTCCGCAAATTTGGGATGGGTTGGTAAGTAGCAAAAGTTCTCAAGGGTGAAGCAGGAGCAAGAAAACAGCGCTAGAGGCACTCCTTCCCTAACACCACAACTTCAAAGCCCGACCACAGAGAGAGCATCATTCCAAGTCACGTGGTCCCTGAAATACGGAGGAGACATGTATATGTTTATGCTGTTTTATTCTGCTACTTTCTAAGGCCCTTTCATAAGGCATCCTTCACTGTGTCCATGGCAGATGACGTTGCAACAGTACGACATAAAGTCAACTTGTAGAGGGATTATGTATGAATACCCAGGCTTTTCAAATACACAAGAGTTGATTCAATAGTATTTGCAAGAGCTGATTAAAACTATGTACAGGCCTACGATATGTTCTGGCACGCATAGCTTACTTAACCCAGGGGCCAGATGAGACCATCAAAGTCCTGAATGCAACTCACCAAACATTGTCCGAAGCTCTTCGGGCATGCTTCTCTCACTCATGTGATAAATGCAGGGTAGACAATGAGCTTCGTCGCATTTGATAGTGGTGGAACTTCAACAGTGTACGGTAAAGATGTCATGATTTAATAGTGTACATTTGCCGAAGCGTGCCTTTTTTTTCTGTCTACATGTAGAATCTAGAGCCACCTATCCCTATCCCAATACAAAGAAATGAGATGCGATCACGAGGATGTGTTTCCCGGTCGCTCGAACGATTTATTGACTTAATCAACTCTGAGGACTCTGGGGCCGCGCTTTTTTGTTGGCTTCTTCTTCTTCTGGCCTCTTTCGAAGGCAGCAGCGGCCGTGTGATCACGGCCAATATTGTCAAGGTCCTTGACCTTGTAAATACGGATGATCCAGTTCTCACTGGTGAATGCCTCCTCGACGGTGTTCAGGGTAGGGCCAACGTCGGGGAGGCGGACGCCACGAACACGGTCCTGAGCCTGACCAGCGGGGAAGAGCGAGTTGTAGTTGTAGTATGACATCTTGTACCTGAGCAGTTGTCAGCATCCGTTCATCCTGAGTTCTTCAGTCACTTACATCAAGCTGTTCTTCATAGTCTCGGTCGCCTGGTCATCGACTCTGTACTCTCCACGGGGAGTGAAGAACTTGCGCTCCTGAACCTCCTCAGGCCAGATGCCCTCAGCGATACGGACCATCCACAAGAATTTGTTGATGTCGTCTCCAGAGTAGCCCAGCAGGCCACCAAACACCACCAAGACGTAGTCGACCTCATGCTGGCGCATGATAGGGTAGCTGACCTCCTCGCGAGAGCTCATCGCCTTACCGACAGTTGCGATGTGGGTGTTATTCCAAGTGTTGTTGTCGACAAGGGTCGGGCGGTCAGCCATGCCACCAATCTGGTAGCCGTAATCCCACCAAGACATGATCTTGGCGTCTTCCTTCGTGTTCTGGCGCAGCCACTGGTAGGCCTCACGATAGTCGTCGATGATGTGTTGGCTGCCGTCGGGCAATCTGCTCGCAAGGACGACAGAGGGGGAAGAGTAGGCATTGGAGGTGACCCAGGTGCAATGAAGCACGAAGAGAAGCAAGAAGATAGACATGCCACCGACAACAACTGCCTTAGAAAGGAAAGTGTATATGCCAATGACAGGCTTGTTGGTCGACTTAAGTCCACCCTTTCCAGCCTTCTTGGAGGTTCCCTCAATAGCATCCTCAGGCTTGTAGTCTTCGGGATTAGGTGACTTGAAAACCATGTAAGTGTCGAGGATCTGCGAGGCCGCAATGGCTGCCGCAACGCACACGACGGGGGTCAAAGTGAGCATCAAGCGCACCATGACACCTGCGAAGTATGTGCCGAAAAGGGCGTAGACGACAATGAAGACATGCTCGTCCTTAAGGTTCTGGAAGCAAAGGTACACTCCAGCAGGGAACAGCCAGACCAGCATGTTGAGGTCGAAGAAGAAAGCAGGCCAAGCAGTGGGCTGGTGCTCGGAAACGGAAGCGATGATGGGGATATGAATCTTGGCGTATCCGGTATCCCAGAGAGAATAGAAGCGACCACCCCAGGGAGCAATGTAACCAAAAGAGGTCAGGGCTACCAGGCCAGCGAGCGCAATGCCAAAAGTCGCAGCCAGGAATGTGTAGACGAAGGTCTGGAACTGGCGACTAGGGATGGCGCCTCTGACATAGTCAATGAAGGCGACGAGCTGCAGAAAGCCGAAGACGCCTGTTTTTCAGATTAGTCGGCGACACTTACATGGGTTTTTTTTTTTAAACTTACCCAGGGCAGGCATGTGCTCGCTGGTCTTGACGGGCAAGAAGCCAACAAACGGGATCTGCATGCTGGCCAAGGTTCCAAGAGCGTACCAGGTGGTGTAGCTGACGTAGAGACGGGCGCTGTATCTACCCATAAGGATCAAGGTCAAGGCATGCAAGGGCAGCATGTTAGTGATGAAAGCGTAACCACCCCACGAGGCAACCATGTAGCCGTAAAACAGGGCGCAAAGAGCTCCCCAGAGCATAGAGCCCAGCTTCAGTGCCTTGATCCACAGGAAGAACGTGAAGACAAGAAGGAAAATGGCGATAGCCTCGTTGTCATAGCTGCCAGCAACCGACCGAGAGATGTAACCAGGCGCGATACCCATAAAGATAGCTGCAAGCAAGCCGGCCGAAGGCGAGGTGGTCATCTCATTGGTGAGGAGGTAAGCGGCGTAGGCGGTAAGGCCGGAGAAGGCGGGCGCGAGAAGGACGCAGATGTTGCGGATATCAACGGGGACGGTAAGAGCGCGGAGCGCGTGGTAAATGGCGCCGCTGGTTACCATCAGACCAGGGTAGAGGGTTCCTCCAGTAACCCGACCGAGAGGATGCCAGGTGCGATCATCAAACCAATCCCAGAACTTGTAGAATCCATTGGCGACAAGATATTTCGTAGCTCTGAAGTTGAACCAGGGGTCGACTGGAGCACAATTAGTACCGGAAGCGAGAAGGTGCCCTGAGCGAGGAAAAACGAACATTCGTGAATGATACTCTCGAAGCCTAAGTCGTTGTATTTAGCATATATCCAGAACGGTTAAGAAAAGAAGCCCTCGGTCATCAATTGGCGGTGGTGAGGGAGGGGAGTCGACTATGAGCAAAGTGTCGAGGGGCACTTACGAATGACGGAGAAAAGACGACTGGCAACAGCAGCAGCAGCGATCAGTGACAAGATGGTGACTCTTAAAACAGTTCTAGTATTCTCGTTGCTGCCTCCGGAGAGGGGACCCAGAGGTTTGGCCGTCATTTTGGCCGCGATTGATGTGAAGAGGCAGTGGCCGTGATTGTGAAGGTTGCGAAATGGAGCTGGCGACGACAACCTACTGTCTCACCAGGTCGATATCTGAGAAGGACAGCTTGGAGCTTATGCACCTGAATCCGTGGGGCAGGGGGGCAGGTGCACGGTCCAGCGGAGTCGACTCGCTCAGTGGTGCGGCCCAGTCAGTGGCCCAGTTGCCCACTGACAAGCGCCCCAGTCGTGGCTTCCACAGTACCCAAATGTAGAATTGTATGTAGTTACGTCACGTGCTTCGGACAAAGAATGGCCCGGGTTGATAGAATCCGGGGTGGCCGGCCTGGCGTTGGGGATGTCGAGGTGTGGGCTCTGAGATGTCAAACTGAATCATCTGATGACGCGGAGTAGAGTATAGGACATATTCTCCATTCATACTCACAATCGAACGAATATTGGATCATATGGGAGCTCTTATTCAATTCCTGAGATGAGGTTTGCCTGATGTCTACTATGCTTTAGATAGCTATTTTCAGTTTGTCCATAGGTATCGCTGATGGGGATTAATTGGTTCGCTCGTTCTCCCGAGACAAGGCGTTTCCAGATTATTTGCCAGGAAGCTACTGCAAAGAACCTGATTAATCATAGCACCATGAGACTGGTGGTGCAGATAGGCGAACAGAAGCCCCATTAAGCATCGCAAGTCAGTGTGAACACTTGCCGACCTGTGTCTGCCTCCTGGCAGTCTGCCGGCGATTGGCAGGGACTCAAGCCCTGCACAAGAGGAAAAGTGATGAGTATCATCCAATGGCTCGTCCCTTGGAATTGTCATCTAGTTGAGCGTATTGTACACATGTACACCGGTAAACAGACGTAAGGAAATGTTTATGCAGTGACATCAGGCGTAGCGCCTTCCATGCACCTACTGCTGCCGAAAGACCGGATTATTAGTCCCTTGCAAGGACTCGTCGTGGTCTCTTTGTGCAGGCGTATTCCCGATGCTGACCCTGTCTATCCGTTGTGCAAGTCGTCCCCCATACCAAGCGATCATCCATCTTACGGGTTCTGCTTCACCAGGTTGTTGAAGTAGGCCTCAAGATCAAACTTGGGGTCCATCGGGTCGACGTTAACTGTGTCTTGTATCAGCTCTATGGGCCTTAACGCAGCAACTATCGATGACGACAAGTCTGTCTTGCGCTCTGCAAATACTCCTTGGGGGGAGAGGGGAGAAAGAAACACACCTCCAGCATCAGCAGCCGCCGACTTGAGTGGCTGGTTCTTTTTCGCAAACTCAGCCTTCGCCTGTTCGATCAACTTCTCCTTGCGCTCATACTCCTTCTGGGCGGCAGCAGCCTTCTGGCTTGCTGTGATCGATCGCTGATGTGTGAAACCGTAGAACACGCCCAGACCGAGGGCCGTGTATCGCAACACCTAAAGAATCCATCAATCAGCCGAGCTGCTCCTATTCTCGTGACGAGCGTATCATGTCCGGGCTCGATTCGGTTGGCGATGGGCGCTCGTCGACTCAGGGAGGATAGTGCGGCTGGTCGCTCCGCAGGATGCGGACGAAGGACAAGACGTACATTAACTCCTGAGGAGGATGACATTTGGGGCAATTGCCTGGATTGCGCGACCGCTTTCGGGAGGGAAGGAGCGATGGGAGGGAGCGATGGGAAGGACAGTGCGCGGGTTGACAATGGCTGCCAATTGACCCTTTCGGAGCTCTGTCGAGGGAATTACGTTAGGGGACGCAAGGTGTGAAGTTTTGAAAATATGCGAGCTGGCTCGGGAAAACTCGCAGATTTTCCACTGGTTGGCCGTCTGGTCACTCCCGGGCGTCTGGAGCTCGGACGGGGAACACCAGCCCAGCACTAATGCCAATGGCGCGCCGTGGTCGCCTAATGCCTGCACCTTACGTACCGCGACATGCTGACTGTGAGAGCTTACAGCGGCTACCTTGCCACGCAACTCACGCTTGCCCAGTGCACATTGCCCTGCGTGATAGGTGGGAGGACAGTTTTGCCGGTCCTTTGCCGATCTGGCGCAATCACGTGTGCTAAGTCTTGCTAGGGACCAAAGGTCAACTTTAATGCAAGGGCCACTAAGGCAGGTATCTTCCTGTAGTCAATCGGCAGCTGAGGTACCTGCCTGCCAACAGGGGTCCCTCCCGAATCGCGACGAGACAACGCGCATGGAGAGTAATCCCCATCAAGCCAAACGGACCGGGACACCACAGCGGTCGAACAGTCGTCACAATACCTGTCAACAACGAATCGATGATTCGCTCTCCCTAGACCGCCTCCCCCAATTAGCTAACTTGCGCACTCCATCTGTTATTGAGACAGCAGTGTATACCTTCCCCGCGATTGCTAGTCACATATAGTCGGCAAGTCCCGCGATGGGATTGAGGAGAAGTCAGGATGCAACAGCGACGAGATGAAATCCTAGCGAAGAAGGCTAAGCTCGCGGAGCTCAAAAGACAGAGGGAGCTTCGCGCAAGCCACGCAACGACAAGTCGGCAAAGCGCAGGGAGTCCAGGCGACGTATGTCGATTCGATCTCCTTGCTGGCGCAACTTACTGACTGAAGCAACAGCTTGTGTCCCCCGTTCCAGGCCGAGCCGAAAACCGCCGCGATATCGAGACTTTGATCAACAGCTTGGTAGGGGAAAGTAGACCCGGGTCTACGAATGGAGGGGCAGCATCGCCGGCTCGTAGGGGCAGCCGACCAAATAGCGTTCTAAGCGCAGGGGAGTTGAGCACTGCAACCTCAGAATTCGTTACCCCCGCCAACGGTCAGCCAACGCCCACTCCAGTTGTACAGCTTAGCCTGACAACGGCACCGCTTACAACGGTATACGAGTGCCCGCCTTCACCCGTGAAAGAGGTACATTCCTACAGCAAGGGGGTGCAGACGGCCGAAGCGTGGACATCGCCGACTCGACCCCGAGCCCAGTCGCTCTCCGACAACGAGGACATTCCCCCAGTTACATCGACGCCTAACAAGAGGCTGAGTAGAAGGCAAAGAGATCGGGAAGAAGAGTTGCGACAGGACATCAGAAAGGAAGTGGAGGAAGAGTTGAAGGCTTCACTGGATTTGCTCAAGGATGGCGTCATTCCAAACGATGCCTCCAACAAAGCAAACTACCCCATGCGCAAGCTCACCACCGAAGAACTTGAGGCCGTTACAAGTGCACCCGACTTTGCCGATTTCCTCGAGAAGTCCACCAAGGTCATTGAGCGAGCACTCGATCAGGAATACGATATCCTCACCGACTACGCACTACAAGGTCAAGACGTTGACGACGAAGATGACGAGAGCGGTAACTTCGGTGGCAAGGGTCGCCGTAGGGTGAAGGAAGTGGCACAGTTCTTTGATGAAAGGTGGTCGAAGAAGCGCATGATCAGCAGCATCGACTTCTCACATCATCATTCCGAGCTGATGCTGGCCTCGTACACCAAGAATCCGACTGCGCCGCATGAGCCAGACGGCCTCGTCCAAGTATGGAGCTTGGCCCTACGCGATAGACCAGAATATGTTTTCCATGCGCAGTCCGATGTTCTTACAGCCAAGTTCTCGCCGTACCACCAGAACCTCATCATCGGCGGCACTTACAGCGGTCAGGTGCTCCTATGGGACATGAGAGCAAAATCGGCACCGGTGCAGAAAACGCCCCTTACTGGTTATGGACACACACATCCCATCTACTCAGTCGATATTGTCGGTACCCAGAACGCAAACAACATAATTTCTACCTCAACGGACGGTGTTGTTTGCGGTTGGAGCATGGACGTATTTGCCCAGCCACAGGAGCTGCTGGAGCTCAAAGCCCCACCCGGATACAAGCTTGACGATGTCAGCCCGACTTGCTTGGCATTCCCTCAAACTGACCCAACCTTTTTCCTCGTCGGTAGTGAGGAGGGCACGATCTTCCCCTGTCACAGATACGACCGAGCTGGCGCAAAGGCCGGTGTTGATGCGCGGGTCAGCTACAAGGGTCACACGGCACCTGTTATGTCAGTGGACTTCCACCCTGCGCGCGGGCCGGTGGATCTCGGTGACTTAGTCCTCTCATCGTCACTCGACTGGAGTGTCAGGCTGTGGAAGGTTCGCGCGCCTGCTGCGACTTCAACCGCAGGAGTTGAGCCAACGGTTTCACCGCTCATCGACTTTGTGCGAGAAGATGTTGTTTACGATGCCCAATGGTCGCCGATTAAGCCCAGCGTGTTCGCACTTGTCGATGGTGCAGGATGGCTTGAGTTATGGGATATCACGGTCGAGACAGAGGAGCCCGTCGCGAGAATATCGCCAAGCTCCCGCAAGGATGGTAGAACCATGCTGGCTAAGAGCTTGAACAAGGTTGTTTGGGAGCCTTCCGAGGGTAAGCGTCTGGCCACGGGAGGCATCGATGGAGTGCTCACCATCTTTGAGGTCACCTCTGGTCTGGGTGGTAGAGATGATCTGAAGGCGGAGGAGTGGACGAACGTGAAGAAGTTGGTCAATAGAGTTGAGGCTCACGGACTCAATGGGGCAATGGTATAGAAACCAACTTCTTTCTACGTACGCCCCACGTATAGGGCGGGAGTTACTACTATTCGATTTTGTTGGTAAAAGGCGCATGCTTTGTATACCCTGATGCCGTGTTGTTCTTGAGTATGTCAATCTTACATGTCATACAACCATTCCTTGCATCTAGCACCCACGACTTTCCTTCTATTGTTGGCACAAGCGAGTATGGTTGTTGGTGGACACCACCAGGCTTGGTGCCCACCCCAGAAAGCTGAAAGCGATGTGCTTAGTCATTCGACACATAAAGGGCAGTATCGGGGAATAATTTTCTCATCTTGACCAAATTTCTCTCCATCAACTGCCAGCTTTCAATAACAGGTGGCTATGAAACTTCAAGGATTGCAAATGGTAAGTCGCTGGACTGGTTTCTCTCTTACTCTTTCACGGCATTATGATGAACAAATTAGAATTCTGCAATGCTGAAGGCCGCAAGGCCGTCCTGTGGATAAAATCTTCGCGTTACTGCAACACTGAGCCTGTTTCTCAACCATCATCTATTTTGTACTTCGACCCTTACGTACGGAATCACTGAGCTAACTAGGAAAAGAATTCCCGCAGATAAACTGAACCGATATCCATCTCTCACTTATGTGTTGACAGGGGCACCGTCAGGATAGCGACCACCCACGACTTCGAACTTGGCCAACGTTACGTCGATCTCGCTCATTTCCTCGTCAGTAAGCTCAACCAAGTTTGCATTCTCATTGACTCTCTCTGCCGTCGTAGCACCAGGAATCGGAATGATTTCCGGCATGCCGAGCCGCCTCGACAGCGCTATCGTCCATCCGATGGCCAGCTGCGCTGGGGTGACTCCCTTCTTCCTCGCCAGCTCCTCGACCTGTTCAGCGAGCTTAATGTTGATGCCGAACGTGTCAGGTTGGAAACGCGGCATGTGGCGGCGTATGTCTCCTTGGGGAATGTCGCCCAGCGTTTTGATCTGGCCGGTGAGCATGCCGCGGCCGACAGGCGAGTAAGCGATGATTGGGATGCCGTACTGAGCACACGCCGTGGCGACTCCGTTGTCGAGGATATCCGTCGAGAAGAGACTGAGCTCCACCTCGACACCGACAATCTTTGCGTGCTTGACGGCCTCGTGAATAGTTGCGGCCGAGACTTCGGAGAGGCAGATGCCGCCGACCTTACCGGTGTCAATGTACTCCTTCTGAATGACACCGAAAGTGACCTCCAGGGGCGTATTCTTGTCACGGCGCGCGCACTCGAAGATATCAACCTTCTTGCGGCCTTTGAGCTGCCCGATGATGTTGTCAAGGGAGCGACGGATGCCCTCTGGGGAGCCGTCAGGGTGCAGGTCCGGGCGGAGACCGCCCTTCATGCTGAGCACGACCTTGTCGGCGTCCTCAGGATATTTGGCAAAGTAGCGCTCGAGTAAAACGCTGCTGTTGTACTCTGGCGTTCCGTAAAATTCTCCGCCGTTCCAAAAATTACAGCCGTTCTTGAGTGCAGCACGCATGGCCTCGAAGGCTTGTTCTTCGGAACAGGGCTGCGGGCGCCAGGTAAGGCCCATCAGGCCGTAGCCGATCTGGCCAACTTCTTGTCCGTTAAGATGAGGCATATTTTGGTTGACTGTCGTGTGTGTGTGTGTGTGTGTGTGTGTGTGTGTGTGTGTGTGTGTGTGTGTGTGTGTGTGTGTGTGTGTGTATGTGTTGATAGTGTTGTTGTCAGGTCACTGGATAGTTGAGTAACTTTATCGTGAGCTATAGGGTAAGTAGGGTATGACCGCTGTGCCCGTGCTATGTATACCTTTGTCTCGGAACGCTTTAAAGCTGTCATCATCACCAATCGTGACGTGAATAAAAAAAAAAGAGGACTTTGTACTGGAACCGTATGCAAGTACCTGCCTAGGTACCCCCCACTCTCTCTCTTTCTCTCTCTCTTTGTGTTCATAGTCAATAACGAAAGGTGAGACGTACTTCGCAGTATAGAGTGGAACCCTCTCGTCCACCCTCAAGTCTCAGTGGCCTGATAGGCCGGCGTTAGGAGAGATCGCCCCGGAATTAGCAGCAATAAGTTTCTTCGATTCCCGACCGATCGGAATCACACTATCTTGATCTGAAGGACTGGACTCAGGCACCCGACCAACCACTCGGAAGTAATCACTGTCAGACGCTTAAATCCACCCCGTTGGCAGTCTTACGCCGAGAGGCTTGGCCACTACACGTGTAGGAGCAACGGCTTCGTAAGCATCAACGGCCTGCAATATCTCATGCCCGAGATCAACGACCACCAAATGTTCACTCCATGCAGACAGAAGTGCATTCCCACGACTACGTTACTCCCGTCGGCATCGGGACAGGATCAGTCGCTGCGCAGCAATGCCTAACAGCGACTTCGGCAAGGTCACTGCGAAACGAAGATTCACTATGTCGTGTCACTGAAGTTTTGGGTTCAAGAGGCAAGGTACTGATTCGCATTATGGGAACGCTACTTTTGATAGAGAACGGCATAGCTGAAACCATACCAACAAGCAAGTCTACGGGCTCACTTTTGCAGCTTCAGATATCAACAAGCTTTTCCACCTCTTCGTACAGCTGCTGAACATTTCCCGCCTGTATCTGCTGCGCCTGTGCTTGTCCCAGCCCCAGCTTCTCCTTACTCGCTGTTGCCTGAGCCCTTTCGAGCCCAAGCCGAACAGCGTGAACCTCCTCTGCCATCTTCCTCTCCTCCCTCTCGATCTTCGATCTAGCCTTCTTGGACTGGTGGACTGGAACAGCAACTGTGGTGCCTGGTGTCAGAGTAGGGGACGGGTTCTTCTTTCCACCGCCGGTAGCGGCAGACGCAGCAGCAGCGAAGATACGCACGTCGATCGTCCCCTTCACAGGCAGCCCGGCCGCCCGACGCCACCAACCCGGCAGCTCCGTGAGCCCAACGTCCGCGAGCCCCTCGAGCGTCACCGGCATCTGATGTGTGTACCGGCACTCGGTGCCCCAGCTGCACTGGCCCGTCTGGCACCAGTGCCGGCACAGGCTGCCCGCGGGCCGGGGGACCTTTTGCTTGCCCGACCTAGGGGGCTTCACGGTGCTGCAGATGCTGCTTTGCGTCCTCGTCCGAGACGACAGGTCCTGGCGGGTGGTGCACTGGGTGTCGCCAAGCTCGACCATGCGGTCCGCGACCTCGGCTGCCGACTTCTCCTTCCTGGGAGTTGGGACTTGCTGGGTCTGCGATTCTTTCACAGGAATGACCGCCGTGTTTGGCGTCGAAGACGCCGAGCGATCCTCGTCTGTGGCTGAGAAGTTGTCGGTGGAGACGGACTCTGTGTCTTCAGCCCAGTCTACAACTCGAGGAGCCGTCAGCTCCGGTGCCGGTGGCTGCGGCTGGGTCGTTTCCGTGGCCATAGTCGGGCGAGAGGGTGGGACTCTTGAGTCTCCCGTCACAAACTCGGAAACCCACCTCGTCACCGGGCCATCAAACATAGGTTCAGGCGCAGTACCACGAAGTCGTTCAATCTGTTGGGAACATGTGTGATTGTCGAGTGCAGACGGATCACTTTGACTGAGGCCTACAGAGCTGCTAGGTTTGTCATTCGTCGGAGGAAGAGGGCATATCTGGAAGACACCCTCCGGCTTTGTAAACATGCCCAGGTTGGACATGCCAATCGTGTCCTCGATGCCCATTTCACGCGGTACTCCATGGATTTTGATGTACGCGGGCAGTTGGTCGATAGGGACGAGAGGTACGATAGTGCCACCCTCGCGGACGATGAAGTGCCTGGGTCGCAACTGCCAGTCATTGTCGGTTTGTGGATTGTGGATGGACCGAGAAAGACCCCTCCTGTTGCTGTTGATTGCATGCATCTTGGACTGGCCAGAGAAAAAGGAGGCCTTCTGTGACATTGATGTTAGGTGTTGAATGAAGTTATTTGAGAGTAGCAAGTGATCAGAGAAATGCGAAACGTTATTCAAGGAAAGGGTGGGCTGGAAAAGAAACACATAAGGGGGAGAGGGCAAGTATACCTAATGCCCATGTCTCGTCTTCTATTGCATTCGTTTGTCTATATGGCAGCTCCAACATGCTCCATTCGCCCAATGTTTCCTGGCACGGCAGCATGCGCCTTTTCCAATGTCGCTTGCGTAGACATTGCAAACGAAATTCCACGCCATATCAGACGTAGTCTACATGCAAGTTCCCGCGAGACGAAAGGAAAGCCATCCCCGATAGGGCTACGCACGTAGGGGAACATAACCTTCATTGATCCTCCACACGGATCCTGACATCCATCCCGTCCACGCAGAAGCCTAGCTGCCTAGGTCCATCCTTGAGGTTGACCTCCCTTTTCACCCACCTACCAACCTTATCCTCGCGCACAATAGTATCAGTCCTCATTTCAGCTCTCTCACCGCTCTTCCCGGCGTCCTCATCGTCGCTGCTATTATCCGCATTCTCGTCCTCATCGAACCCGCCGACAGGATCCCATTCGCCCGTCTCCCATACCAGGTGGAGACGCAACGGCTGCGCGCCAAACAACCTTCCCGCAATGCCCTTAACGGCATAGATGTCGGAAGACTTTGGAATTGTGACAGTCTTCGTGGTCTTTGTCATGTGCGTGAAATGAACGGTAATTAGGCGAGCCTCGAGGTAGTTCGGATTAATCTCGTCGCGGCGAATAATGTCCGGAGAGCCATATATGTCGCAGAGCTCCGCGTAGCGGGGGTGCTGAGCAAGGACTTCAAGCTCGGCAGCTTCAGGAACAGATGCGAGCTGCTTAGCAATGCGGGAGAGGTAAAACATTTCACCGTTGGCGCGGTCCGTGGCCGAGATCGGGGTAAAGTTGAGGGCCTTCAGAGCGCCGAGGCGGCCAATGGTGATCATAAAGGCCTCGTCCGTCGACTTTATCTGGGCGCCACCGTCGACGGCATTCGGGTCGGGTCGGTCGTAGACGGGGTTGTGGGCGAGCCGGAGGGCCGTGAGACCTGGGAAGGATAAGGGGAGAGCGTCGATGAAGGACCATGTCGTGATGGCGTTGTAGGATATGTCGAGGTACTGCAGGCTTCGGGGAAAGACGGGTGTCGAAATGGAAGGTGGGGTGATGGTAGAAATGCTGTTGCCCTTTAAGTGGAGGTTACGAAGGGAGGTGAGAGAGGATAGGGATGCAACATCGGCAAAGGAGGTGAACTCGTTGAATTCGAGAGTCAAGGTTGTGAGCGTGTTGGCTAGAGCACCGAAAGAGACGGGCGGGAGGACGGACAGCTGGTTCAAGCTACAGCTCAACGTTGACAGGGATGGAAACTTGTGAGCGATGCCGCAGAGAGTACCCCAGTCCAGCAACATCTCCTCGAGCTCCAAGTCCTTGACTTTTTTGAAAGCGCTGGTCTCCCCATCTTCGATAACCCGGAACCGGTTGCCACTAGGTACAAGTCAGTTGACACGATGCACGAGATCGAGGGCCAAGCAGAACGTACTTGAGTCTTAAACTCCTCAGGCTTTCAAGTTCTTGGCAAATCTTCACTACTTGCCCAAACTCCTCAAGCAGATTTCTGCTGATATCCAGCTCCGCGATGAGAGGACTTGTCTCCCTGACGCTCTTGTCCCCAGGCGCAACGTCGGCGGTGATACGGGCCCCGTCGAGGATCACAATGGTCAGGTCCTCAACGCGCGCAAGCTGCCGGCGAATCTTGTCGAAGCCGACCTCCTCGGCGGGCTTCTTGCCGAAGAAGACAATCTGGATCTCTGCCTCGCGCTCCGCCACCGCCTCGGCGTTGTACTTGCTGTGCAACGCAGCAACGAAGCTCTGCACAGCGTCGGCGGGGCGGGATGGCCGCACAAACGAGGCGGCTGTGGGGTTTTTGGAAAGGCCTGTCCACGCTGATTAGAGATCGGGTAACCAAAGCAGCAGGCCAAGGAGAGCAAGTTACATGAGAAATACCGGACATCTTTATGTCGGCCATCATGCTTCCCGCGTCCAGCGTCGTCCCATTCTACGCCGAGCCATGTGCCCGATGTGCCAGCGACGGGCCCGATGTAGCGGACCGTGCAGAGCGCGCCATCATAGGACAGCCGCTGGCCGATGTGATAACTAGGCGCCATGTTGAATGCCGGTGGTTTATTAACACCGCTGGTGTGGTCGGCAGCTCAAGCTCATTCTTCGAGTGCTTGGTTGATGTTATGTTCAGGCAACAGAACTTTCCACATAAGGTGGGCGATTGAGCTCTCACTGGAGCCGTCGCTGAAAAGCCATAATTGTTAGTGGGAGTCCCCTCACAAAACGACGTGCAAGAGAACGAGCGACGCCACCACGACCACTATCAGGACAACGTTCAGGCTTAGCTTGCTTTTGTAAATTAAAACATTTCACACTTGGATACGTTGACTCGAGAAAATACATGAGATTTTGAGTAATTTTACAGCTTCGACTTGGGAGACTCCACGACCTTAATCAAGGCCCGACCGTTGCTGAGCACAACCTTACCACCCTCAACCTTGGTCTGGAAACGGATCTCTTCCCAACCATCATTAACATTGCCTGTCCTCCAGGCATCTGTCACCAGTTTGTCACCAGGCATGACAGGACTGGCAAAACGGGCCTGGTACTCCTTGATTTTGGCAGGGTCACTGCCACCAAATGCCTTCAGAAGCCCGTGAGCCGTTGAGTTCCACGAGTACAAGCCGTGCATGATGGCTCCAGGGAATCCCATTTTCTTGCCCGGCTCTGGGGTTGCATGCAACGGGTTGTAATCTCCGTTGAGGCGGTACAGGAGTGCCGACTCCTTGGTCGTCTGCTGCTCAAAGGTGGCATCGGGCTTCTTATCTTTGGGGGGAGGGAAGTTCTCCGTAGCAGGACCCTTGGGGCCGCCCCAGTTGCCCTGGGCGACGTAAAAGCTGCTGGTGATGACACTGGCGTAGACTTCGTTGCTAGGAAGCTCGACCAGGTCGCTTTGGGTCTCAACGACTGACCCGGGGCGGCCCTTGTCGTAAACGCCAAGGACCTTGGTTCGGACCTCAAACTTCTTGCCGGCCGAGGTGGTAGGGACGGGCTTGTGAAGGATGATCTTGCGCTGGCCATCGACGACGCGGCGGGCATCGAACGAGGGGACATTGGGAATCTGGACAGCCTTTTGGGCAGCGTAGAAGTCAATTACCTCCTGGGTGTTACCCTTGAATGCTGGCTAATTATTAGCTGAGACACAGGCGAAATCGGATCGGGCTAGCCTCACTAAGGATGAGAGGGTATGTAGGGAAGACAGCGAAGTTGGGGTGGAGTTCCTGTTGGCCAAGGGTTAGATATCAAGAATGGCAGACGTCATGCCGGGAAGAAGCACTTACATAGAGGAAGTGTAGCTCGTCGTTGGTAGCACCGATGGTGTTCGCGAAGAGCAGCACATCGCGCTTTAGCCAGGAAACCTCTTGGCTAGGGTATTCAAATCCGACACCGGGGCCGCTCATCGTGGCGTCTCGAGATATATGTATTTTCGTGTGTTTACAGGCAGTGAGGTGATTCGAGTTGAGGGCTCAAGCAACAAGGGCACCAGAAGAACGGGCGAATTACAGACTTTAAGAATTGAGAGTTGTGTCGCGCTTCGGCCGAGCACTGGGGACGTCACGACGGTTTTAACGGGAACTGGCAGAGCTTCCCTCGGCGTAGCTGTGGCCAACTAACCGACCACCTAGCCGGACATATCAGGTCAGCTCCAGTGGCAGTGAAACGTCGGCCGCCAATGCCGAGGTTCAACTGCGGGGGGTGGGGTTGCGCCATTCAGCTTCTGTAACTACCCCGGATCCTAAGCTCGGGATCTTGGACAACGGGCTACCTGTGACGAATAGCCTTGCCTCTCTCTGATAGTCTTTATGGAAGGGTTACGGCAAGAACCCATCCACCCAGTTCTTCCCAAGTGGTTGATAGTCACCTTCAACAGCTAACACTCGCTGGGCTGGTTCTTTTGATTTGTTGATACGTCCGCGGCAGGCCTAAGGCTGACTAGCTGGGCCTCCTGCGAAGATGCCGCCGTAAATGCGGGGGGTGCGATAACTGAGAGGGTGGTCTGACTTAGTGCTGACTGTCCCTCATTGATATCACTAATGCGGACTCATCGTCCGAGGTTGTCTTTAGCTTGTTGACAGACTGTGAGATGTAGCTAAACGAAAACGCCGTATTGCGATTTCTAAGAGGTGCAGCGGCTCCACAGCGCAGATCGACTACAGGCCCATAGCTAGGCCCGGCTGCCTGCCTGTAGCTCCCTTCCAGAGCTCCTTCGAGACTTACCTAGGTACCTACCTTACCTACCTTACCCACCTGGTAGGTGCCTTCAGTGATGGTTCATCTAATCCTTCATCCAATCCCTCCACCGCCTCCTTCTTGGCTCCCCCAGCCCACTACCGAATTTGAGCTGACCAGGGAGGCTCTCCGATCTAACAAGAGTAAAGTGGTTTGGGTCTTGGGCAATACATTGCATCCAGATATTCCCTGAACCTCTTTTCTTCTTATTTCTCACGACGCCCCCTCGATGGTTCGCCCAAGGTCACCATGATGACGCCCTTCAAGGCAACACAGCCCTTGAAAGGCGATGACCTCAACTTGGCCAAGCCCTTCAGCAGCAACGACCACCGTGCCTTGGCTCAAGAAGTCGGACGATTCATTAAGATAAGAGAAGACATGGATAACCAGATGGCAGAGTCAATGAAACACGTCAATCAGTCCAAAGACGTCCAACTTCAGCAAGAGCTATTGCTTCAGATGTCAGTTCGCATGAAGGCCAAGGAGAACAAGTTTATTCGCCGTCAGAGCAAGGTCCTGGCCGATAGGAAGAAGCTCTTTGAACTGGACCCCTCGGATGCAAGAGCTCGCGATGTTGAAATCCTCAAATCCGTGTTATCCAAGCTCCGCGATAAGAATCAGACCCCAAAAAGCGGGCGCAAGTACAAGCCATCTGGTCGCGATGATGGTGGCGCCTCATCTATCGATTGGGATTATGAGATGAGTGGCCTGGGCCGCGACAACGACGACTATCACGCCGCCCTTGAGAAAGATCTAAGCATGGACCCAACCTGTTTGAATCCTGCGAGCTCCGTGCCCTAGAAAGACAAGGGTGCCGTTGAAAAGACAGATGGTACCAAGACCAAGAAGAGAAAGCGAGCCGACGAGACCGCCCGGACCTTCAAGCAGGCGGGAAACTGTGTCTCTACTGTGGTTCATGGTCAAAGGTCTCAGGAGGATGTCAACATGAATATGGAAAAGAGTGTGAAGAAGAATAAGACCAAGCACAAAACCATAAATATCTCTTCTTCGGAGGCTGAGAGCATAGAAGAAGGCAGCAACCAGAGCGCCGATGCCTGTCTTACAGATTCGAAAGCCAGCAAAGCCCCTAATGGCATTGTCCATGTCGAGGTTAAATACGGCTACGATGACGAGGCAAAGAAAGACAAGGCGAAGAAGAACAAGAAGTCGTCAAAGCCGCCGAAGTCAAAATACTTTTTCGTCGTCGAGACCGAGCACGAGAAAGACGACAACTCCAAGAAGCCTACTGGCCAGGTCTCCGAGGCGGAGAAACACAATTCTGGGGCCGCTGATGATGTCAAAGAAGAGATCAAGGCAAAGAAGGAGGCCAAGAATAAGAAGAAAAAGAAGGAGCAGAAGAAGAAGCATAGGATCGCTACGACTGCAACCGGCTCTGATGATGTCGTTGTCATCAACCCGGATGAACAGACAGACCTTGGGGAATTGGAGACCTGCCCTAGTGATTACAGTAACTTAGAGCTTGATGCTCTCAAGGGGGTCGAGAAAGAGAAACAAACTACGGATGACACCGTCGTCAACACAAAGCAAAACCGCTCCGAGCTAAGGAAACATATCCAAATCACGGATAGTGAGCAGTCTGCTGCCAACGAGGGAAACAAAAAGACATGGAGAAGAAATAGGGTCATGGCCTCTGAGACGAACAGCCGGGTCTTTCACGCTGGCCAAGAGAAGGCCCAAGATGCTGGTAGCTATGGTTCTGAGGATGCTTTTTCAACCACTGAACGAGCTTTGAAGGGCCCCACGTCTATCAAGCCTCCAGTTATTCCCGTTCCTTCATTCTCGGAGACGGCTGGTCGCACTCCTTGGAACCCGTGGTCCGCCTACCGTCGCGCCTCCATAGAGAACACTGAGAAGGCGACAAAGCCGCAGGATGACCAAGTCTAGGTTCTCGGTACTAACGGATCGCGCAAGAAAGGGGGCCCGGAGGACTCTGATACGAAAATTGTTACTAAGACTATTGGTAAGGTCGACGCTCCCACCAAAGTTGACCAGGGCTCTCCCACCCCCCTTCCTAAAAAGGATCAGAAGAAAAAGACAAGACTCAGCAGGAAGGTAAAGAAGCCTGCCGTGCCCTTGGAGTCTCGTCCTGCGATTGCCCAGGGCAAGACGTCTGTTCGAGGTGTTCGTGTCTCTGAGGATCTTGTCCGCCTCATAATGTAGCGTCGAGCGAGCAGAGTCGCTAAACAAGCTTCTTGCCAAGGACCAGGAGTTGCTCAAAGAAGAGAAGAAGACTTGGTTCAAGACCGTTGGTCTCCCGCATGATGATTGAGTTGTTTATTGGGAGGGCTGGTCATGTAAGTGAGTTGCACCATTCCGCAAGGCACATCTCGCAAAGGGAGCAACGAGAAGGTACACAGGCGGCTTTCAGTGGCAAGTGTCGTAGCTAGTTAGGGAGAAGCTGGCTTGAAAACATCGTATCGGCCTCGGTGATTATTCGCATGTTCAATGAAACCCTGAAAACTTTCTGTCTTACTAAACTGCAGTTGTGCTTGAGATAGAAAATATTGCTCACACTCGGCCACACATCGTGGCTAGTGTTGTTGTACAAAGAGTGTAGATCCTCACATGGCCCAAACCCCAAAAACCAGAAACCAGTCTGTACCATCAACCCTTCGCAAAACTAGGACACGGAGTCTTTAGAAACGGTCCTTGTTGCGGTCACACTCCTCGAGAAATCTGTAAATGCCCTCCAAGCCCTCATACTCATCCGAGCACTGTTCGCTTGTCTTTGAAGTGGGCATCATGCTCTCGTACCCCTCGGGGTCAGACATCCAGGATTGTTCTTCCATCTCATCCATGAACGCCTCGTCCAAGTCAACATCAATGCCGGAGAGTGATCGTACAGAGCCACCGGGCGATGTGATGGTTTTCGCATCGTCACCAGGAGCATAAGGAAAGTGGAGGGCCATCGGCGCACCAATGCCGGCGTCGAAATCGGCCTCTTGACCCACAATACCACGTTGAACGCCGGCGTCATCGCATAACCGCTCAACAGTCTCGGCGTCAACCCCAGGGAATCGCACCCGTAGGACACTTCCCTTCTCCATAGTGATGGGCAGATCGCCCAAGACAGCGAGCCTCTTCAAATCCGCAAAGATGACAGCAAGGTCCTTGAGCGCCCGAGCAAAGTCAATCGACAAGACGTCCAAGAAGCCGTCCTCGTTGAGTGTGGCGGCGGGGGCCTCGACATTAGCGGAGGTAAAGCCCGCAGCGGCGGCCGCGGCCAGGGGGCTAAGAGCTGTAACGGTGGGGCTGATGTGGAAGTCGACGAAGGAGCCGGGGCTCCCGCGGGCAGAAGCGCCCATCATCTTGACGTACGCAGCCTGCTCAAGTTCCGAGACGGCACGGTAGCGCTTGTCACCACGGCCATTGAGACCATCGTATCTGACCTTCTGGCCCGAGAGACAGAAGGCGCGCATTGCGACCGAGACATTTTGGATCACTTGCGCCGGCGCGGCCGGGGTGTGAGAGAAGTAGCGGACCCCACCGCCGCCGCCAAGGGTGTAACCGCCTTGGGTGCGAGCGATAGCACCGCCGGTGAGGTTCGGTCGGAGCGTACTCGCGAAGGGGGCACGTCCAGTTGCTTTTCCTACACATCGGGCTGTGTTGGAAGTTGGGAAAGATGCTCGGCTGAAGCGTGCGCTGCCGCTCGCATTACCGGAGGTGCTGGAGCCGCTCGTGGAGATCCATCGGCGGACGGTGTTCTGAACGCCCTGGGTCGAGTACCAGCGTCCCGCTCGTTTCTGTCGGAGGAGAGCAGATGGGTGGATAGGCTGTCGGCCGGTCGTGCGGATGGGAATATGGGCGAATTCCGCCTGGACGGCAGGACGGGTAGCATTGGCGAGTTTGGCTCGTATTACCTTTGTGGTTTTGGTGAAGCCGACGCGGAGGAGGCGTAGGGCTGCTGGAGCCCATATGCCCCCCGCGACAGACATTATGGCGGGCGGTCTTTGGAGAGACCCTGGAGAGCTCACGGCCTTTAAGAGGGAAAAGACGTCAGCTGGAGTCGAGTTGTAGCTGGGGAAAGGAGGGAGGCCAGTGTCGTCGTTAACGGGAGCTTGCGGGGTGCACTTATATGAGAGGGAGGCGATAAGATAGACTTCGCCACCTCGATGTGAGCGGACATTCGGGTGTACCGCCACACATTGACCCAGAGGTACCGCGCTAATCCTATCAGAGCTAGCTGCTTCTCGCGAGCCATCCCCCCACTTGGTGCTTTTTTTTTTTTTTTCTCTTTTCCCTTTAAATTTTTCCACGAAGCTCCTGCAACTATGGTTGACTTCTTCTCTTTCATCCTCACAAAGGTCAACAGACCTTGAGCTGCCTGCCCAACATGGAACGGTCACACTGACTGCGCCGGGGCAGGCATTCGGATTTCAATGGTATGTTCTAATTTTTTCTTGAGCTCGCGAGGTGCTTTCCTTTGTTTTGCGATGATGATTGATCAACATTGAACAATCCAAATCAGACCTACCCCGTGGTGTTACACACTATCATAATCTACCCTGAGCACACAATTCTTTGCGAAGCAGTTTTGGTCCGCGCCCGTGGTTCATCGGAGTCTTGACTAACGCGAGGCAGACTTTCCTTGCTCCAGAGCACTTTTCTCATGGCTTCAAAATATTGTGGCTTGCGCACATGGAATATTTCTAAAAGGTTCGTTCACAGCTAGCCGCAACTCGTCCTTGATTTCCCCTCTATATGATGAACACTTCGTACACCATAGGGATTCCTCATGCAGAATATATTATGTTGAATCCGGTGCAATAGTTTCAGCCTTGTCTGACCTAGAGCCAAAATCCACACTTTTCGCTTGCATCTATCCTTGTAGCCCTCTTGCTAACATTGATCGGATAGGTACATATCAAGAACTACAGCGTGCTGGCGCAAAGCTGTCCCTCCTGCAAGCACTACCACCCTACCACCACATATGAGGAAGATTTGAACGAACGGGCGGACATAAACGAACCTCGACGCCCCTCGCCGGAAACAAACGGGGACGTACAAACCCCGTGGTGTTGGGTGCTCGGGGCTTCTTGTTGAGATGATCGTCAACTGATTGTGGTTACCTGAAATTACTTGGGCATGGCGGGGTTCTTTCCCTCGATGGGGATCCCTCATGGCCTGCGTCATAATTGTCGAGACAGAAGATACTGACTGGACTGAACGCAGGTAAACACTCTTCTTACTCTTGGTTCTTGAATGTCCCTGCCTCGTCTGGGATGGCAATTGCCGCATCTCACTCAATACTATGATGATTTGATCAAGTATTCACACTGTTTGACTGGCTTCACTTCGGTGTATGTCGGACATGAACACAATTAACACTTTCTGATACTATTGAGGTACCTTATATTTCCCAGCGCGTTCACAGATCTCGGTTGCTAACTCAACTCAAGACTAGCTAAAATGGTGTTTGCTGCACAATATCGGTCACGTTACTAACTCGCGACCTAGGTAGGATGTCGGTCTTGATACAACTTGTTTTCTTGCTATACCCAATGGTAGGTCACATTTGTTTTTATTTTATTTTCTACAACAAACCCCCTCTCGCGGATGACCATTTATTAGCTCTAGTACTGAGTTCATCATGACGAAAAAACATAACCGATTCACCTTGGAGAACTGATTGAGAGATTGTCATTTCACAAATGTTTTTGCATCATTACCGAGGCATTCGCTAACTTGGCACCCGCTAGCAGCCTTGGACTTGGCAAGATAGCTGCGTTTACGCCCATAGTTTGGCTAAATAATAACTGTTCCATCGCATATTGCGCAAATGCTCTCTATTGAATCCTTGATCATATCCATGCCTACCATCCATGTGCAAATGCTGTGCTCCGCATGTTCATGACCGTTCCGCCTAAGCCTCAATCCCCTAGTGCTTCAGCTGCAAGCGTGCGTTCATTCCGACAATGCACCTAATCAAGTCCCAATCACCATGCGCACCGACCCAATCAGTTACTATGATGCCCGTCGCTGCGTCGCCCACGTTCAGCTGATGAGGTCCCTTGCCCGGCTCGCCGTGGCGCGTGCACAAATACTCTATCACGGCGGGGTTCACCTTTGCGGCGATGCGCTCTGGCCAACAGGTCGCGTTGAAGAAATTACTTGCACTCAGGAAGTTGACGAAGAATGGGTTCGGCGGCGCGTCGGCGTTGAAGTCAGGCATGCCGGGGAGGCGGAAGAGCTGCTCGGCGGCACGTTCGAGCTGGCCGTGGGAGAAGTTGATCTTTTTCTCGACGTTGGTGGACTGGTCAATCTCGTAAAAGTCCTGGACGCGTAGGAGCCCACCGCCGACTGTGCCGTCCTCGCAGTTGTCGGGCCAGTGCTGTGCGTCAATGGCCCACCCCCTGCCGTCGTGCTCGGCGCGCAGGGGCTCGTCGAGGCCGAACCGGCGGATCAGCACAATGCGCCCGCGACAGTCGCCGAGGTGAGGGATGCGCGGCTCGACGAACCAACGGTGGGCGTCGCGGCCGACGTAGCGGTCGCGCAGGTAGTGGCTCAGCTGTTCATCGGTGCCCTTGCCCGTGCCCTCGCGCTTGACCGACATGAGGACCGTCTCGGAGGGGTTGGCGTCGAGGTAGGCGTAGATGTCGGCGAGCATGTCGGCAAAGTACTTGCTGCCTGTCAGGGATATGGGAAAGGCAGAGTGAACGAGGGCAAGGTCGTCGTTGTCCGTAGCAACAGAAACGCGGATATCGAGGAAGCGCACTCCATTGTCGAGCTGCTCGCGGACACCGACGGCCTGGCAGCGCACCGACGGCAGCGCCGTGTGACACGTCGGCGAGTTGTGGGTGCCCGGGATTGACAGGAGGGGCAGCGGGTACTCGTCGCGCAGCTCGCCCATCCAGGCGTTGAGGTTCGCCGAGGACATGATGGCCAGGAATGCGCCAGCGGGCACATAGATGGCCGTCAGCTCGAGCGGCGCATCGTCAAGCTTCTTCAAGACGGAGGAGCGGTTGGAGGGGCTCGGGACGTCGACCTCGTACCGGTGGCCCTCGATCTCGAACTGGAGACGGACGACGTCGTGGGTGCCATGGTCCGGTGCGTCAATCTCTGTGGCGTTGATGGCAAACGGCTCGACGTGTACATCAACGTCATCGGCCGTATGGGCGTCTCCCTTGGCGTGAATCTCCCTCGTGGTGAAGTTTGTCGCATTGATGAAGGAGTTGATGGTTCCAAAAGTGTTGCCCAGGATGTCCCCGGTACGCTGGCTCTCACCCTCAAAGCGCTCGACGCGCTGGAGAATGACGGGCCGCGCCGTGAGGTTGCGGATGGTGATTTTGGGCATGGCGGGCGGGAGCAAGGTGGTGGAGGAGTCGGGAGAGAAGGGGAAGTGAAAGGGAAGTGAGCAACATATGCCCATCGTGAAGGATTTCCGCGGGGGGTTAGAACCCCTCCAGCGTTTTCATGTACCTCGTACGCGTGTATGGGCGGGTTCAGGGCCGTCTTGGAAGGCTTGGAAGTCATTACTTGCATGTAAGATGGGGCCTCTCTCGGCTGGGCTGGCCTACAGCCAAGGAGGCCTAGAGTGGGGAACGCTATGGGTGGAATTCGACGTCTCGGGAAGCGGGCATGTTCAGCTTGGCTCCCTCAGTAATGTACCAGCATCATGTCGGCAGCACCCCTACACGTGTACTACACATTGGTGCGGTTGAGGTTGTTGGACGTTGTAGCGCAACCGGTTTTGAGTAGAGATGGCCATACGTGCCTGAAACTAGTCGCGATTCGCCAGTGGATGACCAGACAGAGGCTGTCTTTGCAATTGGCGCCGCTCATTGGATCGAGGGAGCTGTCAACTAGAGCTGAAGTGGGTTTTGTTTTCTCCGGTTCCCTGCCGATTTTGACATGGAACGGCCGAGACGGATGGTTCGTTGCCTAAAACCATGTTTAGGGAGGGGCGACCTATGAAGAGTCTCCGCATTTGACATCGCTTCAGGGAACCCTTCAAGAGCTAAATCACAACTTCAGCAAACTTTTATCACGCTTCCTCGTTAACTTTGTAGGGGGGTCCATTTTCAAACCATTTCCTTTGAGGACTTTGAGGACTTTCAGCTATCGTATATCGTCCCAAAAGTAATTCCATTACGACCACCAACTTGCTTCGAGTTATACTATACGTACATCACGAGCTCCTAGACTCACAATCATTGAACCTCCCTTCCCATGTAGATTCGACCTGATCTAGCACCTCTCCCGGTATACTCGCGATCGTGATGAATCTGCTCGGGCGACAAGCCCCGGTCAGGCTTGACCACGAAAGTGATCATTGCCCCACAACATACGTTTCTGCCTGTTTCTCTATGGGTCTGAGGATACAAATGAACAGTAAACATGCGTTGAGACAATCAATGTGAATGGGTACTTAAGTCGTACTCATTGACTGCCAGTTGTTGATTTGGCGCCTGCTACTCACCTCAAATATTTGTCTTTTGCAAGTCTCGAGTCCATCTCTGTTAAAATGGTTCGCCTCACTCCCATTGCCATCGCCACCGTTCTCATCGCCTCGGCGACAGCCCAAGAGTTCAACACCTGGCCCCAACATAACCATGGTGGCTGGTACGACCAAACTGACGGCGACGTGACGACCTCTAGGTCACCTAAGATCTCACCGGGGGGCGCGGCCAGATTCTCCTTCCTCTTCAACAGAGTCGACGCTCCTTATGTCGGCTTATACGTCTAGTCCTCGGGAGATTGCATCATCGACTATGCTGTCAACGACATTAATTACGGCAGATCGGCGACAAAATACCCGAGGCAATTTCACTTTCGTGCCTCTGACTGGTGCCAATGGCGAGCCACCCAGTAAAGAGGCCGATACGCTCTTCCTCGGCGTAACAGCTGTGAAGGATGGCGCAACAAAGGTTACCATCAACGAGATCTGACCCGCCTGGGTTGGTGATGATATGTTTTACCCGAATAACACCTCGCCATGCCCGCCTGAAACTAAGCAGGCAAGACGTTCTGCTTAGAATGAACGGCGGTGGAACGCAAGCCAAAATTCGCCATCCCGCCGGTTACGGCTCGGACGTGAAGAAAGAGTACCAGATGAGAAGGTAGTTGGCAATATTCACTCCATAGGAACAGGTTGAAGGTGTGAGAAGTTCTTTGCCGTGTTACCAGTTTATAGACTAAATTCTTGGACGGAGCTGCGCATACTGCTCGCTGGTTTCTGCGTGCATTTGATGCGGAAAACAGGAAACGGACCCGCGGCAGCTCAAAGACACATTAATGTATATCTGAGTAAAACTGAATACCCCAGTTGCAACGTTGTTCTACTTGTTCCCCTTCTTTCTGTATACTGCTGAGCTTGTACGATTCCCTCTGATCGAGGCAGGCTTCAGCTATCTGTACTCTTTTCAATTGGTCATGAGACCACACTGTTCTAGAAATATTCAGCACATTTAATATGTGACGAGCTTTCTATATTTGCAAAAAAGGTTAACGTGGTAACACACAATCAGGACACAAAGCCCGATGCCATGCCTCATTCACAGGATATGCTCAAAAGATCCACCGTTCGCTTCAGCAGACATTAAGACTTGTCTATTCGCTTACAGCGTACTCTCTAAGGCTCGGGCTTGCCTTTCTATGTCTCCAAATGGTATTGATGGTTACTTATCGTCACGCTGAGCAAGCTTAGTAGCCTACACTAGCAAGGAGGAGCGAGTACGATGTCTTTCTTCAGCGGCATATGCAGTCAAATCCCGAACAGCTAGTTGCTTGATAGACACACTTGCCAGTTGGAATTTTACATCCGCAGTTTCCATCATTCATTTATGGCCCTTGAGTAGTTCATGTGGTGTAATGGCAGCAGAAAGAAGTCCAAAGAGCAGGATGATGTCAAATGGCCAAAGTATATCTGAAATATGTCTCCTGATATACAAAAACAAAGAAAACCTGGAGCTTCCTGGATATCTGGGGCTTCTTCGACAAACTCAGTGGTGTTTCTGGCTCTCGATAAGCTCCAGTGCGAGCCGAAAGTCGTTCGTTCCTCGGGCATCAATAATCCAAGACAGTTACTTTGTTCATTATACCTGTCTAGCCGAAAGACTACGAACCTCAAATTCACATGTTCCTTCTTGTCAGAGTCGTTTGGAACAACTCGAATATGCCGTATAACTCTGAGAAGCCGCCACACCGGTTACATACATTCAAGGTGATTACAACAGAATGAACGCTTCTTACGTCCACAGAAACTTTGTCTTCTCTGTATGCTGTCCTAGTTACCGCAACCACTAATCCTCTGTTTCATAATCTAGGGCTTTGATTGCCCATTAGGACAACAACTACATCCCAATGGATGACAGCTTCGAATGTGGGCAGAGCGGCGGAAGAAGAACCATTCCATATGAGCTCCATTACTCGCTTCGAGATCGTTTAAGGTCAGTCTCCTCAGTTACACTGTCTTTTGATTCCCGTCTTCTTCGTTTTGACGGCGAAGTTTCTCTTCCAGATGGGTCATCGGGTGACTTGTTTGGTGTATGCGTGCCGTGTCGTAGAAACTGGGTAATGACCGACTCCGTGCCGATGATGTTTGAAGATCCCTCAACGGTCATCCCTGCATCGATCTCCAGCATGAGTGGCCTCGGTCGTCCGTTTTCGTCGATCATTGGCAACCCTGTCTTTCAATCTCGACCTTGAATGGCCTCGATGATCGCTCTTGCCATGGAGGACGCCTGCTCTGCTGGCGAGCAGGGCAAAGAAATGAGGTTTCCGTCGCTAACTACTTCGATCCGTCTTGAAATTCTCAAAGACATAAGCGATGGTTTCTCAAGGTCATCGTCAACGATAGTATCTGGAATAGAATCGAGCTGCTGGAATGCCTCGGAGCCGCCACTTTCTGGAGAGAAATCGTGACCAGGGAAATATGAAGTGAGGTTTTCAATGGTTCTTGTTCGAGTCGACGGCGTATATGCAGGTGGCTGCTCTAGTTGGCAAGAGTCATTGCTTTTAGAACTGTCCAGGGCATGGAATTCTGACAGCACGACGAGCCCTTGTGATTGGGTTCCTTGATTCGCAGTCGTCATCGTATTAGATTCGTTAGATAAAAATAGGCTATAAAGCAGAAACTTGAGGCGGCTGTTCTTGGTCTCTTGGTCGTTCTGCCGGCTATGATTTCAAGTGCTAATAGCAGTTCCGAATATGAAGAGAAGTTGAACGGGTAAAACTCGTATGATGCGCTTGCAGTTGAACATATATGTAAGAGAAAGAGAGAATCATATATGTATATATCTTAGGCTTGCTAGACATAATGGAACTGCAGATGCACAACTGGATTCCGTAGTGGAGGAAGAATGCATCCGGCATAAAAAGCGACATTGATGTGTCGGCGTTACATGTTCAGCAGGTGGATGACACAGTAAAAATACTGAAAAGAAACCCGGCGAAACACACAAGGCCCTTACGTCGTAACGGCTCATAGCAACCATTCATCAGCAATTCGTAATCCCCCGACTGCAGTTGCCATACTTCACGTACATTTGTCTGCGGATATACGATGTACGCATCTGTGGCATGTCGCAGCACACCCTTGACTAGGTATCTTACCAATGGCCGAGCTGAACAAACAGGGAAATTTAAGACGGTCATCCCAATCATCTGTATGACCCAGCCCGTGTGTCTTTATTAGATCACATCTTTGCAGCTAGATTCTTGTGTTCTGCCTTGAACTCAGAGTTCGCCGTAAAGACAATTCCAAGTGATAGTGCCTTGTATTGTTTATCGATAGCATGATTAATCTTCAAAACCTTCAAGTACACGGAGTAGATGCGCCTCCGGTCACTCTGTGTCAGCAGCATGATGGCTGTAAAACGGGCTCGGCGATGTCCTAGCCGGCCAACCATAGCACCCGGGTTCAAACTCCGAAAGCGCGGCGAAGCATACGGATCGTGGCCTTTTGTGGCTGAATGGCTTTGCCTTACCTCATTGCTCTCCCCGGAAAACTGCATTGCTGATGGCGTGGAGCAAGGCAGACGAGGAACAGCGTGCCAACTCCTCGTCACATTATGAACCAGCCCCTCTGTCCTTCGACCTTCCGGCATAACATTCTCCCGCAAGACCCCCTTTCCACTTCTGTGGACCACATCAATCCTGCCGGACAACCATTTCTAGGGTCGACGAATAGCCTCGGGGCGAGTTAAGGCTACAGGACGAATCTAGTCAGGTATTGAGACGGGCTCATCAAACAGGCGGCGCACACATGCTGAGGGGCCGTTATACAACCAGCCGAGTAACATGTGATCCATTGACCACTAGGTAACGAGCTCGGTAAAGAAAGCAATACAGATATGTGATATGTATGGCACGTATACATCGAAATTTCGGAAATACTTGAGCTCAAATTCGTCGTTGTATATGGTCGATAGACTGGTCTATAATGCCATGTCATGAAGCCGTAAGAATAAAACCAACCCCCTCCACCCAAAATGTGTCCCACCTTCGTCCATTCACCGTGGCGTGTCGTAGCAAATTGGCCGACCCCTGTATCCAAGCACCAAACGCCGGTCATCTGATAATACACATTGCCAATGAAGAAAAGAAAAAATGAGAAACAAAACTCTCGCGGCAAGTCGTCTATTTGTTATGCCAGATGAAGTTGCGCAACGAGTCCCACTCACTGCTCTGCTGGTAAATGTACGTCATACTGCTACGCAAGCTGGGTTGCAGATCGGACGGGTGATGGCGGAAGAGGTACATGACCATAGCCCAGCTCGTACTAGCGAAGACGGGCCAGGCATAGTAGCTGATCTTAGTCGAGAGGTCCTCGCGGCTGACGAGGGGCAGGCCCTTGCCAGGGGTGACGGCGAGGCGGGCGAGGGCCAGGACGACACGCGCAAAAACGTAGATAACGATCTGCTGGTTGACACTCGAGATCTTACCGCTTCTCGGGGAGCGGCCGCCGAAGACGATGTAGCCGCCCAATAGGCCAGCGAAAAAGGAGTCATAGGGTCCTTCCTTACCTGGCGTGGGACCGTAGTTCTTGAGGAGGTACATTGTAAATTTGTATATCGTCGCGAACTTTGCGAGGTTACGGGCATGGGTTCGGGTCGCACGAAAGACGAGGCCGGCCTTCTGGCGGAATCTGTGGGGGAATGTGTTAGCACCTGACAATAGCCTGTCCCATTTCAGGGCTTGGGGTACGGGAGAGACGTACGTTCCCGAGCGGAAGAGGAAGATCATGCTGAAATGGTCAGAGAGTCAGCAATGGCAGGCACTTAGAGGTTTAAGGGTGGCTATCGCTACATACACAAGCGCATGAGGGAAGCGGACTTTTGCACCGTAGACTGCTCCATTGCGGGCGCCTTTGACGACGGCAAGGATGTCATGGTACTTGGGGTCGAGGATGATGCGCTCAATTGCAGCCTAATTGGCGTCAGTTTTCAGGGACTCTTTGACACCGCTATTTGACAAGCAGTGGGCCTACCTTGAGGCCATCGAGAGCGGCGAGCGACATTTTGGCGGCGGGTTGGTGTGGTTTGTTGTAGTTGTGGCTAGCCTCGGCAATGCACGTCGCTCCCGAGTGGATGATGCCAGTTGCGACAGTGGGAGTCGCTCTTGGTAGGCGTGCTTCCGCTCAGCGCATGAGGATTGCAGCGGGTCTGAAAGGCACAGAAAAAGAGTGACAGCGATGTTGCATGCACAAGAAGTAAATGGGAATGTTGGACCGGAGGAAAGGGGAAGGGAAGAGAGAGAGAGAGAGAGAGAGCGTGTGTGTATGTGTGAGGTGGTGAATGGTACCTCGGTCCAGGCTCTTGGACGTCTTCGGCTTCTGGCGAGTCACGCTGCATCACGACCACAGCACACGTTGAACCCCCAGCCCCAGGGTTCCCCCACATGCCCCCTATGACGCAAGGCCAGCGCGCCGCTAATCCCTCCGGGGAATGTCCGTCTGGGGAAAGTCTTGGTGTTGCTTTTTAGCATGTGACCTTGAAAATCAGAGGCACATTTCCGTAGAACAAAAGCTACACGGCAGTGATTGACAGCACAAAACATTGTGGACTTCACGGACCCCCAGCCTGTATTGCAAGCAGCTACCTTCATTTTCACATGTGTCCCTTGCTTGGCAGAAAAAGTTAGCAATCGCAAGTAGGGCACTGTGTGAAGACAAAGCTAACTCCTACAGGCACAGTAAACCGGAGCATCTGACTGTTCTTAGCAGAGTGCTTTGACAGTTTTCTTTACAGAAGAGAAAGACAATGAAATAGACAGTGTCTCAACTCCTTGATGATAAGTTTGTATGTGTTGAGGCAAACAAGCATTAGCCCTCTGTTATTCGCTTGTAAGATACAGGAAAAGAGCGACCTACCAAACAAGATAAGGCGTAGTATTCCTCACTCGCCTCATTGGTTACCGTTTGGCTAGTTTGACCATTGCTTAAGGTGAGCTTGCCTTTCGTCCCTTCTCGAAACCGCATTGCGCGCGGCGGCTATATTGGCAATAGGGTGGCACCCAATCAACTTGGGAATAGTACCATGTGAGCCGAGGTCATCCGTGGCTACACTAAAACTAGGTCTTAGTCAACCATAGGACTGGCGTTTTGTATAATATGCGTTTCGCTTAGGAAGTTAGGTGCTGGGAACATTGACAGTCACTCAAGGGGCTCTACGGATACCAAGAAACTCGTGAATGCAGCTTTCAGGGGTGTCGTCTCTTTTCGCCAGCCAAACGGAACCTTATGCTGAATTAGAAAAATTAAACAAGCCAAGAAGTCGCCCAGGCCGTTGGTTTAGATGTTTCCAATCAGTACTTGTGGACTAAAGAACCGTGCTGACGACGAGTAGCAAACGTAACCACCAACATACCGATCAGTAATTATCCCGTATTTGCGGAAAGGTGCGTGTAACACTCGCCTAAAAAAACCCTCACCCAGAGTCTGCTGTGCTGTGAAGACATTGGCATGCATTGGATATTGTGAAGGATAGTCAGCCAAAATCTGTCTATGACAGTTGACTGCAGCGCATTAAATTGTTAGGTTATAAGACAATAAGCCCTTCCTTCACCTGCTTCCACCCGTCACCATCCAGCCTCACCGCTAAAGGTGATGAATGCCAATAAACAATAACAAATTTTTTTTCAGCATGGACGCAGAGAGCAATAAAAGACGCAAGAAACGGAATTGGGGAAAAAAGCAAAAAGAGAACATTGAAAGGGACGAGACTCGAACTCGCGCGGGTTGCCCCACCAGGAAACAGATGTTAAGCTGACCTTAACCTGGCGCCATAACCAACTCGGCCACCCTTCCATGTTGCGCTCGCCCGGTGTCCGACGGATTGCTCCACCGGATCGGACGAACTTGCTGTGGTTGCATTGGAAACATCCCATAGAGGAATCAACCTCTCGCACACCCTCTCCAACCACAGGTCAAAGTGCGTGCCGCTAATCCCGACAACCCGACAGGACGGCGTCAATGCCCCTCCTGTTGCCTCTTTCCTCTTTTCCATACTAACCTCCCGCCACCTTGCAGGGCGGACTAGAGCCTTTTGACTAAAGTTGAATTACACATATATATACACCCCTAGGTCGGAGGTTTTCCAGAAAGTAACTCCTTGCTCACGGGACCAATATAAGTCTTCATAAGCCGATCGTCCGCCCGTCGCTCTGCATGCCATACCGTCGAGAGACATTGCGTGGTTGCGTGTTGAGAGTTCTGCTTCGTTTTACTCCGCGGGAAACAGGGTACCGCGCAAGCTACTCATAATGAGTACAAAGTCACACCACTTTGGGTCACGATTAATCCAAATATTGTAGTTGAACGGTGGAGTTTGATAGTCCTGGATATCCTTGTCTCTATTGATGATAGCTAAATGGTTTACCCGTCTGCAGCTTTCCGAGACCCAGCTATTCTGCCTGTCCCAGTCCTGCCGCATCCTTCTTCCCCCTAACTGCGCAAGAAATTGTCGGCCAGAAAACCAGGAAAGAAAAGATGTTGAAATTCTTTTGTTTCCCCGTTAACGCCAATGTAGATGCTTTGCTTATTTGGTGTCCCCTTTCGAACAATGCGAAGGGTATCTTCTCATGATGCATTGCTCTTTTGTGACTTTGAAAAAGAAAGAAAAAAGAAGTTGCAGGATATGATCCTAATCCTGCAGTGTCTTTGTTGAAAGACGCCACCACTCCCTTGTTCCGATTGTTTTTAACACCGTTTGACAATATCAAAAAATGACCCTACCAGAAGACCACGCCCTGTGTCTTGTGTATTGCCTTTACCCCGAAAAGGCATGAAACCGGGATTCGTTGAGAACCGTACGCCAATGTTGAGTGCCTGTCCGCATGAATATCAAAACTATTATAAACGTCTAGGTCGTTGCAATGCAGGAAGCTTGTTGAAGAAATCCTGCTCTCAGTCCAGACCGAGCTAGCTTAGAACTTGAGAGTCTTGGGCTGCTCCCAGGTGAAGGACTGGTTGGTACCGAAGTGGCCGTTCTTCGCGGTCTGGAGGTAGATGGGACGGTCCAGGCTGAGCTCGCGGACGATGACACCGGGACGGAGGTCAAAGTTGTTGCGGATGATCTCGACGAGCTCGTCAGAGGTCTTCTCCGAGGTGCCGTAGGTGTCAACGTAGATGGAAAGGGGCTCGGCGACACCAATGGCGTACGAGAGCTGAACGAGGGCACGGCGGGCGAGGCCGGCGTTGACGAGGGACTTGGCGATCCACCGGCCGACGTAGGCAGCGGAACGGTCGACCTTGGAGAAGTCCTTGCCGGAGAAAGCACCGCCACCGTGGGCACCCCAGCCACCGTAGGTGTCGACGATGATCTTGCGGCCGGTCAGACCGGCGTCACCCTGGGGGCCACCGATGATGAAGAGGCCAGAGGGTTGGATCTGGGCAGAAATGTCAGTAACAGTGTCGCGCTATTGGTATGCGGAGAATGGCTCACGTGGTAGATGGTCTTATCATCAAGATACTTCTCAGGGATAACCTTCTTGATGATCTTCTCCTTGATCTCCTTGCGGAGCTGCTCGGTGGTGATTTCCTCGGAGTGCTGCGCAGAGACGACGATGGTGTCAACGCGCAGGGGGACGACGGCGCCGTTGTCGTGCTTGTACTCAATGGTGACCTGGGTCTTGGTGTCGGGGCGGAGCCAGGGGAGAGTGCCGTCACGGCGGGCAGCGGACATGGCAGCGTTGAGCTTGTGAGCAAAGAGGAGGGTGAGGGGGAAGAGCTCGGGGGTCTCGTCAGTGGCGTAACCGAACATGATGCCCTGGTCACCGGCACCGAGCTGCTCGAGAGCCTTGTCGTAGTGGAGACCCTGGGCAATATCGGGGGACTGCTGCTCAATGGCGACGAGCAGGTTGAGGGTCTTGTAGTCGAAGCCCTTGGCGGAATCATCGTAACCGATGTCCTTGACAGCGTCACGGACGACCTTCTGGTAGTCGAGCTTGGCCTTGGTGGTGATCTCACCGAAGACCATGATCATACCGGTCTTGGTGGCAGTCTCGCAAGCGACCTTGGAGAGGGGGTCCTCCCGCAGGCAGGCGTCGAGAATGGCATCGGAGACCTGATCGGCGATCTTGTCGGGGTGGCCCTCACCGACGGACTCGGACTATATCGGACAAGTATAAGCAGGGGTTTTCGGCTTCACCGCCGACAGCAAGTGCGAGGAGAGGGATTTCTTACGGTGAAGAGGAAGTTGCCCTCGTTGTAGTGTTTGCGGCTGGCAATGCCGTTACCGTTGATACCGTTGGGAGACATCTTGGACGGGGATGATGTGAGGGGGGATGTGGGAAAAGGGTGTGTGAAGAAGGGGAAAAGATGGTTGAGGTAGAGAAAGATTCGGTGGGTTTAAATCTACCGACGCGGGGCTTCGAGGGGCTATAGAGATAGCAAGCGGGACAGGGGAAAAAAAGCTACTTCTGTCATCTATGGGTCAGCCAGTGCTCTCTCTCTGTGCATTTGGGTCTGGTGGGGTCCAAATGTTTGTCGCGCGGGGTCTGGAAGCTCAGGGCAGAGCCAATCACGTACCTTTGGAAGTATGGGGAAGGACACAGAGCAAGGCGAGGCTTGTGGATGTAGAGGAGGAGAAAACGATTGAGAGGATGAAAGGAGAGGATGCGGCCGTTCGGGTTTTAAAAGAAATACGGGAGACCAGAGTGGTGGTGCTCGGGGACGGGATGGTTGGGAAGAAATTCTCGCTCACTCACTCCTCTCTGTGGCCGAAAGCTCGAGCGGATTTGACACATTAGTCGCGGGAGACACTGGCCGAGGGCCGGAAGGAACGGTAGGTACCCATGTGGCCATAGTAGTTAGCGTGGCGGAGGAGGTACATTCACCGGCCGACCCCTCCATTCTGATGTACCAACCCTGTCGAGGGGGAAGGCCCAAAATTCTCCAGATTGCGCCATCCTCACGACTTTCCTCCCTTGACCGCCTATACAACAGTTCTGTGTCAATATCCGTACCTATGCATGAGTGAATGGTACATTGGTGACAGACGGTAAAAGTATGCCCAATGCAGAGGCCACCCAACGGCACCCGTGGCCCCATTGCGGGCGGCTTGGTTGGTGGTTGAACAGAGGGCATGCCAGGGAAGCTTTCGGATTTCCACAGCCACCAGGATACGCACCCAACGGGAGCAGCGGTGATCGACTCGCCGAGGGAGCTCAGGCTTCCGCTGTTTCGTCCAAGACTCCAAGGTAGTGTACACCACTGGCAGCGCGAAGAACCTTAATTTCAATTGTAAACTTTGTGAGGAGGTGCTTGTGCCGGACCGAAGACACATCGTGCAATTCCAATGGACAATCACGGGGCTTGGAACTCTCGACGGCACCTTTTTCTCGTTAGCCCTGACACTGGGCATATGTCGAGCTGTTCACCAATGCATTGTTCCAACCGACCGGTGCATTCCACGGCGCGCGTAACTCGACGCTGCCTGTCTATGGCACGGCATATCAACGGGGGACGCGCCGGCCGCCCGGCGACATTCCACCATATCTACTACCTTAATCCGCTTCGTATCGAGGTCCACCGTTGTACTTGTGGCCTCGGACACACCCTTGATACAGAATTTGAATTCTTAAAGCACGCCGCGACCGCGAAGCTTCCCATCCTCCGCCCCGAAAGCCTCTCTGGGAATGTTATGGTTGAAGCTTCAGGCGGTAAGAAATCCCTGCCGAAACAAGAGCTAACTAAGCTCAACGGGGAGCTAAATTGTAGGATATCCCTGAAAAGGCCGGTGAAAATATGCCCCTCCCGTACCTTGCACGTGCGGGCGGCATTGGCCCGTAATTCCGCTGTAAGCCTTCCGCAAGCTGCGCCTATTGGGGGCGATTTGGTTATCTCTTATCGCCAGCTATCGCAACCGCATGGGGGCCGCAATCGCAACCGAAAGGCAAAACTTTTTTTTGTACGTTTCCCTTGGGCTATCGCTGGGCCGACAGGCGAGTAATTACACTCCGTTATGAAAGACGAATACCTACCGCCGTACTAGGAGATGCAAGTGATATATCGTTCACTCTCCTTTTGCTTTGCCACAAAGCATCAGACTTTAGCCCTTCGAGTCAGGCTGAGGACCCAGAAGTGGCAAAAAAAAAAAAAAAAAAAAAAAAAAAAGGGAAGAGGCCGATCAACAGCGACCCCTAGACGCGCACCCGTTCCTGCATGGCGGGGTAAATTTCCATAGCAAGAGACATCATTCCTTCCTCCTCCAAAACTCTGCGACAAGTGACTCTGCCGATCCTGAACCAAGGCCACCACCATCACCTCACGCCGCACAATACCCAACCAAGACAGAAGATAGTACACGAGCTTCCGATTCCTTCTGACTCTTGCCCTTTACATTACTGCCATACGGCCCCTAGCAAATCTCCGGTTCCGTTCCTCCCTACCCAAGCCATCATGTCCAAGTACGGCGTCATGGTCATGGGCCCTGCTGGGGCCGGCAAGGTGAATATCCATCTCTCCGTGTCTCCCTGCCTCCCCTATCCTTCTTCTGGCTCTGTTTCTGGCTCTTCAGGCCGCAGCCCGATCGGATGTCTCGTGCAAGCCCTGTCCCGTGCGTCGGCCTCGACGACCGGCCGACCGGGCCGCCTGGTGAAACCTGAAAATCCACCACCGTTTCGTCCCGAAGCCGACCCCGAATACCGGAAAGCTAACCGCCTCTTCTTCTTCTCCCTCCCTTTAGTCCACCTTTTGTGCCTCCCTTATCACACACCTAAACCTTAACCGCCGCTCCGCCTTCTACGTCAACCTCGACCCGGCCGCCGAGTCCTTCGAGCACGCCCCCGACCTGGACATTAAGGACCTTATCTCTCTACACGATGCCATGGAGGAGGTCGGGCTCGGCCCTAACGGCGGTCTCATCTACTGCTTCGAGTTCCTCATGGAGAACCTCGATTTCCTCACCGAGGCCCTCGACAGCTTAACCGAGGAGTACCTCATCATCTTCGACATGCCTGGCCAGATCGAGCTGTACACCCACATCCCCATCCTTCCGGCCCTTGCCCGCTTCCTCTCCCAGCCGGGCTCCCTCGACATCCGCCTCTGTGCCGCCTACCTTCTCGAGGCGACCTTCGTCGTCGACCGCGCCAAGTTCTTCGCCGGCACGCTCAGCGCTATGAGCGCCATGATCATGCTCGAGATCCCCCACATCAACATCCTGTCCAAGATGGACCTCGTCAAAGACCAGGTGCGCAAGAAGGACATGAAGCGCTTCCTCACGCCTGACACAGGCCTCCTGGACGACGATCCGATGGCCACCGCGGCCACGGGGGGCGAGCCGGACGACGGCCGCGGCGAAGTCCACGACCGCGACCTCGTCATGCGTGGCAGGAGCTTCCAGCGACTGAACAGGGCCGTTGCGGGCCTAATCGAGAGTTTCAGCATGGTCAACTATCTGAAGCTGGACAACACAGACGAGGACAGCGTCGGCGCGGTGCTGAGTTACATCGACGACATTATCCAGTACCACGAGGCGCAGGAGCCCAAGGAGCTCAAAGACGACGAGTTTGACGAGCCCAGTGACGACTAGCCCACGCCGGTTGTATGGTCTACATGGATCGTCTGGCAGCATTTCTGGGGTGTTTCAGTTACAAGAGATACCATTCCAAAGAAAGAAGAAAAAAAAGTTCTGAGGCCAAAGCGAAGAAAAGAGGGTCACGAGAGGGGGAAAGTATCAGCGTAGAGAGGGTTATGATTGTTTGCATAGCGTTGGCGTTGGTATTGATTAATATCCACTGAGCCGTCCATAATCGTGTTCGGCGAACGTTCTCGACGTTGGTCCCTCTGCTGCTGCATGTCGTACCGCGTATGCGCATCCCAACCCAGCTTGAAGAAGGCGAAGACTATGCCCACCTCCAGCCGTGGTCTTGTTTATCCAGTCTCGTGCCTCACTATGGCGGTGCTGTTGCTTCTCCGCGGCCCAGTCCACCCACCAACCAACCATCTCCAAATGCGTGTCGTAACACTTTTGCGTATATCAGCACATCCTGGCCCTCAAAACGCGTCTTTCCCTCGGGGTATATCCCACCATTCGCCTGCCAGCGATTCCCTCCTTCCCAAACCCCCGTCTTCCGCTGCCCATCTCCGCGGCTCGGCCAACCTTTACCGGTACCTGCTCCCCTGCACCTGGGTCTCCTGCTCGTACCTGTTGTACTCGCTGACCCAGACGTCCTTGACGGCCGCCGCGAACCCAACCACCTTGCCGCCAACGACGACGGCGTCCCGCGCCGTCTCCCAGACGCCTCTCTGCCACACGGCGGCGACGACGACGACGACGCTGGCCCAGAACGCGAGCCGCAGGATCAGTGCCGTCCAGAAGGCCACGACGCGCCGGATCCAGTTGAGCACCACTACCGTAGCGGCCAGCAGTGCCAGCAGGATAGCGAAGCTCACCAACTCAGGCGACGAGTGCAGGAACCCGAGGGTCGCGTCGACGGCGGGCGCAAGGTAGGGGTAAAGCTGGTCGAGGGCGCGCGAGGCCGCCGACTGGGCCTGGGCGCGGAGCTGCTGGAGTGGGGACGACGGGTGCAACGCGTTTTGGTGGATGAATTCGGCGGCATCGGGGGGCAGGAGGGAGCGGAGGAGGAAGTTTGCGATGGACGGCTCCGCCATCTTGTTTTCCTGTGTGTATATGTGTACACGTATGTGTGTATTGTATGTTTGTGTGTATGTATTTTGTGTCGTTTTTTTTTTCTGTCTGGAAGAAACAGTGTCGTTGTAGTCGGCCTTCTTCGCTCTGGGTTGAGGTACAGGACTCCGTGGTGTATTTTCTCCTTTGGCTGGCTGTTGGTTCTTGCTTGCTCTATGGGGGCCGTTGGCTGGTTGTGTCGCGTGCGCGCGTATATGCAAGAGTTGGAGGCAGGCAGGTATAAAGAGTGGGTTGTTGTAGGCACTGTGCACGGTTGGAACAGGGAGGGCACAGATAAGACTTCGCCGCTGGCAGGGCTTGCTTGTTCTCGAAGAGGCCGCGCAGCAAGACAGAAGGACTGAACAAAGCCGCGGTGAGGTCTTGTTGTCTCTTGTGAAGAAAGGAAGGAGGGGTGGGGAGTTTGGTGGATTGGACCCTTAGAGAGCAGAGTACGAGCACACAGGCAGGCAAATGCGGTGTGCGAAAGGGGGAACACTACGTGCAGTTCGCCAATCCTTTCGCGCCATTTTAAGTGGGGAAATAACGGCCGGGTTGTTCTCCAAGCATGTGGGAGTAGATCAACCGAGAGAGGTCCGGGTCATCATGGTTCGGTCCAGAGAACAATGCTCGCGGAACTGACAAACCCGACTATCAAAGGATGTCTGGGTTAATCGCTCCAGATCCAGAACTACATCGATACGCATCTTGGTGTTCGATGAGTTCCAAGGTCTACTATTTTCATTCTTTGTTATACTCATTTTCAACCCAACCTCAACCACAGTAGTGAACTCCCAGCCAATGAAATCAGCATAACTTGTCACCTCAGAGGATGAAGATGTTTCCAGAGGCCTTAAAGTCAGAAACCCAAGTCGTCAACAACAGGTGGTCCACAATCTAGTTCTGAATCCCAGCCGTAGTCTCTCCTTACAATATATTCCGGCTTTGTCTATAATCTGACTTATTATTGACGAGCTAAAGCACCCTATAACCTCTCCCTATATCTACTTACTTACTCCTTGACTATGCTTGATTATCTTGCTCACAAAACAGGCGCAGGTGACAGTCGCAAGTTAGCGGTGAAAGCACTAGAACATCTTGTATTGCACAAATACTAAGACAACTTCTCAGTTCTTTCGAGACTAATAATACACACTCTTGGCTCAAGACAGTTCATACGCTGAGTCTTGTTTCCTGTTGACAAAGGGAAAAGTTGTTGAGCAGGTCTCGCAAAGATACCCAGCATTTGAGTACAAGAAGAGAAAGAAAAAGAGAGCGACAAAAAGAAGAAAGTGGAAAAGGTTAAAAAAAAGAAGGGTATCGAAATTGAATCTAGGAGATGAAATCGTCATTTGGCCTGCTTGAGGTGCAAGGCCTCCTCCACATTGCCCCGGCCCCTATAGACCGACTTTCCCTGCGTTTCATTTGACATTATCAGTTACTCATTGACGCCAACGTCAATGCCCTAGCTTGACGGTAGTATGCAGCTGGGCCCTTGTCACGGGCTGGCGTCGGAAATCCCCTCACGTACGTCGTATAAATGGAAGAAACAGTGTAAGAAGAAGAAGAAGAAAAGACAAAGAAAAACGACACGGCTTTTATGAGGTTTCGCCGATGCCTTCCAGAATCCGGCGCGCCATGTCGATGCGCCTCCTGTACATCCGATTTTCTGACGAGGCCTTGCCAGCCTCGCTCATTGCGAGCACGCAGCGTCCCAAGCTGGCTACGGTGCGCTCGATCAGGATCTGGTCTTCTCTAGCCAGCTGCTCCATGGGGGCAGGCTGATCCGGTGTGTGCATGCTTTCCTTGTCGCAAATGCTCGCAGCCTCGCTCATCAAGGCATCCGAGATGGTCCTGAGTTCCAGATCAGGAGAGCCCTGAGGGGTGAGGACACCAACGCTGACACGCGCCTTGCCCGCCAACGGAAAGCTTCGATTGGTGCCTGTCGAGTCGAATGAGGCACTCCCTGGGCGGTGACCCATGGTTGCCTGGGTGGTCATCGGCCGACGAAAGACCGTCGAACCGGCGCGTGCTCGACCTCGTAGTTTGTCCAAAGCGTCTTCGCCGCCCATGTTGCTACCGTTGATCGCTCGCTTGGCCGTTGGCGGGCTCTCGGTGCGCTCGCTGATGGGGCTGATGCTTGGGGGTGTGAGGATACCGTGCCTCAACTCCTCGCTATTATCGCTAGCGCTTACTCGACTGGATCGGCCATCGTGTGCTGTGGCGAAGGACTCCATGGTTGAAGTCGTGTCCCCGCTGCCCCGTCTGTTGTGTGCGATCGGCTGCACCGGCTCGTTGGTGACGATGGGCCCACGGGTCGTTTCGATAGAACTCTCGGAAGTAACGCTACCATGGCGGTTTCGGCTGAGGGTGCCCATCGCGCTGTGAAGGAAGAAATGCTCATAATCGAAGGCATCTTCGCGGTCCTCGTGAGACATGAAAGTCTGCACAGTATCATGGTAGAGTGAGTCTCCGCTATCACTGTCATATCCTTCCCCGCCCTGGACTTGCACGCTATCTTCGAAACCGTCCTCGGTTTGCATGTCAGAGATGTCGTCGTCAACGGCCTCATCATCCTCCACATCCTGGTTTGACTCCATGGCATTAAGCGCCTTTTGCCTTTCTTCCTGCCGGATGACATCCTCCACAGCGTCATAATCTTCAGCTGCCGACCCGTTATCTGCGACCAATGGTTGTATCGTCTTGGGTCCTTCTTCTGGCTCCTGGACCCGCCCGTCAACGCTCACCGCGTCCCCATTCCACGGACTCTTTTCCGAGCTAGCAGCCAATGGCTCCGGCGATTGTGGCTTCTGGGGTTCTGCATACCACTGGTCGACCTGAGCGTGAGTAAAAGGACTTGGGGTTCGCAGGCTCTGCATGCTGCGTCGTCGCATGCTATCGGCACGTGCCTGTTCTCTCAGAGACGAGATCTTTCCTTTCAGGTCCTGCACCTGATCTCTGATGTCGCGCATTTGCGCAACAGATGCAGAGCGTGTCAGTGGCCTATCGCGACTCGCCAGGCTGAACGCTGGGCTTAGGAGAACCTCCCGGTTGCCGCTGTCGCTCCCTGAGTGAAATTCCTGCGTCACCTCTTCTTCTCCAAGGGGTTCCAGACCAATTTCTTGTGCGATCTTGTAGCGCGAGTGTCCCTCTCCTCCAGAGTTGAGGCGGTCCGATGCCGATTCGTAAGAAGCCTTACGAACAAGAAGCGGTTGTCGGTATCCACCTGCTGCTCCCATTGCACTGGCGGACCGTTTGGGAACATTGCCTAGAGTGTTTGCATCAATGTTGAGCGTCGTGTCACTCAACATCCTTGCATGCCCGTGAGCAGACATCGGAGAGGTTACAGACGAGGCAGACCTCGGTGGAGGAGAGGGAGTTGAGTGGTTTCCGTCGAAGGAGGACATTGAGGGAGTCGAGATGCTCAATGAACTCCGCGCTCTTGACAGATTACCTTCCATTGTCTGTATGCGTTAGTAAGCGACTTGTGAAGGAACTATCCATGGAGGCATACCGTGAGCCTCCGTTTAGCATTCGCTAGAATTTGCTCGGCCCGGCGACTTATAAGAGAGGTGGAGTATGTTTTGGGATCATCGAGAGGTGGCCTCATAGGTTGCAACTTATCCTGTGTTTGGTGAACAGGCGCCTGCTCAACATAAGATTCCGCCACACTCTCTTCATCGTCGCCCTGGAAGTTGCTATCGTCGACGCTCATGGCATCGTCAAATCCCGCGAACAGGGCGTTTTGGTCTTGTGTTGTAGTGATCGTGCTTGTGGAATCAATAGAGGATCGCCGTTCACGCGTCGCCCGCGCTGCTCGTTGCTTGAGGGTCTCTAGCACTTTTGTGGGCGACGGATATCGCTGTTCGTCGGCGCCCCCATTTTTGGGTCGGGACCAGATGATGGAAGTCGGGCGCGAAGCTCTGCCGGGTGTGCTCTCCGCCTCCGTGACCTCACCAATGTCAGACAACATGGTCCCGTTGCCATAGATGATTGGCGTTGCAGGGGTGATAGGACCAGCGACAAATGCGGAGGGTGGAAATTGGAACTGCATGTTCATATCGACGGCATGCGCGTTCTTCCACATGGTTAGCGGAGAATGGGATCGTTCGGGAGAAGGCGAGCGATCGTAGTCGGGGAGAATCATGTCGGGATTCGTCAGCGTAGGAGACGCAGGCCGCGGGGGATACGAGGACGTGGAGCTCGAATGTGCGTGGCCCGCGTGGGCGTGTATCGTCTGCATCGCCATGATTGTCGATGGGCAAATTTGGCAAACGATCAGGTATCGGCCGTGTAGCTGCCTGAGCGGATGTTTATCTTGGCTCCAGGCGTTGAGTGTGTCGTTATGGCTGGCCGTGAGGTCGAGACGCAATACGAGCTGGTCCCCAATGGGCGGATGGGGCCTTTTTGGGGCTGCTGATAGCTGCGAACCTTTTGCGGCGCGGAAACCTCAGCAGTCGATTACGTTTTCGTCAAGCAACAGATGATGGGACGAAGGCATTGAGCAAATTTTGGGCAGAGCGAAAACCGGTACCCCAAACTTTAGTCCGGCCTGTCGTCCGTCCGTCCGTTCGTGGGCTTGGATGGATCAAGGTTGGGATCCGGGCCGAGCGTTCTGAATCGGTCTGCAATTGGATCAGATGAATTCTGACGTGCTACAAACACGCAGCGAGAAACCGGGTGCCGTTGATGCCACGGTCAAGATTGAACACTAGGTAAGTAGATTGGCAGTAACGTCAACTGGGGCCAGTTCATCCGGGGCTTGGCTGTAGATAAGTGACGGTTATGTCGTGGATCTGCTGGACGCTGGATGGGAAAGGCGTGGCAGCAATGGGACGGCCGTTTGCGGCAATTGAGGTTTGTTGTATGCAAGCGCGGCCCAAGCAAACGGACTGCCGCGTCCGGGAAGATGGCTGGGACAAAGTGGCTCGGATTGCCGGATTGTTGTTAATATAGGGAAAGGATTGCGTTCGAGGACAAACGGCTGACGAAAATATTCTGTGGGATCTTACTTCCCCCTTCTTTTCCTCCTCTTGCAAAAACGTTGACTGACGAGGTAATTACGGCTTTGTCGCGAGGTTTAAGGGGCTGCAGATGGTGGTAGGTACTGTGCGTGGAAAAGTGGTTTGAAATGGAGGATGAAGAAAGTTTAACCAATGAGGTCGGTCGCGTAGGTGTGAGACAGACAGTGGGTGTTCTCTAGCGCCTAGCCTGTCTCTCGCTGAAGTGCAGCAGCAGCAGCAGCACGTCGTGTTTCTCCTTGACCAATCTGCGTTGGCCAGGCCAGTGAGATAAGACACTTGAGAGGGAGGGGTTCTCTGCAAGATGGCTCGAGAGTCGATGGTCCTGGACGTCAGTGCAAGGCGGGTGAGGTATCGATTTCGGGTGGTAGGAAGTTGCGAGGCGGGTGGGTGAGTGAGTGTACGGATAGGTAGATGGTTTTTGGGCGAGGTGAGCGCGCAAGCCTGAACCAGGTCGAACGGAATGTTATTGAGTTTGTGCTTGCAGTATCCGTAGTACCCAAGAGTATTAGTATAGGTAGAGTAACTGACCGGTTAACAAGACTCTTGGCACGTCGATCGACGAGTGGATGGTGTACACGAGGGATGGTTGCAGTATTACGGATATTGGGTGCTGCTACCTTCAGACTGACGATCGAAGGAAGCGTCTCATCTGGCACTAAGGGACTCCTCTTGTCAAGGAAGGCCTGCCGCGTGGCATTATCCGGTGTTGACTGAGGATGTCAAGACCAGGCGTGTCGTGGTCTGGCCCTCCTGCCTCCCCTGGCTCCCTCTCCCCCGGTCCCGTCCCCTGATGTCTGTCTCGCTTCAGGCACAGTCTATTCCGCCTCTTCATTCGCAAGATCAGAGCAGGACCCGAAGCCGCTCCAGAGAACAGGGAACAGGCATTCTCCATGTCCCAGCAACAATGCTCCCGTTCGTACATGGTGAAATTTTCCTAATCTCAATCTCGCGCTCATGCAGAGAAGGGGGTCAAGCCTGGCTCGCACTTGGCCCCTTGCTGCGACACTACGTACAGTACACTACCTACCTACCTACCTACCTACACGACGCATCAATGCATGGAAATTTTGTTACCTACGCCGGCTCGGCTGCACTTGATCTTGGGAGTAGCCCATCTTAGACAAGCGCCGTTCCTTGCCTTGTTCGCTGCCGCTTGTTGCTTGCTTTCTGCAGCTTCTGCCCCGCGGTGCCCAGGGAGCATGCAGAGTTGAAACGCCGTGATGATTAAGTAGGATGAATGGACCCGATGAATAAACGAATTGATCCTTATCCCGTTCACTCTGAGAAATGGCCAGCGGATTGGTACGGAGCCTATGTGGACCGTGAACAAAAACCCCCTCCCAACTCGGGTTCGAGATTAGAAGAACGAAAAAGAAGAGAAAATGGTAACGAGGGAGCAGCCGCTTTGTCGGTGCTGCCTCTGTCCTGGTCCTGGCCGTTCCACGTTCCGGTATTGGAATCTGGAGCTGTACCTGTATCCGTACCTGTATCTGTACCAGTACCAGTACCAGTACCTCTGGGCTCGCAAGTATCCGCCCAAGTGAGTGCAATGCCAGCCATTTCCTCTCTTGTGCAGTGGGGTCTCGAGAGTGTGCTGGAACCTTGAATTTCTTTTTGCATGCAGAAAGAACCCTGACGTCTCCTGGCTCTCCTGACTTCTCACGGCACACTGTACGTACTGGGCTGGTGATGTCCGCCAGCTTAGTTTCTCCCGTCCGTCCCCGCTTGCCATTCGGCCTTTTTTCCATTGCTTTTTCTCATTGTCTTTTTGAGACGAACCCGTCCGACCCTCAAGTGGACTCTCGGCTGGGGCAGCAATGACAGCTTCAACACAACCTCACCGGTGACATGTGGGGGGTGGATCTCGTCCGTTCGGCACTCTGGATATCCCTTTTCACTGCTGATTTGGGCCGTCAAGGTATTATATCTAGAGCCTGCATCCCCCCCAGGGCTTTCTGGTCTATCAGCGATTGGGAATCCGAGTTGATGTGGGTGAAATGAACAACCGAGTCTTTTGGGTTTCCTGGAACCACGGTACTGTACAAATACATCAGCCTGTCTATTCTCGGCTCGCATTTCGGATGCACTGTGTTGCACTGGGAGAGCCGGGGGGAAACCCTCACCAAAGTCCACCACTAGATCTGGATGGCACCTCAGCTGTTTCCATTCCATGGCTTTCATCTTCTTCGGCATATCCTATGACGCCATGTCTGATCAAACTCATGCAGACCCATGGCCAATGTGCTGCTCATTAGCCATTAGCTATACCCTTCCCCCCTTTCATCAGCCTGGCAGTCTTGGTCTCCTGTCGCATTGATACCTCGGCGCCGAACCAATCTTCAACAGCGCTCTCATCTTAGACGGATCCAGTGATCCATCGCCTCTCGCTTCAGACCGACGAAATCCCTGCAACGCTCAGCCCGGTGGACGATGTCTGGCGTAGATGAGACAGGTGTCCCGAGAACTTGGGGAGCGAATCTGGCCCGAGTCGTGAGGAACATTCCACTCGGTCCCATCACTGTGGTTGCAGACTAGCCAGAAAAGGCCCTGCCCATGACTGGTGGCTGACCGACTGACGCCAAAGTCTCTTTCGAGCGAGAGCGGGGGGCGAATGAGTTGAATGATTTACACACTTCCCCATGCAGCCGAATAATTGTGCCAACGATGAGGCGCCGCGCCCGGATCTCGTCGCCTATCTCGTTCGATCTTGGTCTTGATCTTCATCTAAGTTGAAGACTCCCTCACCAGGAAGCCAACAGTTGCATCCCCCGAGACATTCCTTCAACCATAAACCGTCCCAGCATCGCCAGTATACAGACATGGCTTACACACATTGACCGTTGCATATCCCCGCCATGCGTTAAAGAATGTCCAGGGACCGGATCCGCTCCTTCTGTCTCAGATGCCGTCCGGCAATACGGCTGACGACAACAGTGTCGTCGCGAACGTCACGGCCTCTATCCACATGCTAACTATCATCACCTCAGATTTGACCACCGAGCAACGCTTTCAAATTCAACGTCGTCCAGCTGGGGCGGGTTGTGATACGGGCAAATGCGCGTTTCCTTTCTATGTCGAAATATCCTGGATATATCCGTGTAGTCTATTCTATGCCTTATTCTTTTTTTCGTCTTTGCCATCCCTTCCATGCAAATCAGTGATTCTTCCCGTGCGGCTGATCAGGTATAAACAATTCTCAATGCCTTTGTCTACCTTTTCATCCAACCCAAATGTGCCATAACAATTCCATGTGCGCGTTTAACCCTCGGTGAAAGCCTCGCTCCTAGCCTGCGCAGTGGAGGCGTCCTCGTTGCCATTGTCCTTAGTCGTAGGACGGTTGGCGATGAGACGCTAGCAGCAGTCAATACCTTCTTCTCCGATAAAGCCTTTCAGATGGAGGGGGTTAACCTACCACCAAGTTTCTCAATAAGCACGCAATGGTAACCTTGCCAACCGACGGGACATAGATGGCGGCCTTCTCCTTGACCGTAGGGGCGTCGAAGTTACGGAACGAGGAGAAGTTGATGCAGACAGCACCCTCGCGGATGAGATCGGTCGAGATCTTGTACTTCTCGCTGGGGACCCCGCCGATGATGACATCGCTGATGGGCAAAACCTGCTCCAGACCCCAGCCCTCCTTGTCCTCTACCTGGTGGCGGATCTGCTTGATGCCCTTACCGCGGGTGAACAGCTGAACGCCTGTGATGTCGACCGAGTACACCGTGGCGCCGTCGTTGGCCAGCAAGGCCGCCAGTGGACGGCCGTTGACCTCGGATCTGTTGATGACGGTGATGGTCTTACCGAAGAGGCGGTTGCCGTAGGCAAGGATCGGGTTGTAGATCTGGAGGTGCTCCAGAATCTTGACTACAGCAAGGGGCGTACAGGGTAGGATGGACTTTCTCAGGTTCTGGGGCGGGTCTAGGAAGCGGACGTTGTGGTACATGTTGAAGATGTGCTTGTGGCAGAGGCCCTCGACATCCTTTGCCAAGGAGACGGTCTCCTGGATGTACTTGTCATGGGTCGGGTTGCCCGGGAAGATTGGGTAGTAGACGATGATGCCATCAACCTTGTCATCCTCGTTGGCCTCGGTGATCTTGTCCTCGAGCTGCTCCTTGTCGACCCGGCGCAAGTCAAAGTCGAAACCGCTGTGAGAGAAAAAACAAGGCGTCTGTCAGTACCTCTACACTTATTTGTTCACTTTGCTCAACGAACGCAAAACGTAAAGCCTGCGTGACGGTGGGGTCGGCCTACTTCTCGACGCAGGTCTTCTGAGACCACTCAGCATACTGCAGAGCAGCCGGGTCGTCGTTGGCCAGAAATGCCACCAATGTGGGCTTGAAGATGCCGCTGCCCTGCACCTTTGCGAGGGTGTCGTGGACCTCGGCCAGGAGGCGCTTGGCGATGGTGTCGGCCAAAATGACCTTGCAGGTCTTGGGAGCTACTTCGTTGGAGGCCATGTTTACAAACAAAGATCCAGGACCGGTTCAGGTATTCCTTTTTCCATGTTATTCGGAGTCCCCTTAAACACTTGTGAATACTCACGGTGGTCTGGGCTGGAGTGAGTTGCCCTTCGGCGTCTAACCTCCAAATTAGTACTTATGAGATGCCCCACCACTTCCGACCCCGCGATGTTGCGTTCTAGTGGCATTTCGGGTGGGAATAAAGAAGACACTAACTGCTGTAGAAAGACAGATATATAGCAGAAGAGGTTGCAGCCGGTCCTCTGGTTGCTTCGGGCTTTCAGGGCAAGTTGAGGCGGCAGAAGTGAGAAAAATTATGATTCCGATGAGTAGATGGTTCCGTCCGAGTCTTTTGGAGGGGCAACCTCCGACTTGGACACTCTAAATTTTTTTCGTCGTTGGTACAGGACCCCGCGGCCCCTGGGCAACCCGGGCTACCCCTCCATGGCCTCTTACCTGAATAGGACTAGCGGTGTCTGCGTTTGTTCATTAAAATTCTTTTCGGGGCTGCGAACAACTACAGATTTCAAGCTGATCTCGACGAAATATTGAGTTGAAGCGATTTAAAAATAGCGCCTGGGTTATTCAAACATTTCCCACCCCAGCCCTGCAGTTTGGCGGCACTCAGGTTGGAGGAACTCATCGGCTGCGCTAAGCCTTAGCAGATGCCGCGCTGTCGGAGGGTTGGTTCCTCCAGACCGCGATAAGATCGATAAGACCTATACCGCTTTCCCTATCGGACCTTCCCCCACTACCACTAACCCAGCAAGTCTGAGTAATTATCTCACAACCCACCACCGGTTTTCGGTGGCATGAAGCCAGAGACGTCTTTTGACAAAAACCCGAGGAGCCAGACGCCAGACAATTTCATATAATTTTTTTGGTCTAAGCCGCGACCCCGGCGCATTACTTGCTTCGGATTTCAAATCATCATATCAGTCTTGATAACAAACGCTACGAGCGCGGCAACTAGGCCCTGCTCCGGGTTGCATCCAAAGGCGCGGGGTCAGATCCAGTACGAAGTGAGGTTAGGCAACCGGACTTTTGACGATATTTCACACAGCCATTTCCTTGGCATCACATCTTAACGGAAAACTTTGAGCTCGAACAAGAGATACACACCCACTATTCCACAACAGCAACAAGCCTTCTTCACCTTCGCGGCTACTCTTTGTGGTCCATCAACTACCAAAAGAGAGTTCTTTGGGTACTTGAGCGACTAAGGCTTGGAAGCAATAGTGAGAACTCACGGTTGCTACTGCCCCTAGAGGCTTGCCGGTTATAGAAATATACGGCCCTTACGATTCCGTCGAAGATAATTCTGGCCTGATACTAACATCAAGAAGTTATCATTGCATCCACCTCCTGAGACCGACTGCACACAACAAGGCAGACCGCAGCTCGCTTTTGCAGTTTTTCGACCACAAGAGCTCAGATCGCAATCTATTTCTGCAGTAAACCGATCACGCTAGCAAGCCAAACTGCAACTACCCCTACTGCAACAGGCCACACTTGAGTACGAACAAGCTACCTGTGCAATCATGGCAGACTTCCGGAAACTAGCACTCGAGTTCGTCCTCAGTGACGATACCGAAAGACAGGCAACAATAGTACAGGAGGCAGCTTCAGGTATACACACCACCTCATAATCTGTTCCTATCAGATTTAACAGCCCAGGCAGAATACTGACTGTGACCCAGCCATCCAATCTGCACCCAGACCCAGCAACCCAGTCGCAAGATGGGTTGAGTCTATCAGACCTTGGATGCCGAGTGCAAATGACGACCAAATGGAAGAGGGTGAAGATGGAGAATCAAGTGGTGACGTCATTGCCAGATCCAAAGGTAGGCGAAGAATACAACCAGAATGATCACTTGTCGATGTTGACTCATTCCGTTTCCTCTAGCATTGAGCTTCTTGGCTGGCACATTGGATCATTTGGACCCTGAATTTCTCAAGCCGGATCAAGGTGAGTAGAGATATCCTTGGTATTTGCTGCCAATCTGCTAACACTAACCTTTCAGTCAATCTGCTTGTGACCTTCTTTGGCAGCATGTTCAAGGTTGACCACAAAGCTGGCATACTACCGGCTGCCAAGGCACTCAAAAGAACTGCCAGCATGAAGGCTTTTCAGCCTCAGAAAGGAAATGACATTATCAACAGTGTCTGCAGTCTTCAGGACGACTTCAAGGCCCAGGTGGCAGACACACGTGTAGCTGTGTACGAGCTCCTTGACTACCTTATCACTAACCCAGATGTCGCCAATGACCTGCAATACCAACACGGTACAACCGCTGGCTTCATCACAGACCTCTTGCAACTCTGCCGTAACGAGAGAGACCCTCGATGCCTGATGACATGGTTCAAGATCTTGAAAGTGTTCCTCTCAGAGTATTCTCCTGCGCCAGAGGTTGTCGACGAGATCTTCGGCATCTTCTCTGCATACTTCCCCATTTCTTTAAGAACGTCTCAACACCCATCCGGTATCACAGCAGATGATCTGAAGCTTGCTTTGAGGGCTTGTTTTTCAGCACATCACCGTGTAGCTGGCAAGGCCATCCCGTACCTTCTCAGTAGGTTGGACCAACCGGACAGTGTGACTGTTAACGTCAAGGTTTGTGTTCAACTTCCTCTTTGAAATCCAAAGGCCTGCACTGATACTGTGAAAGGTCGATATTCTTAAGACCCTGACTGCATGCTTGGCCAATTACGAGCATGTCCAGCAAGGAGTTGCTCCCTTTGCGGACAAGATTTGGAGCAGCCTCAAGTACGAAGTACGCAACGGAGAAATCGAGGACACAATCAACGCCACTCTGGAGGTCATCCGAACCATTTCCAAACGACTCACGGGAGATGAGCTTAGAGACTTTGCCCTCGCTGTCCAGCGTGACTGCTTGGAGGACTTGTCAAACCCTATCTACACGGCAGCTTCTGGGAAGCTCCTTATCTCTGTTCACAGCGCAAAACCTGCTGCTTTTGCGCTCATGGTTGCTCCTTCAGTCACTCATGTCAAAGAGAACCTTCGTCACACGAAGTCACCTGAACATACCAAGAACCTCTTGATATTGCTAAACTCCCTGCTCGAGCTTCGGCAAGCCCTTATTGGAGGAGGTATGCAATTGAACGTAGAGGATGCCCAGGCTTTCAAGGCAACAGAACCAATGCTTTGCCCGCTTCACAATCAGACGTACATGCCTCTTTTCCATAAAGCTCTTGAGGATACAGCTCAGAAGGAGGACATTGCAATAGGTCAACAGGCGATTAAAGGTCTTGGGTTGATGGTTTGCCAGCGAGCAGCCCAGACAGGAGAATCCATCCAACCTATGCTTCCCGATTCAACACTATCCGAAATTTGCAACGGTTTGGCAAGCGTCATCTTCAAGAACTCCGAACAGCCTAAGATGGCCCAAGCCCGCTCCGAACTAGAGAACGATGCTGTACTCGCTCTACAGAAGGCTCTGATAGCTTATCCGCAAGGTCGGGCTGAGGCTATCAAAGAATGCCTCAGACTATGCGAGACGTACCTCACTTCCCCTGAGCGGGAAACTCTTCCAACGATGGCTCCGATTCTACAGGAAAGGATCCACAGACTGGCTTTCATTTGCTGCTATGAGATTCCTCGCCAAGGCAACGTGCTCAGCGGATACATCTCGTACCTCAACGCGGTTCTCGTAATTCTACACTCGATGCTCAATTCCAAAGCACACCCTAGACTTTGGTGGGTACTCGCTTCCGGAATACATTTGGCAATGAGGCTCTGCCAGAGGGCGGTCGAAGTATTGCACCCGCGCTCCAAAACGAATAATTTCGATGATAAGCGGTTCTCGCTCGATTGGTTCAGCCATGTTGCCAACCGATACCTTGAACTTCCGCGGTTTGACGATAACATTGCTTCAAATGATGGCGAGAACGCGATGGATGTCGATGATCAGTCAAAGAGCGCGAGTTACAATGGCGATCAGTTACACGGGGAATTCATTTTGTCCAGCCTATTCGTGGTACGGCAACTTTACAGACGTGCCACCAAGATCATCAGCTACGCCAACGATACTGAACTCTCCCTCGCGCTGAGTGACGATTTCCATTGCAAGGACCCAGACGACCGAAAGATCGAAGACAACTACTTGCATGTTCTCTCAGAAATGGCTACATTTGTCATCCAACAGATGACTGAGCTCGAGCAGACCAGGCTGCTTCTGAATGAGGAGGTTGTAACACTCTTCCGTGGAGATGACGAGTACCATCATCCCGACCCTCAAGCGGGACATCCTTGGCACAATTCCGAGCTGCGGGACGCTATGCTGAGAACCTGGGCTCCTCAGGCTTCGTACAGTATGACAAACCCTCCCAAATTTCCCATAAGCGGCTTCAGTCAGGGGCGTACTGTCATCCTCTCTCTTGGTATTCTCCAGCCCTTTCACCCAACAGCAATTCAGCGTCTGGTAAGAGTGACCCCGAGCCAATTGCGGAAATCCCAAATCTAATTCTTTCATAGGTCGAAAGAGGAACCGCACACCAGATCCTCATCGCTGGTCTTCTTGCAAGAGACCACTCAGCCTCGCCCAGATGCCGTCATGTTGTTTCGGCCATCCTGACGATTATCTCCAACAAATACCCTGTCGAAAAGCTGGACGAGATTGCCACAATGCTGCAACTCCAGATGAACTTTGTTGTAAATGAAGAGAGACAGTCCGACGAGTTAGAGCAAGTTACGGGTTTCCTTGAGCACGAAGCCAACATGGTACCTGGAGGACGCCCTGATGAGATCAGGGCGGAGCTGGCGAGACCTGTGTATGCCATTATTGCGGGCATTATAAGACGCTACAGCGGCAGCTCGCTCCGGCAGCTCCTGGCAACTATCCAACAAGGACCTAATAACAAGAAGATCGGCCACATGCTTAGCCGTAACCTTGAGTCCATCTTCGGCGGTCTCGACATTCTCAAGAAAGAGTATTACGGACAAATCCGCCCTCTCTGGGTCCAGAGAGCTTACTTCGAGATGATCAAGCCCATGCTGGCCAAGGCCTGGCCTGCTGGCTCGAACAGCAAGGATGACATGCTCACTGCTGCGAATTACAGTATCGCTGTCCTCTCAGCTGTCAAGTACATGCAATACCCGGTCTATGAAGATGACACTGAAGACCTGATCAGACTGATCCTCTGTGCGATCCGATACTTGCCAGCGACCAAGGACGTGGCGGCCGCTCTCAGCGTCCTACAGAACGTCACGGAGAACTCGCCCAAGCGGGTTCAGCCCTTCTTGAAGAGCGTCATTGAGGCTTGCATGTCCGTCTTTAACAGAAACGGAACGCAGGCTGCCGAAGACGGCGCATGGATGCCAGCAGGCTACATACCATTCGATCACTCTGGACTCTGGAGATCGCAGTGTCGCTGCCAGGTCGTTCGCATCATTGGCCTCCTCCCCGTTCAATTCGAGCACCGTCATCTGCTTGACTCGGCGTCGCAGGCTAAGCGTTTGTTGGCGCAGGCTTCAGGTGACAGGGTGCGTAACGTTCGCGAGGCTGCTTTGACATCCCGCGCTAAGTGGGATGAAGTCAACTGAAGGCGTTGAGGCTTAATAAGATGAATGGGGATTCGTGTTTCCTTTCCAAGCGTGATGGAACATGGAGAAGGGACGCTGGGTGAGTGGTACGTGTTGGACTACACAAAGTTGGTGAGGGACTAGGAAGGCGGCATAGTGGTAGGAATGTCGGCATGGCGAGGCGTTTGGAGGTTCAATAGTGCGTGTTGAGAAGAGAAAAGAGCTTACTCTAACAAACCCAGAAGTTGAAACAGGCCTTAAGAAATCAATTGTGAGTGCTTTGGTTCTGAGCGATGCCCTAGTTAAAGCAGGCTCCTTCATCTATGCATCATCCTCATACCTCTAGCTCTGATTAGCTGTGAGATTCAAGGCTTCCTTGAATGTGGCTGCTGAACTAATGAGAGCTAGGACGGGTAGTCTAGAAGAGAAATGCTCGTTACACCAAGGTCACCGGGCACTGCATACGCAGGCAAGGCCTCCTACATATTTAAATGGATATGCAATAAGAAACGTAAACTCCGTGCTTTTGAAGGACCCTGATTTTCCATAGCATACATGACTATGAACGTATAGTTTCATTGCACATAAGCTCAAATCCCCTTTTTGTGAAATTATTCGCTTTATGCCTTGCGTCGCTTGCTTACGCCCTTGTCTGCCTTGGCGCCGCTGCCCGTCGCCGTGCTTTCCGCATACAGCGCATCGAGTACGTCAGTTGAGTACGCCTGGGATGCAGACTTGACGCGTTTTGAGTCAAGCTTGCCGATGGTGGAGATGTTTGTGGCAAGGACCTCCTGGAAGGGGACGGCGACGAAGTGGCCTTGGGAGTCGAACCATTCGGCGAAGGGTTTCGAGAGATCAAGCGTCTTCTTTTCGCCATTCTTGGAAGTGATGGTGATCTTCATGTGGTAGGTTGGGTCGTTCTTCCTTGTCGAGGTTGCAATGTTGATCTGGTGTCAGTTGTAAGTCATGGGTCTACAAGCGTAGGGAATTGCTCGTCAGTAAGAAGGACGAGGTAGGCCGGATCTCACCTTCTCGCCCGAGGGAGATGTGCCCTCATATACAGTACCTGCCTCCTTGAGCCAGATCCATAGCGTCAGAGCACCGTTAAGGAGCGAGTAGAGGGCCACGGCGGCCGTAGTGTAGTGCTTGGTGCTTTCGAAGCCAAGCTTATAGTCCCACAGGAAACATGCGCCGGCGATCAGGAAGGCGGAGTAGCCGAGCGCGAGGCGAACATCAGTTAGGGTGTGGGTTTGGGTAAACTTGAGGGAGTTGAGGTAGTTGGGAAGCGCGTCGTCCGAGGTGTTCTTGAGGTCTTGGGAGCTTCGTGTTAGTGCGATGTGACGACATGTCTGAGTCGGAGGAGTGAGATGCTTACCCGCTAAGTTGTAAACCGTTAATCTCTCGGAAGAAGACATCGTGCCTGGTGATTTCACGGGAAGTCTTTTGTGGAATTGACAGCAATGCAGAGGTTCGACGGGCGTGGAGTGCGATAGTTTTCTTGTAACCTCCAGCCTGGCTTTCAGAGCTAGGACACCTTGGACCCTTGTGTGAATTTGTGTTGTGAAAGTGGAAGGTGGTCTTTCGGAGGCACGGCGAAACAAACCGCCGGAGGAGCTCCCACCCACTTTCAAGGTCCCATACCAACACCACCAGATTGAATGGATGCAACGGGAGAGCACACAACCACCTGGCAGTATCGCATCGACGAACGCCATCACAATCCTCTCTTTTCCCCCGATACCCGGCACTGCTCGTCAAATAAGCCCATCATGGCTCAAGTTCCGGTGCAGACGATCCACCGGGATCCACAGCTCCTGTATACCGACCCGGTTCCGCCGCCATCATCTAGTTCCGCGTGCTAATTCAATGTTGAACAGCTATTGGATTCTCTTTCCGATCACGGTGGTCATGATTCTCACCGGCATCCTTCGACACTATGTCACTGTTCTCCTCGCCACGCCGCCCAAGAAGCTCGACAAGCCGGCGCTGAAGGAGCAGCGCGCCATGATGCACGGTGTTACGGTGCGCACCAACCACCACGTCCTGTCCAAGAAGTCGTTCGAGGCGCGCCGCGATGCACTCGTCGCAGCCTACGAGTCCGGCGCGTATCTTAAGGATCCGGACCGCAAGGGCCAACCCCCCGCGAACCCGCTCACCGACCCGGGCGCGATGGATGGCATGATGGGCATGATGAAGAACAACATGGCTATGATCATTCCCAATACGCTTATTATGAGTTGGATCAACGCCTTTTTCAGCGGATATGTTATCAGTACGTCTTGGAGAGGTTGGTGAAGATGGCAGATTTGACGCTGACAGATGTAGTGAAATTGCCGTTCCCCATCACCATCAAGTTCAAGAGCATGTTGCAAGCGGGTGTTGCTACTAAGGACATGGATCCCCGCTGGATGTCTAGCATCAGTTGGTACTTCCTTTGCATTTTTGGTCTGCAGTCCGTCTTCAACTTCATCCTGGGCAGTGACAATGGTAAGCTAAGATTTCCCCCGGTTCTGTCCTTCGGAGTGCTAACCCCTTTGAAGCTGCTAGCCAGATGGCTCAGCAAATGGGACAGATGGGAGGTGCTCAGGGAGCCCCCCAGATGTTCGGTCCTGGCGTTGACCCGGATAAGCAATTCAAGGGCGAGGCCGAGAACATTGCCGTTGTTGAACACTACTCTGTTCTGGATGATGTGGAGCAGAGACTGCTCGCGGGTATCAAATCATAGTATTGTAGAATCATGTAGAATCCGCGCCATCCATACGCCTCATCCTTTCAAGTCCACACCGTCGTTGATGATGAAATATTTGGTGACAGGCCAAGGGCTTCCCGAGTCCTACTCGTTGCCTTGTCCATCCCACCAGAGGCAAACGCCGAGACCCTCCATAGCCATGGTGCCCTTCACTTTGTAGGGTGGCTTGGGTGGTGCAGCTTCCTCTCCCTGACTTGGGCCTGCAGGCGTCTGGTCGTGCCACTCCTCGTCGATGACCTGGAACCTGACCATCTCATGGTTATCGTAGAAAAGCCTATCGCCCTCGATGTTCCAGATCCAAAGCTGTTCCGAGTGGTTACTGACGGCGTGTTAGCTGCTTTCACAATGAGTTGGTGGAGCATGCTTGACTTACAACTCAGCACCCTCGGGAAGCTCATCAAAGGGAATAAAGATGTCATCGAAAAAATCGGTTCTCAGATTGATGCCAGCTGGCGTTGAACTTCTGATCCTGCCAAACATAACCTCACCCTTGAAAGGTCTAAAGACAATGAGCCTGAACTCGACTGATCGCAAGAGTCAGTACAGAGAAAATACAACAATATGATAATGACAAACCATTGACATTGACCAGACCCGTGCCATGGCCGATGAGACCTTCGGAGGTCCAGAGGAGGTCGTACAGGCAGATACAGAGACCAATCTTCTGAATAACTTTATTCGCATACTTTGCGTTGATGTTGTCCTCAATAGCGGCAACGCTCTTCTTGCGAAAATCCTCTGGCGCGATCTCGACAAGGTCGGCGATCTTGGTCTTTTTTTCCCCAATTGGGGCCGTGTTAGTGACAAACACACTGAAATTTTGTGAGGTTGGAGTACCTACCAGGATGAACATGCTGGGCCGTTTTCGTCCTTCAGGCAGGTGCGCTTTGGCAAGTCAAAAGATCCCAGTGTTGGAGAGTTCTCTAGAGCCCCAAGAGCATCGTTGGTTCCCCTCGACGCCTCTCTACACCGGCATGAATGTATATTTCGGAGAGTGTCGCGATTCGTTCTGGTTTGGCGCAGCCAAGTCGCAGAATCGGCAAAATCGCGGGGCGCCTGGTCCGAGGCAGCGAGTCTGAGTCTTACCGCCCGCTAAATCAAGTTTTAGCACTTGCCCACTTCAGAGGCTGCGGTGCGCTAGACGTGACCCGCCACACCTACCCATCTTGGCCTAAGCATGTCGTCTCGAGCCGCTGGAACTGTTAATGCGGAAACCGAAATCGCGACCAACCTTGCCGTAGAAAGCTGGATGGCTCCACCACCTACTTCAGCTTCCGCGTCCAGGATCCTACCTGCGTCAAGCTGTTGGTTCCATCCCTTCACATCCCTCTTTCTTTTGGCCCTTTGAACGTTGCTCGAGTTTTGCGTCTCCCAGAAGTTTGATGTCTTTGTTTTGTCGACGCTAGGTGTGAACACGACTCTTACCTCCCTTCCTCCAACCCCATCCCCATCGCTATCCAAACAGTACCTCGTAGTACGAATTCTTCGAGTCCAGTTCCAAGTAGACCACGCTTCGTCATTGCCTGACGCTATACTCATCGAATCATCGCTTGCGTACGACTCGAACGCGAAGATAAGAAGATCACGTCGACGTTCTCAAGACAATATGTCAGGTTACAACTACGGTCCGCCGCCGCCGCCCCCTCCAGCAGCACAGGCTAGCCATGCTGGATACGGCCATCACAACACCCCTTATCAACAACATCCTAGAGGCGGTGCTACCCATGCCTCTCGGGGCGGGCGTGGCGGTTACCCGTCGAACGGCCGTCCCGAATACCCCCCTGCCCCTCAACCCCAATACGAGTATGGACGGCAGCAACAGCAGCAGTATCTTCAGCACAGTCCTGGCTATCCTGCTCAGCCGCTTGCTGCCAGCAACTACCCTCACCACCAGCAGTGGCACCAAGATCACGCACATGGTACGCCTCAGCATAATGCTCCTCAGCATGGCGCTCATGCTCCTGCGCCGCTGTCGACTACCAACTATCATCCGAACTATGCCCCTCAGATCTATGCGCACCCGCAGCAGCCTCAGCCGCCGCCCCATCAGCCAGGTTATGGGCCTCAACAGCCACAGCAGCAGCCCTACAGCCAGCCTTATGCCCCGCCCGCACCATACAGCGCTCCCCAACCATGGGCAGGTCACGACGCTCACGCTCCAAGCCAGTATGGTGCGGGTCGTGGTCGAGGCGGCTATGGAAACGATCGAGGCGGTTCCAGAGGAGCTCATAATATGGGCACACCTGCGCCAGTAGCTTACGGTAGTGATGGAGGACACCATCAAGCGAATGGTGCGTACGGCCAGCCGTATGTCGATCCTCGCGCTCCGCCAGTGCCATACCAGCCCCCGGCACAATATCCTTACCACGCGCCCCCTCCTGCACCTCACGCGTCGGTCCCTCCCCGTGAACCGTTTTACAAACATGACGGACAAGCAGGGCGCGGTCGTGGTGGCCATCGTGGTGGCAACCCTCGAGGTCGGGGCTCATTTCACACCAACGACAGAGGTCGTCATCGTTCACAGGGGAGTCACAACCATCGCCAAGATGGCGGAGGTTCCCATCATAAGCATGACAATGCGGCATCAGGCAAGAAGAAGAAGCGCAAGACCAACACCCTTGGTCTTACTCCTGGTCAAGACTCGGAGTCAGAAGACGACGAGATGGAGGAGGAGACCCTTCGCAAACTCATCGGTGCAGATGCCTTACAGTAAGTCGAATGCAAAGTTACGACATCATAGTAGCTGACCGAGTTTCGCAGGGTGAACGATATTGATGCTTACATCGCTGAGCGGAAGAAGCGCTTCCCTACTGCCGCGCGAGTCAAGGCCAAGAAGTCTGCCGAGACCACGCAGGGTAACGGCAATAAGATTTCATCTGATTTGGAGAAAGAGGAGAATCTTGCTAGTAAGCTGCGAAGGCAGCTGGAGAAGGTCGAGTCGTCTATCAAGCGTAAACGTGAGCAGCAAGATGAGGGCGATGAAATGAGAGACAGCCCTTCCATTGATATCAAGTCTGAAGACGATGAGCCAGAAGTGGCCTCAAGTCGTGTTCAGCCACCCCCCCCTCCACCCCCTCCGGCGAAGAAGGCAGATATTTCAAAGCATTGCAAGTACTACTCTACGGGAGGTACTTGCGGCAAGAAGGGCAAGTGCCGCTTCGTTCACGATCCTGCTGTCAGAGAGGCAGCAATGAAAGACAGAGAAGCGAACAACGGCCATCTCACTATCCAGCAGCGTTTGATTCTCAACGACAAGGACCAGGAAGATCTCACTGTTCTGCAATCGATTCAATACCTGAGAGAGAAAGGCCTAATGAAGCCTGAAGAAAAACCTGATGGTTCCAAGGGGCATCATACAGGTGGCTCACAGGCCCCCCAGTCTGATTCGCGCCAAAAGTCCAGCAATCTCCCTGCCGCGCCTGCTTCTCTTCCAGCACCGCCACTGAAGCATCATAATGGGCTTCCTCCACACAAGCCGCCTCCCTCTGCATTGTCAACAGGCAGTGGCGGATCTACTGTTCGATACAAAGGCTGGAATCTGAGCGGATATGGGAACTCGGGTCTCAAGTCGGAAGATCTCCCATAGTATGCTGGTATCGCCCAGACAAAGACCCTGGAAACCCCACGAATGCTCGAGCTTTATACACCCAGACCCCGCATGTCGAGGTCTTACGCCTCTTCCGTCTGAGTATGGCGGTTTCTAGCGCTGCAAAGGGTCTCTCGCTTCGGCGGAGAAGTCATCCTGATGCACAAGTTCGTACCGCAGCAATGTTTGTATTTTGTATTTGATTATAACTTAACCTCAAGAGAAGTCGGGGAGATGGAGGCAGTCGAAAAGGCGGCAGTAGTTCTTCTGGCCGACCTCTTTTCTTTCACTTTCATTATGCTCAAAATGAAACGGACACGCGGACCATGTTCTGGGTTTCTTTGTTCAAGTCAAAAGTGTCCAGAGCTTCACCTGCAAAGTTGCGATCCCAGATCGCGTGTAATAACACCAACAAAAAGCGTCAAGGCCACCGCGAGTAAAGAGTTTGTGTGGCTTCTTTCACCAGCCATTCAAGTCGCACACTCGCCGGAGTTCTCGGTCGAGGAGGAAAAGGAGCTTAGTAGCTCTATACAAATACTTCTTTAACCCTTCACGCATTTCTGGTATCGTTGCAGGAGTTTGGTGCGGACTGCAGTCTGGCATGACTGCGATCGATACCCAAGGAAGGATTAGCGTTCGGAATTATATAGAATGGATTGCAAACACGGTTTCCTCTCGTCAATCAGTGCAGAAAGATGCCGTCCAGTTTATAACTATGTGTAGGTAATCATTCAAGGCAGAAGGGTGGACGTCTTACGTGGCCACGTCCTCATGAGGTGCATGTCGCAGATTCGTCCAGCCTCGGTCAGGAATTGACGTTGGCCTCGAAAGGGCTTGCTGCATCGACCAGTAACTGGATATACAGACGTAATGACATTGGGTTACCATTTCACTGGTCTCCACGGTATCATTGCGTTGCTGCACGTGCATGCCTGTTCCTCAAATGATGAAATAATTGGGAAGAAAAGGAGTAGAAAATGGGAGAACCCGGCTAGTCATAGGATAATGCAGAGCAGTCTCTCCCGTTCCAGTAATGACAAAAATACACGAATGAACGCCGTCGCTAATGTTGATGCTACCACGCCTTTGCCAATAGAAATGCCTCTAACCCCCAATCTGGTGTACCAGATGCCCCTCTCGACGGCGAGATAGCCTTAGCGTCGCGCTTTCTGCTGCTCGAAAAACCTGCGCTTGCGCTCCTCCTTCTCGGCCTTTAGCCTCTTTTCGAGCCTCTCCTGTTCGATATCCTCGAGACGCGCCACCCGTTCTGCCCTAGCCTCCTCCTCCCACACATCGTCCATGCCAGCCTCCATGTCTGAAGAGCCATCGGAGTCATATGTGTAGCGAGGGCCGGCTTCCTCCTCGTCCTCATCGTATTCGATAAAGTCGTCGAGTTCCTCGTCTTCCTCTTCGTCGTAGCGGGACCGTTTCGCGGAGCCACCATAGCGTGGGGCGGGACGCGCGTTGAGAAGCGCGCCTCCGGGAGCCGGCTTCTTCTTGGCCGACGCTGCTCCGGGTTTTGGACGGGCGGTGCCCGTGTACCCAGTTGTTGCGATGGCGGCCTTTTTAAGCTTCTTCTGATTCTCCTCCTCGGCAACCGCAGCGCGTGCCTTCGAAACAGCCCGGGGGTCTTTTGCTCTGTCGACCGCCCCATTGCGGCTGGCACTTGTTCCATTGCGTGGCGGAGCGGCTGTTGCCGATGGTCTTGCGTTCCCCTGGAACTTTGATGGTTGCCTTGCAGCAGCCTTTGGGTCCTTCTTGGCATCCTTCTTCATCTCCTCCCGATCCTTCTTGGTGAAGACCTTTTCCACAGGCTTATGCTGGATTTTGCCGACTTGGCCCATCTTGGTCTGGGCTTGTTGGGCCCGCGCCATGATCTCGGCGAAAGACCCCTTCTTCGGAGGAGCTCCTGACTTGGGTGCAGCGCTTGGAGCGGATGGCGATGGTCGACTCGGCAGGGTCGATGTGACCTTCGACGTGCTAGAACCATTCAGCGGCCTAGCCCTGGAAGAGCTGGGCTTTGCTGCTGTGCTGCCATCACCGACAAGCTTAGGCGCAGATGCTGATCGGTCGGAGGGTCGGCCGGCACTGCCTCGATAGCCTGTAGTAGTCGTCGTTATCTTTTCTGTAGGTCGTGCGGGCCTCTGGGTATCCGCCAGCTTCGAAGGGGCAGAAGAGGTGATGCCGTTTGCGCTCGTTCGCGGTGTCTTATTTGAGACGGTATTGCGGAGGTCGTCATCCGCTTTCCGTTTCGGAGGGGGGATAGATGGTCTGGATGGAGCTGGCGATGTGCTCTGTGACTTGTCGCCACTGATCTGGGCGAGGAGGTCTCCGATCTGTATAGGCTCGAGGGTCAGCGCGTCATAATGCTCCAAGAGCGGACGCCGCAGGCATTTGATGCTTACAGGCATAGTGACAGACTATTAGAGCCAAGTATCGTCAAGCAAGTGTCTAGGTTGCTTGCAGTGGCCGTCACGATGCATCAGGCGGACGCTTGAGTCATCAATAATGGGAGATATGGGAACTTTAGTTTCTGCGATTCAGGCCGCCTCTCCGAAAAGAACTGGACACGCGGGCAGAAAACCGTCTAGGACCGGAGGTTAACGGAGAGTTGGGAAAGAAAATGAGGAGAAATTCTGCGAAAAATGAAAAGGCGGTCGCAAAACGTACGGGTTAGACAACCAGCAGTCGAAAAAATCGAAAGATGGGTGTCGGGGAAACAAAAAGAAGTGGCGTTGGCATCGGCAAGTTTATATCTACTGGATGGACTGGGGGGTGGAATCACTGGTGCTTCCAGCGCTGTCCACCAAAGCCGGGCATCCAACCCGTTAGCCTCTTCGGAAGCTGCTTGGCTCCGGTTCCGTGCTTGAGGTACCTACCAAGCCTTCAGGACCGTAGTCGCGTGAGTCGATGTGTGGCTTGGGTGCACCAGCTGCGCTAGCGATGTAACGGCGAACAGGTATCATTGTGGCTGGTGCGGTCCTTAGGAGGAAAGCCACACGGGATAGGACACTCACTGGAGGTCTCTAGCCACCGCCAGTCCCCGCCCTAAGCCCTCCGCTCACAAAACGGGGAAAAAGTTCGATTTTCGCAAACTTTCCGAATCGCAACAACCACGCGAAATATCCTCCAGGACTCGAAGATTCAGTCTCCGCCCAACTTCGCGGTTAAATTGATTGACCTCTCGTGTTCTCTACGACAAACTGTGAGTCTGCCTCTGCTCATTCATTCTTCGACAACGACCAGCATTGTCGACCGTTCGTTACATTGTCGCCGCCGTCGCGAAAATTGTTGACGCCCTTGTCTAATACTTCTCCGCCACAGAAAAACCATATTCAAGATGAAGCACCTTGCCGCTTACCTTCTCCTCGGCCTCGGTGGCAACACCTCTCCCTCTGCCAGCGACGTCAAGGCTGTCCTTGAGTCCGTCGGCATTGAGGCCGATGACGAGCGCCTGAACAAGCTCATCTCCGAGCTTGAGGGCAAGGACATCAACGAGGTTCGTTTATCAATACCGGTTCCGACATGGCGGAGGACCACGCATGCTAACTAATCGCGTAGCTCATCTCTGAGGGCTCTGGCAAGCTCGCCTCCGTTCCCTCTGGTGGCGCTGGTGGTGCTGCTCCCGCTGCTGGCGGTGCTGCCGCTGCCTCTGCCGATGCCCCCGCTGAGGAGGCCAAGGAGGAGGGTAAGAACGATCTCGTGTCTGAAAATGCTTGTTTGGTAGCCTTGCTAACCTCTTTACAGAGAAGGAGGAGTCCGACGACGACATGGGATTCGGTCTCTTCGACTAAGCGCCATTCTCACGTCCCTGATGACAGGCCCCGCGCCCCCGTCTCATCGAAGAAGTTATGCAGCAATCGACCGACGTTTTCACATGTCATTCGCATGGGAAAATCTCTCTTGGGTTGGGCTTCGGCACACGTTTGTGTAGGAACACCTGCTAGGTTCGGTCAAATAAAAAGCTCGCTGGTTCTTTGAATGCGCTGTGTGTCGTATTATTCGTGATGTTATCGGTGCCCTGCTTAGTAGAGGTTTATGGTACTTGATTTTGTGAGTGAGGTATATGGCATTTGCTCTCACCCACATTGCAGCCTGCATCCTCGCATATATGCGGGGCAACGTCTTTGCGAAGGGTTGAGTGAGCGAGGGCACGTAATTATACCCCTGTCTGAAAGGGATAATGTGGAAGACACTTCGCTTGGTAAGAAGCTTTGGCCACTTGGAGAGAGAGACGCGTGGGAAACACTGTACCGCTTTGGCCTCAGGCATGTTAAACGATGCAAAGCCCAAATTTCATCTGACGAGGAATGCGCCTCTTTGCTTTCTTCCCATCCAGTCTTTCGTTGCTCCGACAACCAATCCCCCTCGTCGTGTTTTTTGATTGGTCGACCCCTGCTAGCCCCCAATACTGGGAACGCCCGAACTTAACAAGGAATCGACGCATCCCCTCCAACATACAAGATGCTAGTAACGCGCCGCATAAACTAATCTCTTCTCCATTCGCAATATTTCGGATCATGGGCACGATCGACACGTAAAACAGTGTTTAGCTGACCATAACAATCGCTTTTTCCGGCGCAAGGTGTGCAGTCGCCAAGACGTGGAGGGTCGCGCCGTTCAGCCCCATTTATTCCGTTGCTCACAATTGCAAAAAACAATCACCAACAACGACTACTCGCAATCGACATGTCGACTGCCTCGCCCACGCCTTTGGGTACCGCAGGAACCAGTCTCTCGCGAAGGCCCTCCCAGAGACAAGGCCTCCGAAGGCTGCCGTCGCGTCCCCATCTCAACCGAAGCGACTCCAACCCTGTCCACGCGACCGCCGTCGCGCCTACGCTTTCCAAGAAATCAGACTCGCAGCAGTACGCAATGCACGACAGCTCTGACGACGAGATCCCCGTGCCTATGAAACTCAGTGCTCTCACCAAGGCATTGCTCAATGATGGAGGTGCACCCGAATCGGAGCGCGCTCCTTCGCCGCCGCGAACACGACGTCGCGCCAGCAACCTCGCCGCGTCCACGACTTCCGCGACTGAAGAGAGAAGGTCTCTCCGTTCTGGGGGTGTGCAAGCATACGATACCAAGATCTCGAAGCCTGCGTCACCATTGAAAAGCAGGGAGAACAGCCCTGTGCGAAAACGAGTTGTCAGACTGAGCAACACGCCCAAAAGTCTCAGCCAGATGCGTCCTACAAAGAGAAGATCTACCTCGTTGTCGCGATCGACCAGCCAACGTCCTTTGTCCAGAAGTCGACCGGAGAGCCGAGACCAATCCTCGGATGAGAAGCAAGAACCAACTCAAGACGTCAATACGCCCGCACAGGGAGTCCGCGTTGTTCGCATTGCCGCAGGCTCATCCGGCAACAGAAGTCGTCTCACCAGTTCATCGAGCCATTCTAGACGCTCAGGATCCCACTTGGAACAGGACTACCCTGAAGACCCAGTGACTGCAGCACGCCATGTTTCGGGCATCAATCCTGGCAGCGTATCCCGCCACACCAATATCGGAAGGAATGTAAAACCCGAGGACAACCTTGCTTTACAAGGCTCCATGCGTGTCAAGCGAGTTGGCAAAATTCCTGGAAGCTTCCTTAGTGGGCCTGCTCGACGTGGCCGCCGAAGGCAGAGCGAGGAAGAAGCAGAGGCTAATGGCGATGGTGAAGGGCTAATCTCAAGTCAGTATCACGATGGCCAGGGCCAAGATATAGAAAACGATCTCGCATCGTCTTTCTATGGCAATGGCAATGGCAGGCAAATGTCCTCGGGCAGCCCGGTAGCCATGGGCGATTCTTCAAGAGCGAGTCATCGAAGGGCAGCATACGATGCTGCCCCTGTACCACGTGTCACAGACCTATCTCCCAAGGAGATGGACGAGCCAGAGGAGATTCACTATAAGCTACCTGCGCCACGCCCTCAGATCCCATCTTCGCATGACCAGGAAAACGAGATCAACTCTGCCCTCAGAAGCTCCAAACCCGCCATCAGCATCCCCCCCGAAAAGGACATAGAAAGAGTTTCAAAGCGCCCTACCAACGTTGATGCCGCACGCCACAGACCTGCTGCATCTCCCGAAAGAAGGCCATTGTCTTCCTTGGCGAACAACACTCCACGCCGCGCTGCACCACCTCCCCCGCCGAAAATGTCTGTTCTTGATGCTGCTACCACCTCGGCCGGAGCAGCCACGACATCGCAAGGGAAGCAGAGGCGAAATATCCTTCGTGTCAATGGAAAGTCTTACACCAGGCTTGACTGTCTGGGCCGAGGTGGTAGCGCCAAGGTATACCGCGTCCTTGCCGAAAACGGAGCGATGTTTGCCTTGAAGAGGGTGTCCCTGGAGCACGCCGATGAATCGACCGTCAGGGGGTTCCGAGGTGAAATTGACCTGCTAAGCAAGCTGACGGGCAACGACCGAGTCATCAACCTCTTCGACTATGAGCTGAATAATGAAAAGAAGATGCTGACTTTGGTAAGTCACCTGTCCCTAGAACTCAGAACGCAGCTAATATCTCTCTAGCTCATGGAGATGGGCGAGCTGGATCTTAACACTCTTCTCAGGAGCCGACAAAACCCTGAAGCAGCCAAGTTTGACTCTGTCTTTGTCCGTTTCTACTGGAAAGAAATGCTCGAGTGCCTTCAGTCCGTCCATCGATGTGAGATTGTCCACTCCGATCTTAAGCCAGCCAATTTCGTCCTTGTCAAAGGTCGCTTGAAACTCATCGACTTTGGCATCGCCAACGCCATTCAAACAGACGAGACAGTGAATGTTCACCGCGAAACGCAAATTGGCACACCGAACTATATGTCTCCCGAGTCCCTTATGGACTCCAACGCACCCCGGGGCGGTCGCGTTCCCGGCAGACCCAAGTTGATGAAACTGGGAAAGCCAAGCGATGTGTGGTCCCTCGGGTGCATTCTCTATCAACTCGTATACGGCATTCCTCCTTTTGGCCACATCGCAAACCCGATGGCCCGGTGTCAAGCAATTATCAACTGGGATCACAACATTGAATTTCCTTCAAGAGGCATGGGTGGTGTCCCGGTGCCCCCGTCTCTAGTGCGAACCATGAGACGGTGCTTGAACCGCGAAGTACACATGCGGCCGACATGCGAGGAGCTCTTGCACGAGACGGATCCTTTCCTCTATCCTAATGAGATGAGTGAAAAGGCACTCCCGGTCGATGAAGAGCTCCTTGGTAGAATCATCCAAAGCGTCGTCACAAGATGTCGGGAGCGCATGCCGACTGAGACTGAGGCCATGTCAGTCTGGCCATCAGCCTACTGGTCGAGTGTAAAGAAAGCAACGAATTCGAATAGATGATGAAAACTGGCGTCAATGTTGGAGACCTGCAGGAAAATGGCGTCTGGCAACTTCACCTTGGTTTAATGATCATGGGCAATATTCATAGCTTGGAGTTTCTTTTGGGAGGGTTGGGTTGGTCTAGATTCGTGTTCTGCTGTTCGGTACAGCTTTTTTATCTTACGTCTTTATTTTTCTTTTCCTTTTCCTCTTCTCTTCTGTATGTATTTCATACCTTCCTGAGGCTTCGGGCACTGCGGACGTGTTTTTGGAAACACTCGCATAGACGCGGCGTCCAAATCAATCTGAGCTTGAGCCATTGGGCTTCAAACGTTTTCAGCGACTATACGGATACCGCGCCCGAAATCTTGCGCAGCGTAAAAGTGTTTTGTGTTTGCCTATTGATACAGCCCCGACTGGGATACGACTCTGGTACAAGGGATCGTCTCGTTCCATGACTTTGTACATGCACCTCTTGCATACTCGAACAATTCTTAATACCTCTGAACAGCATAATCGACTCAGGCCTCAATCTCCTCGGGCGCGTTGATCTTCAGTTCGCTGATGGTCAATGTTGTGAAGCGGTGCTTGCTCTTGACCGTCTTCACCCTCCTCTGCCTCCTCTTCGTCTTCGTCTTCAGCCGCATGGGTTCGCTCTCAGTGCCAGTTACAACTGCGCGGCACTCAAACACACGCTCGTCGATAAAGGGCGCGCCCTTGAGAGTGTAGTCTCTGCTGCCGATGACTGAGGCGCGGTTGAGCCGGAGGACATCACCGGGCACTACACCGGGCATTTTAAAGGGTAGGCGTACGCTATCCCCAGGCTGTACGAGGTAGGGTCTTCCGTGGATGTGGAAAGTGATGTAGTGGTTAGGCTGCGCGGCCAAGAAAGGGAGGACGGCCTGTACCGAGTCGGAGATCGGCGTAGTCGTCATGGGTGGTGTCGCGGTCTTCACAGCAGCGGCCTGGGCCTGCTGTGCTATTGAGGGCTTTGCCGCCGCATCTGAGGGTTCGACCGGGAGCGCATCGTGGGCGGAGGGCTCGATAATTGGTGCCGCGGAGTTAAACCGCCGGGTGTGGATCGGAAGAAGGAAAGTCGGCGGAAGGCGGGTGATTGGTATCCTGAGCTCCAGGACAGAGCGCAGCAGCGATCGACTCATCGTCAGAGGTTGGTGGTTTATCGCTCGCAATGCTTGCAATGCAGAGACCACAATTGAACCCAAAGTTTTCGTTGCGTGGCCCAGGACAATTGCTTTCCTCCTCGTTTGTCGAAATTGGCTTTTCCTTCGGGTTTCTGCGCGAACAAGCAGCCGGGGCGGAACTGTGAAGCTACAAAAAAGTTCGGATAGACTGCACCCCATTCCTAGAGTGGTAGCGGATTAACCATTTTTCCATCTCAGCTGTGCAGGGGCAATTCGCGCAGGGAATTTTTGGAGGGTCCCTTCACTCCACTTTTGACGGTATCGATAGCAATGGGAACTTTTCTTGACCCGCCACTTTTGACGAACCTCTATATACTGTAGCTTCGTCGACAACAACTACCTTTGACGAGTCTCAGCAAGTTGGTTGCCACCAACGGAATACGACTTTATCAATCACTTGGAGTTGCGCCATCACTAGTATCTACTACTACAACAACACTTAACATCCGCAGAGCCGCTACGAGCGCCAATCAGCCAAGATGGTACGCCCGCCTAGCTCCTGATTGCGCCAAATGCGCCTTCTTTTCGAACGACATGATATCTGACAGCCTCTACAGCCCCAGAACGAGTATATGGAGAGATGGAGGAAGCTCCACGGAAGACGTTTGGACCACGAGGAAAGAGCTCGCAAGAAGGAGGCGCGTGAGGGCCACAAAGCCTCCAAGGATGCGCAGAACCTTCGCGGCCTTCGGGCCAAGCTCCACGCCAAGAAGCGTCACAATGAGAAGATCCAGATGCGCAAGCAGATCAAGGCCCACGAGGAGCGCAACATCAAGACAAACAACGAGAAGGAGCCCAGTGAGCCCATGCCCGCCTATCTTCTGGACCGAAGCAACCCGAACAACGCCAAGGCGATCTCGTCACAGATCAAGAACAAGCGTGCCGAGAAGGCGGCAAGAGTAAGGGACTCTGTAGTTTGCTTACGGATTTCAGGCAACGGCTGACAGTGTTGTAGTTCGCCGTGCCGCTACCTAAGGTTAAGGGTATCAGTGAGGAGGAGATGTTCAAGGTCATCTCCACCGGCAAGAAGACACACAAGAAGTCGTGGAAGCGCATGGTACGAATACGATGTGTTTGCAAAATGTGTGGAGTTTTTATTGACATTGAGCCCAGATCACCAAGCCCACTTTCGTCGGGCCTAATTTCACAAGAAGAGACCCGAAACACGAGCGGTATGTTGTTCTCTCTCCTGATGACGGTGCGCGGTGCTGATGATACTTCTTTCTCCATGTAGCTTTATTCGCCCTATGGGACTGAGATACAAGCATGCCCACGTCACACATCCCGAGCTCGGAGTCACAGTTAAGCTGCCTATTATTGGCGTGAAGAAGAACCCCCAGAACCCATTGTATACCAATTTGGGAGTTTTGGTATGTTGAAACAATAACATGTATGCTCAGAGTCTTTTTTTCTCACATTTTTACGACAGACCAAGGGTACTATTATCGAGGTCAATGTCAGTGAGTTGGGCCTCACGACAACCACTGGAAAGGTGGTATGGGGACGCTACTGTCAAATCACAAACAACCGTACGAAAAGCCCCATCAATAACTTACAGAGAACTGTTTTGCTAATTTACTTCAGCCGAGAACGATGGTTGCGTAAACGGTGTGTTGCTCGTTTAGGCCACGATGAGAGGTGTCCGGAGTGCTCTTCAAGGGTACTGCATCGTTATTGGCGTCTGGAGTTACGGCAAACAAGAAAAGGGGCTGGGTGGATGCCTTAGATTGACATCAACTTGAACCTAGGTAGATGAAACAAGATTCCCATTTGTGCCTAGGCAGAAGTTAATCAAGTGAAATGGAGTGCGCTCGATAACTATGGCCGGCTGTTCACAGTTGACTAGGGTGAAGGGTGTATCACGTCTGAGACGTTACATCCTAATGCGGGGGGTTGTTCAATGGGATCTCCATCGCCCAGCTGGCATTCTTAAGACTCTTGATGGCTCTATCTCAGTATGTTGGCTATGACTTTGTTGTGGTCAAGCTGTTGTCTTGGACCTTGTTTTGTTATTCGTCTCCGACATCACCATATCGCCAAACAGAATTCGAAGTTGCCTAACCTTTCGGGATCATCTTTGATGATTTATGGCCGTGGCGGGGATGGACATCTTGGACCAGCAGCCTATGTGGCCTATCACAGCGACATGCGTCAGGAGGAATAACATTGCCGCCTCGACAGCGACGGCATGGTTCATGAGACAAAGCACGCAAGCGTGACTTGCATTGAGACTATGAACAAATTGACAAGCCTGCTGGCTTTTATTTCGTTCAGTATGTATCCATCACTCCCGTAGTTCCCATAGAGTTCCCTTGCCCATCTCCATCTCGTAGGTATTAAATGCGCCAGCATGGATTTTTCGATTACGAAATGATTCCGCCCAAGGACGGGTTTCGTTTTGAAATTCGGATTTATTTATATATGTACTTATGGGATTGAATTCCGGCTTTTCTTGAATCACTCCGTTGATATCTTGCAAGACTATGTTAAGTATCTAGTCAGGACGACAGTAGAAACTACCTACCGTATTTACCTAGAAGGAATACATTGAGGGAGATAATTCATAGTCGAGTTGCTGTTTAACACACAGCTTTCTTTATGTCTTCTGAGACCCGCAAGATTTTGGGATGCTGTGTGCACTTCTCACAAAAGAAAAGTTTGGATAAGTGAATTACCAACGCCATCTCGGAAAGCAGCCCAGTTTTTCGTTTTGGTGACTCTGTAGGTGTTGGTATGACAGGCTCAGGCCCTTTTGGTATGTCTTATTAGGCTATTCCGCTACAGATCTGTAGTGAATGTTAGACTACTCTAACTGCAACTGTTATATTATACCCATGCCTTTGTTTATAACCTCTTGTAACACCGGCATTTGTTTTAGATACCCTTTTCGAGAGCTTTGCGCAGTCAGCATCATCTTTTGTTACCGAATTGTATAAATGACGTACTCAACACCATCGAGTAATCCCTATATTGTTGTAATACTCGTGGTTGGGCACTCAGTGGGCTATTTGGTTTATTCTGAGCAGAGAGGCGTGGGGTGAGACAAGCCATGGCCAAAGACAGCCAGGCTTTAAATACAGTAAAGTCAATTCGCCAACTCCCTTATCGGCATGGCCAGATCTTGCTTCCTGAAGATAAAACTCTACGTAGAGAACAGCAAAGTATATAATCGATCCTTGAAGAGCGACATATTATCACCCGTTATCTAAGAATGGTGCAGACTAGCCCTACTTGAATACTGAGGACGGGGATGCTGGGAAGAGAGCATCAAAGATGATTTGCAAAAGGTCTCTGAAATGTCTCGATAACCCACTGTAAGCTCGAAGACAGGATTTCTAAAAGCATGGAGAAGTACTAAAATGGACTAGCAGCCTACTTGTGCTTGTCTTGCCGTCTCGAAACTTCTTTCAACGTCGACATGAACATCGTCCGCAAACATCATCTTCAGCATGCTTTCAACAATCAGAATCTCTACTAAAAATATGCAGTATTTGCACTCAAGAACCACTGCCTTTATGAGAGAGATACTCTGTGCTGCGAGGTATTGCTCACTTGTCGTTTCAGAAATAAGGAGATGTAAAGGGGGAGGGGGGACTGCTGGAACCGTAACATAGTCTCGAGTACTATGAGATTCAATAGAACTCATCAACTGAGCTTCAACCAACTTCGAAAGTGATACATTAAAAGAGAATGCGTTTATGTATGTCTATATGAACCTTAAAGATCTATCATGATATATACCCAAACTCCATTGCTATGCAGAATCGGTCGATGCCTTCTTCTGTTATCCCACCAACTTCATTCCGCTCTCGGTGTTCACCTAAGCGGAACCGTTGGCACCGTGAGCCTTGACGTACTCCTCGCTGAACTCGTATGTGTTGTAGCCGTCGTTGCTCTTCTTCTTGTAGAAGGTGCTGCGGTCGTAGGGAGTGAAGGCGATACCGTTCTTGACGCGGAAGACGAGGTCCGGGTTGGAGATGAAGTAGCGGCCAAAGGCGACGGCGACGTCCCACTTGGCGTATCGCTCGTCGACGGCCCAACGCGCGCTGTCGCCGAGGTAACCGCCGGCGACAACGACGGGGGAGAAGTTGTCCCACTCCTCGAGGATGAAGTCCAGAGTCTGAGGGCGGTCCTTGGCGAAGGGCTGGACGTCGTCGGTGGGCTGACGGGGCACGATGCCGAGGTTGACGGGGTTGCCGACAGCCTCGACAAGAGACAGGTAGGCGAGCTTGTAGCCGGCCTTCTTGATCTCGCGGACGACGTAGCTCGTCTGCTCCCAGGTGTCGGAGGAGTAGGACTCCTGGAAGGTGGCGAAGGGGCTCAAGCGCAGAGCGACGCGCTCGGCGCCGACCTCGTCGACGACGGCCTTGATAACCTCGAGAAGGAAGCGCGCGCGGTTCTCGACGGAGCCGCCCCACTTGTCAGTGCGTTTGTTGGCCGAGTCGCGGGTGAACTGATCGACGAGGTAGCCGTGGGCGCCGTGGATCTCGACACCGTCACCGCCGGCGGCGACGACGTTGCGCGCGGCAACGCGCCAGTTGTTGATCTTCTCCCAGATCTCCTCCTCGGTGAGGGCCTCGGGCGGGCAGGGACGACCAGTCATCTGGACATCGGAAGAGGAGCAGTACTTGTAGCCGCGGCCCTTGACGAAAGAAGGGTCGGCGGCGCGGCCGAGGGACCAAAGCTGCTGGAAAACGTAGCTGCCCTTGGCGTGGATGGCGTCGAATACATTCTTCCAGGCGGCAATCTGGGCGGGGGTGCTGAAGTCGGGCAGGTCAAGGTCGCCGACGTCAGCGGGGGAGATGGCAGTGGCTTCGGTGATGATGAGAGTGCCCGGGGCCGAGGCACGGTCGGCGTAGTACTGTGAGACGATGGGCAGGGGCACGCTGTCGTCATCGGCGCGGTAGCGGGTGAGGGGGGCCATGACGACGCGGTGGGCGAGGTCCATCTTGCCGACCTTGAGAGGCTGGAAAAGCTTGGTGTTCTGGGCGGCCATTGTGAGTGTCGGAAAGAGGATCGAGTATAAGCTGAGGGGTATCCAGAAAAGTAACACAGAAAGGGAATGAAACGTTTGGGTAATGGTATCTAAGGGAGTTGTTTATATGTAGAGAATGCTATGTCCAAGTGAGAAGAACTCTTTACTGGAAGCGGGCATACTCAGGGTATTTGTATCCTCACGATGTGGTGTAAGTCAAACAAGAGGTGGAATCATCTGGAGAGTCCCACTAGGGTCCTAAGAGACCTTGGCAAGGCCGCCCCCCCCCCCCCCCCCCCCCTCCCCACAGCGAGATCTGTTCGGGTGAGTTTGTTGTTCCATGAATGAGGTGAAGACTTTTCCTCTCCTGGACGGCTTAGAAATGGTGTCCCCCCTCCGTCATTCACGGCGACAACTCGGAGAGCGGGTCCTGTCACCCTGCCGTCCATTCGCGAGCGAAGGCTACATCCTCCAACCCACTCGAGCGGTGAAACCGAAGCCGAGTTCGCTGTCATGCTCCACGGGCCAGGACGGCGGCAGCCACGCGGTAGACCGAGGGCTGCTCGCAGGTTCCTGGCCAAAGAAGAGTTCTCGAACGGAGACAGGGCCACTGGGCTCTGACGAAACTGGGGCGGGCTGGGCGAAGGTCGTTGACTACCTAAGCAAAGCGGACCTTGACACAGCGAATCAAGGTGGTGAGTTGAGGCTCAATATTGCCAAAAGCGGGCCGTGAGCCCGGGTGCAAGGGAGCCACGTCGGCAAGCGAAGTTTTCTGCATTGCTTAGAAATCTGACAGTACTATGGTACGATGCATACCTAGTTCTGTCCATCCACTACCTATGCCATTTGTAGAAACTACGAGGCAACGAATGGGGAACGGGAATGAGGTTGGACACAACAAGGTCTGGGGGTCCAACGGAGAAGTGCATTTTGCCCCTAACCCTCCCATTGAGTTTCGAGGTGCCGATGGTGGCGGGCCCAGGGATAGCAACTCTAAAATCGGAGGAAAGTTCTGATGTGCTGAGAAACGCCACGAGGCCTCGGTAACGGGCCCCCGGCGATTCAGTTCCAAGAGACGGAATCCCCACTCTTTCCTTGCTGTCGTCCTACCGAACCCGGGTTTTCGCCGGAAGCAGCTGGGCGATGAGCCTCTGCCGCACGATTTATACACTAGCAGCGTGCGTGTCTTGTAGTTGCCGAGAACGACGTTGAGCACGAAAGAGCGAGGCCGACAAGCCACCGACTCAAAGTCCTCTTGGACAGTCGCATCGAACAGGAATAATGCCGTCGGCAAATGGACTGAAAATACTGTACTGCAGGTATGCAGCGCAGATGGCTGCGTGCTCAGGCGGCCGGACGGTACCACCTTTGCGGGTCTCTGTACGTAAGACCAAGCCCGTCGGCGATGGGCAGACAGTTCGGCTTGATTTGTAAGTGCATTTCCCAGCCCTTGGGGCTTTCTTCCCTCAGTTCCAGATCCTCTTCACCGCTGTGGGTCAGGAATCTGGGATCTGGGATCTACATTATCGGCGATTAGCCTCAATGCGGCGCTCGTTATCGCCTACACGCATGGACAGGGATCCACCAAGACAGACATCTGTCTACGCCACCGACAGCCGACTGCATACTCGACTGTCGCAGCGGGATCCTTGATCGCCTGCAATATCTCAATACCACGCGGGAACACAGCCGCATAGATGTCGCCCTTGCCATCTACTGATAGGTTGTCAATGGAGTATGGCATAGGTATCTCCGCTACTTTTTGCGGCCCTTCATCTTCGGGAAGGACTCTGTACACCTGAATGCCTCCCGCCATAGCGCTCGGAACGAAGATGAGGCCGTCGCGGCCACGAACGAGGCCATTGGGATATCGGTGGCGCTCGGAGACGCGTTTGCATCCCGACGAGACGGAGCAGAATGACACATCGCCTTTAGGGTCCTTGAGCACAAGCTGCAAGGCCACGGCAAAGATGACGGCGAAGATGACGCTGGTTTGCAATATGAAACCCATGTTGGATATAGAGATTGAGCCTAAGCTGAAATCAGTGAAGATGACTAGGTAGTCAGAAGTTGGCCAGGGTTCAGTTCAGCCAATTTATAACAAAACAAAACCCTCATGTCGGGACGTGAGACGGCAGAAATCCATTTTAGGCGAATTGGGCACAGGATCAGATCCTTTAGGGACAACCGCATGGGCTCGAAGGAGAACTGCATGGGAGGAAATATGTTGATCTTGTCAGGGCCAGCTCTTTATAGAACACGGATAACTTGTTTACATGAGAAACCCGTACTTTGTATTTGTCGAGTGAAAAAGAAAAAGAAAAACCCGATGTTTATTTTTATTTTTACAAAAACTGTTCTGGATACAGTTTCCATTGCCAAAGAATGTCAATAGGTGGAGCTCTTTGGGTCGCCGATGAGATGCAGCGATGAAGGACAGCGTAAACACGGAGCCCGTTTTCGTAAGTGCCTGCCGAACACAGTGAGTGGTTCGATCCGCCATGCTGACATCCCGTGTCCCTCGGGTTAGTGTCACTCCGGGGCCCGTTGCGTTGATAAGATTTAATAGCTTTCAGGTACACGACAGGAGGCGTACGTCTGTATGTCCCAGATAGTACTGACAGCTGGTGGCACTCTTTGGCAGCTGTCGTCTATCGCGGCGCCGCGGGGCACTGGCAAGACTCGACTTGCCGCTCCGATAACGATAAGCAATTTTTTTGAACAGGCATTCTCTACTCCAGACACAGTTCAGTTCGCATCCCAGCCAACCACACCAAATCCGACGGACGACAGACAGATCGACCACCGTCACAATGCTTCGTCAAATGTGAGACGCGCCCAATCTACGCTGCGCGCAAATGGAAAGCAGTGCGCTAACATGTTTTTCACAGAAAACCCCGTAATGCGCGCTCCAAGCGTGCCCTCGAGAAGCGCGAGCCCAAGGTCCAGTACGTCCTCTCGACATCCTCACAAGTGAACTGTCCTGCCCGGAGATGATCGCAAACTAATACGGACCCGTCTGCAGAGAAAACCCCAAGATGGCGCTCTTCCTCCGTGGCACATCGTGCTCGCAAGTGACACAAGATGCCCTCAATGAGCTCTACCAGATGCGCCAGCCGCTGGCCAAGCGCTTCGTTAAGAAGAACGACGTCCACCCTTTGACAAAGCCGACTCGCTCGAGTTCTTCTCGGAAAAGAACGACGCCTCCATCCTCGTCTTCGGCCACACCTCAAAGAAGCGCCCCAACGCCATCACCTTCATCCGCACCTTTGGCCACAAGATTCTCGACATGCTCGAGCTCTACCTAGACCCGGAGTCCTTCCGCACTCTCGCACAGTTCAAGGGCAAGAAGGTGCCCATCGGCCTCAGGCCCATGCTCGTCTTCGCCGGCACCGCCTGGGACAGCCCCATTGCCAATGAGTACACTCACGCCCGCAGCTTCTTCACCGACTTCTTCCGCGGCGAGCAGATGGACAAGATCGACGTCGAGGGCCTGCAGTGGATCGTTTCCATCACCGCCGACGAGCCCACGGCTGCCGGCGAGGGTGACGTCGCCGGCGCCAAGCCCACCATCCGCCTCCGTGCCTACACCATCAGCACCAAGCGCAGCGGCTCAAAGGTGCCCCGCGTCGAGGTCAACGAGATCGGCCCTCGGATGGACTTCCGCGTCGGACGCATGCGCGAGCCCGACGAGGCCATGCTCAAGGAGGCTATGAAGAAGCCCCGCGGCACCGAGGAACGCACCAAGAAGAACATTACGACGGACGGCATGGGTGACAAGATGGGTCGCGTGCACGTCGGCCGCCAGGACCTCAGCGAGCTGCAGACGCGCAAGATGAAGGGCCTGAAGCGCAGCAGGGACGTCGCGAGCGAGGATGAGGGGGAGAAGGGCGACGTTGAGGAGAAACCCAAGAAGGGCCGCAAGGAATAAAACGGTGGTGGCAACGGCCCTTGGCGACGGAGCTCGGTTGGTCGTGTCTGTATGTGCCGTGGACTTTGATATACATATCCGGGTGGGAGGAGACGAAGCGGAGGACCACTCATCGGCGTTCTTGTTTTTGGTCAGGAGGCATCCCCACGGTCGGAGTTTTGAGCTTCTTTCAGCAGATGGTCGGCAGATTACAAAAGCAGGAACAGAGTCAAAAGCAGTTAAAGACATTATTTATTCATGACGTTTGGATATCCATGTTGGCCAGGGGCACTCGAATGGTGATGTGTTTCCAGTGAATACTGATGGCCCTCCACCCCCTACAGCTCGAGATCCGACACCCTCCACACCAGACGCTCGCCGCTGGGCTCCCTTTTCCGTAACAGCTCGATCGCCTTTTGCGCCCTCTCCAGCATCGTGGCACCCTCGACGATCTTCTCCTTGTTCGGCTTGATGATGCCTTGCTCTAGGAGCGTGGGCACAATCTCTCTTTGCATCTTCTCCTTGAAGAACTCGTTCTGTCGCCAAATTAGCATTCTGTTTCCCCGGGCCGTCTATCCATGTCCGGGCCTGACTTACCGCTAGGTAATGATGCGTCCTCACCCCGCGCAGCTCGACGCCCTCGGCCCACTCGCCAACGAGGACCCGGCTCACGTCCATCTCGTACTCGGGCTCGACGTCATCCGTCGCGTCCCGGATGATGACCGGGAGCATGATGGCGACCTTTGTCCCCCTACGCGCAATCTTTGTCAACGGCCTCAGCGTGCCCTCGACGGAACCGATGCAGTCCAGCACGAACGGCACGCCCTCCTTGCCGACGAAGCCCAGAACCTTGTCCACGACGTTGGTGTCGCGATAGCTGAACGTTTCCTTGGCACCGAGCTCTTTGAGATAGGCGTGGTGCTTCTCGCTCGCCACGGCCAGTACGTTCCGGTAACCCCAATGCCGCAGCACCTGCAACGCGTACAAGCCCACACTGCTCGCCGCTCCCCAGACCAGCAACGCGTCGTCCTTCTCTTTGGGCTCCCAGCCCGCCGGCTTCGGCCACGGCAGCTCCAGCCCCAGGTCAGTCGTCACGGCGTGGAACACGGTGATGAGGTTCGTCGGCACCGTCACGGCCTCCTGTGGCGTGACGTTGGACGGCAGCTTGGAGACCAGGTACTCGGGCACGGTGACGAAGTCCTGGTGGGCGCGTTCGCCGAAGTCGCGGAACGCAAAGGTGAGGACCCGGTCGCCGACGCGGAGGCGCTCCACACCCGGCCCGACGGCGACGACGGCGCCCGCCGCGCCGCCACCCATGACCTCCGGGTAGTTGCAGAGGAGGCCGCCGTCGGCGCGGTGGAGATCCAGCGGGCTAGAGGCGGTCCACTGGTTTTGAATGAGGACCTCGCCCTCGCTGGGCATCCTGGTCTCGCGGTCGACGAGGACGAGGGGCGCACGCTTGGCGGGCGTGGCTACGGCCTTGTGAGTCTTTGGGATGTTGACCATGGTTGGTTTCTACGCAGTTGAAGAGATGATCTGGCTTGCACGATACCAACCGTCCCCCTCAGCAAAGGAGGGGGAGCTGGGAAGATTTTTATATCTGACCCCAAAACACTGCCAACTTGCGAACTCCCAACGATCGTACTTCCAAAATGTGTGAACGGCATGAAGCCGAAACGCGGCGGCGGGTCTGCTGAATAATTCTGATCGCAAGCTCGGCGCCGGTGCCGGCAACGTCGTGATTTCTAAGCGGAACGACGTGACGCAAGATGTGGGACTGGACCACTCCCCATCCCTGAATGCTATTGCCTTCCAAATTCATCTGATTTGCTTCACCACTCAGATACGACGACCCTTAAAAACAAGCCTTTTCAGTCCTTCTCAATTGGCCGCTGAGCTGTAAATAGAAGGAACATCGGATGCCATGTCTACATGCTACGTCATTGTGTAGCCACTGCGAAGCTTCGTGCTGCTTCTCTGGGTGACGCCAGGCATATGCGTGAGTTTAACGCCAGTGGGGAAAGTGGGGAGATTGAAGTCTGCAACACCATCAATCAGGTTTGCCAACTGGCCACGCTTCGGAGCTCGCACGGGACGCGGGTCGTAGCACTGACCTTCCGGCAGCAACTCACGGGCCCGACAACTCCACCGGATCCGGGACCCGCAGCGCGGCCGGCAAATATGGACCCTCCGGAGCCTGCCCCGATATAGTCCTCAAGGCCCTATTCACGGTAGTGAGGAAACTAAGAGCTGAAAATCCTCGACAAATTTTAGCGATGGGCTCCTGCAAAGTATCACTTGCACGGACGAGGCAGCGGGGTTGAAATACGGTCGAATCTCCGTTGCGAACAAAAGCGAAGAAGTATGGTTCGCTGATAGGCAATGACGAAGGGAGATGAAAGAATCAAACTCGTGGTGAATTGGGGTATACGTTTGGACATATTAGTCCAGTTGTTCTGGACTAAACCTAACGTTAGATCACTGTCGAAACAATTCCGGTAGACTCCCATGATCGAGCGCCGCGTCGGCACAATCCTCGGTATGACCGGCACCACGCTGGCGGCCGCAACATCTGGCATCATGCCCGATCCACCAGCACGACGAGCCATCCCGCGCCGCATTTCCAGGCACCAATACAAGGATTACGTCCCTCTCCTCCGAGGTTGTGATCCCTTGTCTCACGGCAGTTCCCCAGCCCTCAAGGGCTGTCGCCGCCGACACCGCGTCGCTCAGTGGTGATGCGCAAAACAAGAGACAGAACCGTTTTGCTTTCCCCCTCCTTCCCCCTTCTCCATTTTCTTTGTTGGGTATGTCTCGTGGAAGCAGATATCCCGAGAGGTATTAATAATCAAAAAGTTGGACCAATCAAGGTCCCCGTGAGGAATCCTTGGTCCCAACCCCATAAACAGAAAAACGCTGCGCTGCTGATATCGCTCTGGCTTCTCGCAACGGAAAAACAAAACAAACTCGTTCCGGTTCGCATGCGCGGAATGCCGAGATGCCTACATGCGCGACGGTGTGTTGAGGACGTTGCCTCCCATGGGGCCGGCGGGTACCGTCCTCGGGGTCTCGATGCCGTGCCCGAGGTCGTAGCGGTAGGTGGGTGGGTGGCCGACGTCACGGAGCGCCTTCTTCACTCGTTGCCTCATGGAGCGGCGTTCTTTCGGTGCTGCGGCGACTACTTCGTGGACGAACTCAGGGTCCTTCTCGAAGGAGCAGAGGGTCGAAGTCTCGGAGAAAGTAGAGGGGGCGTACGAAGGTTTGGCCATGTTGATGGTTTTGGCGTTGTTGGCTATGATAGGGGGCGTTTCCTAGGGTAGCTATTTTGGCAGTGGTAGTAGCAGCGGTGATGGTGATGAGGATGATGTCCGATACGAAACCTGGCGGTGGCTTCTTATAGGTGCCGAAGCTGGATGGATCGATTAAGCAATTGAAAGGGTGATTGACTACTGATGCAAGCCAAGAGGGACCATTGCTGTCAACCGGTGTCCTGAGTCGTCCTCTTTATAACAATGCCCAACGAGCAATGCACCGCCCCGTCGACGCCATGACACGCAATGTCACTATATCCTGTATGTATCTTGTACGTATCCCCCTCGCTGCCACACCGCATTTGAATGGAGCGGTTCTGTCAGACGGGCGCACAACACGGTATCTTCTTCTTCCAAGCCCCCGTGGCTTCGATCGATCCACACATTCCATCACCCTCTTCCCACCATCATGTTCCCCCAACCGTCCAACCAGATGGCGTGAAGTGCCGCAAGGACCACATTGGTGCAAATGCCTTTGGCAAAGTCCTAGGATGTTAGTCCAAAGGCCAACGACGCGGGCTTGCCAAAGCTTGTAAGCTTGAGCTTATTCCCTGCTCTGCATGCTGTTGCCTGACTGGTGTGGTGTGCTGGTACACAAGCTAAACTGCCTTAGGTAAGGCATTGCTCCCGGCACTGAGTCACCGGCCGATCGGGGTTCATCCCTCTGCAGAGAGACGGAAAGGAAACCAGGTAAGCCTTCGTCCCCTGCAAGGAATATGGAATGCACTCGTAAAACAACCGCTCTGGTCCTGGTCCCGCAAGTATGATGTACTACGCCGCTAACCTTCAATATACAGTAGGAGGAGGTTAATGTCCCTTTCTGACGGTCGCTGTCCCTTTCTGACGGTCGCTGTCCCTTTCTGACGGTCGCTGTCCCTCCCTCTATCGTTGGTACCTTGACAAGGACCAAACACAGCCCCCCAAAGCCACTGGAACGCACTATATTTCCCAGGCCATTGAGGCGCTCTAATTCATCCAATCGGTCACCAGCACTTTCTTGTCTCTTCCTCTCTCTGTGAAAACCGCATCCCACTCGGCCGCCCGCATCAGAAGCATCCACAGGGTCATCGGTCAGAGTCATCCTAAGCTAACAATGCAACGAGGAGACACGCAATCGCCTTGCGACATGGATCTCGGACCCCCCGGAAACGAGCCATCTCCATATTCCCCCCCTTCCCGGAGCCGTTCCGGGGGATTGAGTGGTGACAACAACGGCGGCCGGGCTTGTTCACGCGGACGATTAGACGTCCGATGCTGACAGTTCGGTTCTCGGCACAGCCAAAAACCAGGACTCCGATTTGCGCGTTGTTGCGTGTTTACCGCACAAAGTCCTGGATCACCACAGGGGGACCCCCCGAGGATGATCAATCACCAGGGGGGGTTATCCGTGAGACCGTGACGACTACCGGGCCAGTGCAATGCAATCAATGTAAGCACTAGAGTCCGAATGGGTTTGTTCGTCTGCATGACTTCGTGGCCTGAACGCGACAGCCATGCATGCCACTTTGCGTACCCGCATCCGTCATCGCGGAGATCCCAACGTGACTCTTCGTCGGCCTGAACCATGACCTTGTCAATTCACTCTTCCCATGCGGCTCCGATTCCCAACCCCATCAGAGCACCAAGCTTGTCCTTCAAACCAAGCTTCTATCATGGGTCATCTAGGCTCCAGCCAACCCGACTCGGTTCCCGGGAGTGAATAGAGCAAAGCAACCGGGCCGTTGCCAGCACCGCTGGGCTGGGCTTCCATCATGCGCGCCCCAGGCTCCAACCAACCTTCTCCTGGCCCGTCATGATCTTTCCGGGCCCGAAAGTGTCCTCAAGTGGGAGAAATCGAACGAACTTGCCTTGGATCCGGGGTGCAATGCAGCCATAAGGGTCTGCGTTGTCGCTGCGGGTTCAATGTCGAAACAAGTGGCTGTGTATAACCTCCTAAATGAGCCCGAAGAAAGCCCTGCCCTGTTCCTGGGAGACAACTTAGGGTAAGAGAGGCATCTCGAATCAGATGTGATGTTTCAGCACCAAGAAACCCTAGCAGGTGTGTGTGTGTGTATGTGTAGGTGTGTGTGTTTGCAGATCGAGTCAGTAGGATAGGAATCGGATTGTCAAAGCCGGCAAAGCAGAGGTTAACCCCCTCTCTCTGGTACAAGTAGACGAAGACGGCAAACCCAAGTAGTCAAATCATGTAGGGTCATAATGCATAAATCTACTGAGCAATCTACCTACCCAGTATAGTCTCACGTAGCGTGCTCCTCGGCCCCCTCCGAGACATCCTGCAGAGCCCCGCCGGCCGGCTTCTCTCGCTCCGCCTCGGGCCCGGCTTCCTCCTCCTCCGCATCTGCCGGCCGCCACAAGTCCCCCCTGACAAGCGTACACGCCGCGCTGAACATGTCCCGGTGCTCGCAGCCGATCTTCTCGCACAGCGTTACCGCAACGTTCATCGTCAGACCCGGCAGCACGCTTGGGTCGCCGGCCTCCCAGTGCCGCATCTCGTCGTACGTATCGTCGAGTAGCAGCTTGGCGTGGTGGTTGGCATCCCCGTCCCCGCGCATCTTGGAGTGCAGGAAGAAGACGCCGTGCCGGATCGTGTTCTCCGCCATGCAGACGCCCATCTCGACGATCTCGGGCCTTGAGGCCCCGGTCCTCGGCGCCCTGGACCGCATGTACCCCTGGCTTGTCAGGTGGGCAAGGACCACTATGCCCGCCAACTCCTGGGCGGGGAGGTTGCGGACATGTGCAATCTGACGGAACCGTACGTCCTGGCGGTTGGACTCGTGGACCTCCTTGAGGGCCAGGTGCCAGCCGTCGGGCGGCGGAGCATCGCGCAGCATGATGTCTTGGTTGATCAGGGACTTGACGCAAGGGTCGCGCCGAGGGATGACGTCGTCTCTGTAAATGATCGAGTGTGTCTCTAGGTCGGCGATCGCCGAGCACTGCCACAGGGCGCGTCTGAGGTTTGCGCGGATGGTGTCTGCTTTTGACACGTCTCGGAGGTCGTGTTCGTCCCAGAACGCGAGGTATGCGCCGTGAACGATCTCTTCAATATTTCGTTGCCTGTTCTCGAGTTCCCGCAGGGTCTCGAACGTGTATTTGGGAAGCACTTCTCGCTCGCGTGTGTCGGAGGCAAGGATGTGGTTACAAGGTGCGCATGGGTAGCGGGCGGCATTGAGTCTGGTTACAGCGCGCTCGTAACGATCCAGGATACTGCGGTTACTCTTGCATGTCGCGCGAAGAGCCTGGATCCCAGCGAATTCCGCGTGCTCCGCGACTAGAAGGAGAAGGTGTGCAGGTAAAAGCGACATCTTCTCCAATATGCAGATGGTTGAGTCGGTGGGTGTCTAGGTTGTCGCTTTTTAGAGGGCGGTTCACACACAATGCCCAGATAGGGAGGATACAGGAATCCAAGGTATGTGAGTAGGAAGAATGCCGGTTCCAGTTTGACTGATAGGCCAATTATCCTTCCGAGAGGTATATGATTGTACGAGGACCTGGTCGAGGGCGGTAGTTGTTCTTGTAGAGTCTCTCGTCGTCCAGGGATTACTTTGGTTCAAGTGCTTCAGGAATAGACGTGGAGGATGGGAAGACCAAGTGATCAAACACCAGCTGAGTAAATGCAAACAATATAGATGGTGAATGGTTTGTTTCTTCTAATACGTTTAGTGGGCGGGGCGGGTGTAAGTGATTCGGTAATAGGGCCGTCGGTCAGTTCCTCGGATAAAAAAAAATGAGATGAGGTGTCAAGTGCCGCTCAAAGGTAGTGATTCACTGGAGGTTGCCGTCAAAGGCGTGAGGTTTCCAAGGGGTTGAATGGTTGTGTGGTTGAGATGAATAGGAAGAAGACTGAGCCGGACAGAGTGGGATGCAAGCGCGGTGCGGAGCCGACTGCCTTTGAATGATGTCGCGACCGGCCATCCGGGTTCTCAACCGACGACGAAACTGATGTCGTCCGCCCCAGAATTGTCCAGATCAATGAAAATCCGGGTGTTGGAGATGGCCCAAGAATAGATACTGCTTCTCGCACCTGTTTGGCGCGAGAAGAGGGGTTGAGGGCGCATCGCAACAGTCGAGCAGGAATCGCGAGGCCGGCCTGCCAAGGAGAGTGGGTTATCTTGGGAAACGACGGCCAAACAACGAACGACCCCTCCTGGCAGTTATTATCCTTGAGCAGCCATCAAGGTCCACCAAGGAGCCTGCATCACTCTTTGCCGGTCGTTTCTCACCATTCGATTGCTGAAGTCGATCGTGACGGGTTAACTTGGGTAAAGCCACATCTGACGTGCTGCCATATGAGCCACTGCCGCATGCCTGAGCTCTTCTTTGAACATGGGTGTCGAGCTATACATGAAATGGGCACAAGAACACGTCTCGAGGTCTGCCAGACCGATACCGAGGTAGGTGTGGAGGCGGTCGCAGCAGTCTGAGTGAACCATGTGTATACAAAACGATACAACGACCAAGTCATCATGGCCAGCCTGACAGTGTGTCGCCATGGCATATCTGAGCAGACCACACCAAAAGTAATCAGTCGTACACGTTCCTTCGCATTACAGGACTTGTCCAGCCGTCTCTTGATACCATCTTTCTGCTGTCGAGCCCCATAGTAGAGCCTGTGTCTCGGCTCAAAGCTCCTGCCGTAAAAAAGGGGTGGGGGGGCAATTCAAACTGATACCAAAACGCCGAAATATGCAATGTCCTTGACTAGGGTTCGCCGCCCTTTCGAGCCCCCCCCTCCCGCTGTACCTTGGTGCTTGCCCCCGACAGCAAAGATGCTGGTTGAAAACATCAAGCCGATATAGAAAAGACAAAAGTGAAAGGGCCCAAGTGAGCTAGTTGTTCTTCTGGCTGTTGGCAGAACGCTCCTTCATCTCCACCTTCTTTTGTCCAAGATCGACTATTTTGGGGACAAGCTTCTTCTGATTGTCCAGTTCGGCGATGTCGTCGCCTCCGCCAATGCTCACGCTATTGACCAATATGTTGGGGACCGTCTTTCGGCCGGTCTTCTGGCCCAAGAAAGCTTGCAGTTGGGGGCCGAGAGGATGTTTGTCGAGTTCGACCACGAACGGCGCAGGGTCGATTGAGTACTTTTCGAGTAGTAGGGCCTTGGCCTTCTTGGAGTATGGGCAATAGGACTTGGAGAAGATGATGACTGTGCAGAATTGGTCAGTATGTAGCGAAACGTGGAGGTCGAAGGCCAGCTCTACCTGGTGACTTTTTCAGGATCAAGTTGAGCTCAGCCTCGACGGCGTGATCCTCATCACTCTCCGTCTTCTCAACGTCTGCACCATCCTTTCCAGCGGCCGTCTTTTCCTTCTTCTTGTCTTGTCCAGCGGCCGAATTGCCCTTTCCGACCACTTCGCTTGGCGCATTAGGCTTCAGCGGCGACTTCTTGTTCGCAAGCTCCTTGGCCTTCTCCTCGGCGGCTTTCAGTCGGCCTGCCATGTCCTTTGCCAGTTTCTCGTCGTCTGCGTCTACATCGCCGTCGGCGTCCTTATCGACAGGCACGTGGCCGACTGCCTTGGGCTTATTCTGATCCAACACGGCCTGGTTCGGCGGCTGTTTGTGTTTTAGACCGTTGACCGTTTTGTGGTAGAAGTCTTGAATCGTGCGCTCGTCTTTGACTTCGTCCGCTCGTAGCGACGACGTGTAGAAGAGGACGAAGACAACACCGATTAGCACACCCACGAGGAGGGTGCGCAGTTGCCTTTGGGAAGGCATCTCGCTGCGTTCGCAGAAGGCGAGGTGGTTGATGGGCGGGTGGCTGTTGTAGGAAGCAATTGAAGTTCGGAACAAGTCCCTCGGGGCTGACGATTGTTAGATGTTGCGATTGCCGCGAACTGCTTGATGGCAAGGAGCGAGGCAGAAGCAATGACAGGACGTAGTCGAAGAAGGCAGGCTGTCTGGTAGATGCTACAGTAGCGAAGCTATCGACAAGCAATGCTGAGACAAGGTTTGCCTTGGGGACTATGCGACCACCCTTCAGATTTGAACGTGCCGTTGGTCAAGTAGAAGCCCCAGCGTTTCGGAGCTTCCCCAGCAATCGGGCGCTTTGGGTGTTTCGAGCTGATGGACAATGTGTTGACATATGGCGTAAGAAGGATCAAGCGTCGATGGCGTCCAATGGAACCGCGAGGAGGACGTGGCTGTGGTGGCCACGGGTATCGAGTTTGCGTAAAGAAGGGTACGTTGTCGCAGTCGCGCGCGCACTATCGTCGTGTTCGAGAACTGTCAAGAGGCAAAAGTGGACAGAAAGGGTTGGAGAAGCTGGGGAGTTGAGATCGGCAATTTGGCTCCCGTGACTAGCCATTCTTGTTGCTGCTGCATCGCTGGACAAGTGCACGTTGGGCGGGCTACAGATACCTGCCGACGCAAGGTACACAGTACGCAGAGATGAGCCGTGTTAGAGTATGGACCGCTGGTCGATAGTACCTCCCTCTTGGCGCGAAACTCCAAGCACTTACCTAGGTAGGTAGTGGACAGCTCTAGGCAAGGTAAGCCTGGTAAGGAAGGCAGGCACCTGGGTACCTCAGGTAGAGAGGCAGTTTGCATGGCCCCAAGACGGGCAGCGGGAAATCCCCGAGGTCGTGCCAGGATTACAGCACCTTGACCCTTCGTATCTGCACATCACCACCATCAGAGACAGCTTTGGTGGAGCACCGATTTCATGCACACCAATCGGTGGGTCTAACGCGTACTGTGTTGCCGCCCACCCCAAGAAGTAGTACGGATACAAACCACCAAAAAAAGGCGGACATGGCTGTTATATTGACGCGGCTCCAAAGATCGTCGCCTCGACGCATCGTCAACGAGTCCTCTTGATTGATACCGCAATACGGATACTATTATTAATGATGCCGTATTCCCTGACCGATAGTATAACATACCTCTGACGCGAGCTTATCCCACGTGAACCCTAACCCAAATCACCTAACTCAATAGCCCTACTCGGGATGTGGTGGCTGGCATACGTAGCCAGCCGCCTTCGGCACCAATGATGGAAATCTACGGCATCAATAGGTAACCAGTTGCACTTCATCTTCAACCCGGCTTCCCGTGCGCAAACGAAACGACACGGGACGAAACGACATGGGACAACTTGACTCGATTCGAACCGGAACGGGAAGAAAGGACGAAACTGACCCCGGCCTTACAAAACAAGATACTCCGACTCACTGAATAAATCTCCACACAATACATCAGGAAAGAAATCCGATATGATCCTTACCCGATCCCGGACATAGGGGAAGAGAACCCTCCCGTCCTCATTTGGCAAGCTACCTACAACGAGACAGACATCGTTGCCGAGAGACTTGACAAAGTTCGTGCCACTCGACAGGGTTTCGCCAACAGACAGCCCGCAATGGAGAACTTTTCAGCATGAATGGGCCGGGTTTGGCCTTTTGAGGGCGCGACACGAGAGCGTTTCTACGGTTGCACATCACCATTACAAAGTGTGTGGAAAAGCATGGTATTTCTCGATGGCCAAAAAACATCTCCAGTCATACATACCATACCGTCTTGTCCTCGATTAACCTCATTAGCTTCTTTCGCTGATCCTGCAGCGAATCTCATACAGCATTTCATCATCTTCACCATCCACCGTGTCAACGGTTGCTCATTAACCAAGCACGACAACACTAATCCGTCTACAACTCGGGAGCCAGTCCTTCTTATACCTCCCGTTGAAATTTGTGGTGCTTGACGATTGCGTGGGCACGCAGCAGTCGCATCGCCGCGTCGAGATGCAGACTATTGGCACTATCCGCGTCCGGGTTAAACCCACTGCCGCCGCGTGCCGCTGCCAGGTTGAATGGACCGGGTCCTGACTGCACAAGTGCTGTCATTGCATCCGTTTCTCGCCTTGAAGATGCTTTTGCTTCTGTGTTCGCTGTTTTTGGGCGGCCTTCTCTGTACTCCGTCGATGCCAATGCCGACCGATCGTATGGTGAAGGTGCTGACGACCTTTCCATGACCATGTGGTGGAGCGCCGGCTTCATATCCTGCGAGAGCTTCATCGGGGCCGCTCCGATTTGCTCGATTAATTGCGAGTGCTGGTGACTTGAGTGAGCGTGTGTGGCGACACGGTCTCTGTGGCGTTGGAGATGAGAGTGAAGCGACGATGGTGCGGTTTGTGCTTGTGCCGTGAGGAGCATTAACGGTCCAAGGTACGCAATGGGCTGCATGTCGGTGAAGGTGTTGGTCTAGGCCTGAAAGTTCGAGGAGCGGTCGCTATTATCTTGTCTCTGAAATGTCCTTGAACTTGCGGGAATCCCCAATGTTGAGTTGGCTCGAGGAGTCTGTGACGAGCTGGAGGGCGAGGGGTTTATAATCAGCCTCAACGGCTTTCTAGAAACCTTTCACTTCTTAGACATACGACGCCCAAACACACTACAACGTCACATCCAACGGCACCGAAGGCCGGTACAATCGCACCAACATGAGAAAACGGGAACCAGCCTTCGACTGGAATGCAGACCAGCTGCACAGCCAGTGCGATCAAGACCCTGTGATGGCACCCAAGCATCTAGTCAGACTCCAAGGGTCCTGTCTTAATCAACCAGCCAACCCCTTGCTCTACAACGCCTCAACTGTCATGAGTGGGCCTACCTTACCAAAGTGCTCAGAACCCTCGAAGCCGAGAAAGAAGTTTCTGATCTGCTGTTTCACGTTTCATTCGGCCTCAACGTTTTCTACTCCACGTTCGGTTGGCTCTGGATGAAGCGAAGCAGATGGCCGCCTAGGAAATGCTCAAAGAGTAAGCGCGCGCTGGCGTTGAGAAGGGGCCGTCGAAACATTCACACCAACCAGCTTCCCTACTTCCGGCAACCAAACAACAAGCCCTCGCACAGACAGAAAGGCGTGACAGCAATACGACAATGACAGGAACTGGCCAGCGTGTCTGCCTAGATGGACCGAGGAGAGGGCGGCTTGGTTGTGATAAGATAACCAACTTGCCTATTCAGGCCATCACCTTGATTCTGACTGGGCACCTTCAAATTCCCTCAGCTCCTCCCCCGTCGATAAGCCTGTCCTTCACTTTCCCCCCTTTCTCCTCTATTTTGTTCTTTTTCTCTCCTCCTTGCCCCTTCATCATTCTACAGATGCTAGACCCTCGCTTCTAGACCAAGGTCCCTCAGACTCAGGGTCCTTCTGAGACATCCCTCTCTAGGTACTGTGATGAAGAACCCCCTCCCTTTCCCCTTCCCCAGCCTCTGCCAGACATTCCACTTACACACTTTTGCCGATCCAGACCGCCGGCCTCCTCACCCGCCACCGTCAGGAATTTTCAACAAAGGCCACCACCGAGACCTTACGAAACGTCAGTTGTCTTTCAAGATCTGCGCTATTGTCAGCAGATCCCTCGGGCCAGACGATACCCGGTCTCTCCACCTACGCATCAAACACAACGAGCCACAACCGCCGAGAAGCAGACAATGGTCATGTCTCACCACGTCAATGGGGATCCCTCTTCCATCTTCCCTCTTGAGGGCGGCTGCGCCTGCGGCAACATCAGGTACTCTCTCAATGACTCGCCCCTAGTCGTCCACTGCTGCTACTGCACATGCTGTCAGCGCGAAACCGGCACCGCATTTGCCCTTAACGCCGTGGTCGAGGGGGACGAGGTGACTCTCCTCCCGAGCAAACCTTCCACCTCGCCGATCCAACCGCTGGCATCTTTCCCGAACTCCATCCGCGACGACTGGACTCCCAAGCTGTATGGGCCCGACGGACACCACGAGATCAACGAGGCAAGTGGCTCTACCGGGGAGAAGAGCAGGGCAGGTATCCCCTCACCTGTTATGCTGCCCGTTCCAGCCGAATCAGGCGCTCCGCAACACATTGCTCGTTGCCCGCTTTGTCTTACACCTGTGTGGAGCAACTATGACGGGACTGGCCCCTTGATGAAGTTCATCCGCGTCGGGACCCTCGACTCACCAGCTCTGCTGGGTGGTCCGGATACCTATATTTTCACGCGCAGCAAGCAGCCCTTTCTTGAGATTGCCAACGATGGCAAGCCTCGCTTCGACGGCTTCTACCCGTCAAAGGAGGGCATTTGGAGCCCCGAGGCGTTGGTTCGTCGGGACAAACTGATTGTTCGCGTTAAGAAATGGAGGGAAGAGAATGGCTTGGATGTATAAGCGGGTATGGTCTTAAAGTGTGTGTGGAGGGGTTCTCCTCGGCTTCCGATCTGTCGATAAAAAATCATGCACACATCGCGTGTTTTCGTACCACTTCATGAGCTACCAACCTCGGCGTTGCATCTGAGAAACCTCTCACCAAGCCTATCTCTGTCAGCTGCAGGCTACAGTAGATCCGCTGTTCCGAGTTGTCTCGTTTTGTACGCCGGAATAAAGTGTTGCTTGTGAAATCACACAATGCTTCCTCGGCAAGCTGAAAAGGACCGCTGTGCTTGCTCCGCCACTGTTTCGCCTGGCATATTACATCACTTGGCCGGGACGTTCTGCAGATACTCAGTAGGCCGACTAACATCCGTGACAATCCAGGGAAACAAGCAGTTCCGCCCTGGCGAAACTGCTTGCTTGCATCTCGCGTTGCCCACAGCACACGCATCTCCTGTCCCGGTGGGCCAATACCTCTTCTCACAGGCGACCGTTAGCAAAGACGAGACCACACAACACCTTTCCTGCCCGGGTTTGAGCTCCTATTGAGTCACGGGAGAATGAACGGACAAGATGGACGGCGACGGAGGGATGCCTCCCATCATCTCTGTTCCAGCAGCAAGCTGTCTTGCCCCTTCCCTTCCCGAACCGGCACGCGGGCCCATCGGACCACGGTCCAGTGTTTACGCCCGGCTCCTCCACGTCAATCAATGCCCGGGGTCTCTTGTGTTTCCTCAAAGGGCGATGGCGGAATAGGCGGGGTCACTCACGCTCAACCCGCTCGGCGCCGGCGCGCAGAGAGAGGGGCAGACTTGCGAGAAAAGGGCCTTGAGACGACCAAGTGCGCTTTCTCCCCCGAATCCTGTTGGAAGTCCGCTGCGCTGCCTCGTCCTACACCGTTCGTCAAGGAGACCTGCTCTCGTGCCCACCTGCACGGAGATATGCCACCAGCGCTTCGGGACGTATATACAAATGCACTGGACATCCTAGGCTATCCTTCACCTTGATCACCATCAACTCGTCGCCCTTGTTGCCCCTATTCATCAGGAAGCAGGAATTAAACTTGCTCCCTCTCTCATTTCTTCTATATAGTCAACAAGTCAACGCCTCCCAAGCTCTACTTACCCCTTTCTCGCATCTTCCTGCTCGGCGTCTCATCCACATCACATTTCTCACCGACACCCACATACACAAGCACATGACACCATAGGCAGCGCGGTCCAATTGGGAAGTTGTCTCTCAATTCGACTTTGGTTACGGATAGTTGCTTGGATATATCCTTCAACGCGAGCTTACCCCCTTTCCCCTCTCTCTTCCGAGAATTCGAATAAAACTCAACAACGTACCGACATATATGTTTGTGTGCGTCTGTAATGCGATTTGGTAAATGCAAAAACCCTGCCCCGTGTTCCCTGGGTTGCGAACATAACGAAAGGGGGAAAAGAAAAATTGCATCCAAGGGGATTTGCGAGAAATACGATTCTTGCATTGACTGCTTCCGAACTACACATACTAAACACACCCGAACCCCATGGATTGTCGATCCACTGTTTCCCTTTCTCCCCAAACGCCATTGTAAGAGGGGGGAAAAAACATACATAAGAGGATGAAGAAACTATCATTACGTCGATGATGTCGGGTTGAACAATACTGACAATGGAAAAAAAGAAAGAAAAAAACAGGTCTAAAAAGCCACCGGAGCTTAGGAAATAGAACTGCTCGGGGTAGGAAACTTGAGTAAGATCCCCGAGATGAATAACGAAAGATAGGGGGCTCGTTCGAGAGCTCCATAGAAAGCCCGTCTCTTCGGACGAGATAGTCTAAGGCAATGGCGATGCTGATTTCCAATCAACGCGGGAAGAATAACGAGCAGCCGCTTTAAAACCAGGTGGCAAAGGATGAACGTGACGCCGTACTTTTTGATTCGCTATTGCTGTGTCATGCAGGATGAAAGTTGCCCGACATTTCTATCCAGACCTGTCGTAATAAAATCGTTTGTCAAGAGGATTGCGCTAGTGCTGCGAGCATGTGACCCTGAGTGCACGGCGTGTTCTCATTGGCAACATTTTGCCTAGCCGATCTTCCGGAAGCCTTCGACCGTCAACATCGGCACCTCCACCTCGCTGAGGCCAAGGACGCCTTCGTCCCGTCTTCGGTCGACGAAGCCGTTGCACTCTGCAACGATCAGACTCCACTCTGCAAGGGCGCGGCCGGTGTAAACGGCACGCTTGGCGTACATGCCTGTCGGACGAAGTGGTTGCGTCAAGGGCTCAGGCCCGTTTCGGCGACCTTCAGGTCTCTGTTGTTGCTGTTGCTGCTCTAGGGTCTCAGGCTGGGATTGAAGCTGGACCTGAGGAGATGATGATTGCGGCTGCAGCTGTTCTTCCTCGGCCTTCTTCTCGGCAGGCGATGAAGCTGTTGATGAGGCGGACGACATCGACGATGCTGAGGACTTCTCCGCCCCTTCGAAGTCGAAGGTCATCAGCTCCACGTTAGGGTTGTTCTCGAAGTCGAACTTGTTGCTGAGCCTGCGCGCAAGCGAGGACGAGGACACAGCGGTGACGGATGACTTGCGTTCGAGCGTGGGGGAGGTAAGCGGGCTGGCGTTCCTGGCGCCATCAACGAGACCCTTCTTTTTGGAACCAGAGACACGCCGTGTGGGGTCCGGGAGGCCAGCGGGCAGTGGAGGTGGCGAACTGCCGCTTCGGGACCGAGCACTGACCCAAGCTTGCGCCGGTGCGGGAAGACGCGGGCGGGTGAGGAGGCGGTCACGCGGCTGGGTGACGGCATGGGGCTGCCAGGTCAGTGTGAACTTGAAGACGAACTTCTGCTCCATGAATATAGGCGACGCGCCGGGAGAACTGCCATCAGAAGATGCGGTAGCAGCGGAGGCGGTGGAAGTAGAGATCTTGGGCGGTAGAGGAGGGCCTCCTTGACGACGCTTCGAGAGTGCGGATGACTTGAGCGGCGCTTCCTTGCGTGATGCCTCGCTGTTGTCCTCACTGTCTGAGCTGTTGCCTCCCAAAGACAGAACCTTTCCGATCAGAGACCAGCGCTTCTTGCTGTTGTCTGCCTTGGCAGTAACAACCTCCTTCGTCTCGGGCGGCGGCGTCGAGGCCGCCATGACCCCTTCGCCGTTGACGATCTTAGAGAACGAGTCGAAGGGCTGATTGAAGTAACCAGGCTGAGGAAGGTTGATTTCCGTGCGAATAATCATGAACTTCTTACCCGGGGTAGGGAGACAAGGTGAGGTGGAGGGAGGGAGCTTCCCAGCGGCATTTGCAGCGTTGCGGAGGTAAAGATAGTGAGCCCAACCTGTCTTGAGCCGGGCCGCAGCGACGAGGAAGATTTGACTGACCAGTTAGCGCTTGAGCATCACTTCTCGTGAAGAAAAGAAAAAAAAAAAAAAAAAAAGGGGGGGGGGGGGGGGGGGGTAACTTACGCATCAATCTCATTTGCGCTGCCAGCATCTCGGCAAATCCGCCAGCAGAGCAGGCGCATGTAGTAGGCACGCACCATTGGACACCAGTGATTGAAGTAGGCGTCAAATGTCTCTTCAGAAAGCAACCAATCCAAGCACAAGGCCTTCTTCCTCTCCGGGTTCGCAGTGACTGCTTCCCAAGTCGAGAAGATGAAGGAGAGGAGTCGGACTTCCGTCATGGCGTTATCGGAGACGAGCATTTTTCTACACACGTCGAGCCAGAAGGGCCAATTCATGCCCTTGGCGATATTCGGGTTTTCGAGATCGTCCAATTGATCGTAGGCCACCAGCGCCTCCTCCAAGAAATCGCACAGCGTGAAAACAGCGCTGTGGTCGAAAGCAGACACCCGGCGGGTTGCGGCGCGGGTTACGGCCAGGAAAGCTTCCGCAAAAGTTCGTCTTGCGGGAGCAATGACGGGTAGTGATTCGCCGAGAATATCCTTCAGCAGTACGATGAGCCGATTCTCAGCCATGTTCTTCAGCAGGTTTGCCGGAACTGTCATCGAGGTCGCGGCAGCGTCGGCACCGTAAAATGAGTCGGCAGGCGGTAGCGGGTTCATCATCGCGTCCACCTCGGCTTGTCGGTGGATGGTAGACTCGATACAGGCGAGGATCTGCGCTTGAACCAGCACGAAGCCCGGTGAACGCGCCTTTTCCAGAAGCGGCAGCCCCTCTGGCATGAACTCCTCGGACAGAATGTGATAATACTTGCAAAAAATAAAGAACAGGTCAGTATCACCGCCGCGCCACCTAGTTACCCAAGGACTGAACCAAGGGATTCTCGCCGCCATGACCGAAAGCTTGACCCTCTCCTTGAAGCGGGCGCTTATGAACTTCTGCGATTGCCAGCCAAGCACCCCAATATTGGGTGGGAAAAGCGCCATGATATCCTCGCTTTCACCGCCGTTCTTCTTGGGCAGGCCGAACTCCTCGGCTGTCCGCCTGATGAGTTCCGGCCGCAGATCCCACAAACGCACAAGGATCTCAGCAACGGACGGGCAAAAGAAGAAGCCGTAGGCGCAGGCCTTACCGCACCAATTGACCAAGCTCAAAGGCGCATGCCGGAGTGACATCTTGTCCACCACAATCTGCATCTGCTTCATAAGGTTACCCACAAACATGGTGCGGACGTTGTGCTCGGCCGATTCAGCAAGGAAGGCCTGGCTGGATGCTTGCGAGGAGTCTGTTGTTGACTGGGTTCCCGATCGAGGCCGAACACATTCGTTCGGTGAGCGGTCCGCCAAAGACATGAAATATGTCGTTGTCTGTCGCCATTCGGGTCGCATCATCAGTATCGTTAAGGCTTCAAGCAAAACCGGTCGGTCAATCCCCGCCAGTTGTTGAGTTTGCGGGTCAAGCATCTCCAGTAGACCAGTCCACCACTTATTCAGCACAATCGCCCTCCGCTCGACGTCCTCGAGGTTGAGTCCCTTGTTGGTGGGGTGGTTCATATAGGTCCGCAAGAATGGCAGCAAGGTTACGCGTACCAGGTGCATTCGTTGGGCCATGGTTTTTGAAGGGAAGCCTCCGTGCTCGGTATCGAGCGTCTTGAAGGCGGACCAGATTGTATCCTTATTGACCGACATTTCGCTCCACGACTCGTCTGTTGCCGTGGTGTGAGATTCGGTAACAGATGCCGGTTTCGACTCGGACTTCTTATTGGTAGGAACGGTGCTGTCTGCGTCTTTACTACCGCGCTGACCATGTTCCGGAGCGGCGCTGGGCGGCGGCAAGACGTTTGTGGACGCGGGGACACTGCTGGCATCCGAATCGAGGCTCGATCCAAAGGTGATGAGCATGCTTTTCGGTCGCTGCTTGATCTTGGTCAAGAACATACTCGTCCGGTTGTGAGCACGTGCCGGTTTTAATGACTCGGCGCTCTTCGCAGCGGCGGATTCTTGGTAGATAAGCATAGAGAGGGGCCTCCTACGCGGCGCTTCGGCACCCTTGACGGAATCGCTGCTCGAGGCCCTACTACGAGAAGGACGAGGGGGAGGTGCAGCGGGCGGTTCTAGGTTTCTCTTCGGAGACGGGGAGCGAGAGGTGGACATCCATGATTTCTTCGCAAAGGTAGCGAAAGTCTCCGACACCGTCCTGGGGCGTTCTCGTTCGACCGGTCGCGCCGGTGGTACCGGGGCGGCAGATGGCACAGCAGCGCCCACGTGTTCTCCGGCGTGAGTGCTAGGCCGCTCGGACATAACGGGTCTCTCGGGCAGCGGCGGCTCTTTGACCTTTGACGGCGACCTCGACGATGGCAGCCATGACTTCCGCCGCTCCATCAACGACGCCCGCCTGCCTCTTTTCTGCAGCTTCTCGTCGTCCTTTTCCTTCTGCTTCCCTTCTCTCGTGTTTTCCTTATCATCGTGTCTGGAAGGTCCGGCCAGCTTCACCTGGTCAGATTGTGCTGGCGTAACAGCCAGTACCGGTGGTAGCTTCTCCTTTGCAGCAGCTTCCTCGGACCCCTTGCCATCGAGATAGAGTGTCGTGTTGAATTCGGGGATTGTGTTGAAGGACGGCAGGTCGAATGCAGCTCGGCCCTGCACGCTAGGGCCTCTTTGCCGTGTGGTTGTTGTCGATGTCGTTCCTACTGGTGCTGTGTCTGGGCGGTCATCGGATGGGTGTGATCGGTGGAGGTAGGAACCGTTTGCTGAATCGACAACAGCCGGAGCCATTGTCAGCGTCGGGCCTTTCATCTCATGGCAGATTCCACCACACAATTAGAGGGATTCGGTCTCCCCGGCCACTGCAGGAGCTGCAGCTGTGGTGGATGTTGCTGCCCGGCTCGAGCTTGGTGGGCTGTTGTTTGCGATTGCGCCGGCAACTGCGACCTAGAACATGTGCTTTCAACTGGGAATGGACGAGACTGATTGGGTAGGGTAAGGGAGGGCCGGTCGGAATGCTCGGTGTCACTGTGGTACGGCGTCTGCTGTCCCCCAGCCGAGGTATGCAAGGTGAGGTGCGAAGCGTAGTGAGGTGATGTAAGCAGGTCCTGGAATCCGCGCCTAATACCAGACTTGACAAAGAGAAAACCTGGAGCCAAGGTGTGTACAGTTGGCAAAATGCGCGGTTTGGTTTGTTGGTCCGTCGGCGGCCGGTGTCTCTGAGCCGGCAGAGGGAACAGATGCAAAAGCCGGAAGAAGAAGACCGTTCGGTGGGCGGCGGATGCGGATATGGATATCACGAAGTCGTAACCGTTCGTCAGGCACACGTAGAGACGGAGACAGAGCACTGGCGTCTGGTGGCAGCGTACAATGGACAGAAAAAGGATGAACGAATGACTGGCGGATGAGGCGAGGTGAGGCGTGGCAAGTCGACCAGCTGTTGCTCTGTCCCTTCTTCGGGTCTGGGACTGGGGGGCGGGCTGAAGGATCTGTGTTTGGTTGCAGGTGGTGGAGTGGTTTGTCTGGGATGTTTCTCTTGGGTTTGACCGGTCTGCTACAAGGTCCAGTCCTGGAGCCACTTCGACGGGGATTGTATGTCGAGGAAAATGGATAAGAGAAGTTCGAAGAGTCGAAGGCTCGGGCAATGAGAAGAGAGACAGGAATCTGAAGAGGTGCAGCGGGACGTGACGGTCGGGGGAAAGGGTTCCCTGTCCAAGACTGGAGCTGGAGCGTTTCAAGTGAAAGAGCGACAGAATAGCGGAGCCATGGAATATTATAGCGACCTCCACCTTTTTTTTCCCCCCTTCTTCTTCCTTCTTTCTGGAATTTGGGGGTTGAGGAACGCGCGCCGAATATTGCGACACGACGGTGGATGATGTCAATTCAATGTCGCTGGTCGTCAGCAGATACAAGAAAGACTTGCTGTGGTGTAGACGGGAATCATGCTCAGCATTTCTGTACTTGGTCCGTTCTCTGTACTCTGAACTCGGTACTGTACCCGTCCAAGACTCGATCAACTTGTCTCAGGCGCGGGAAAGAGAAGGAAACAAACGACGGGAGGAGAGTTGGCTTGGTAGCGAGAGTCAGGTCGTTGCCTTGACCAGGATGCGAGGTGACGAAGGGATAGGAGGAGGGAGAGAAACCTCAGAACAGCTACGGGAAACTCGTCGAAGCAAAGAGGGACGGAGGCACACCACACACACACACACACACACACACACACACACACACGCACAACAAAAGAGACGATCGAACAATCGGGAGGCGGGACAGGAGGGGAGGAGGCGCAAGGGGGGGGGGGGGGGGGGGGGGGGGACAGGGGTATCTGCAGACGCGGTGGGTGGCAGTAATAATAGAAACCAAGAGTTCATATAATAATACAATGTACGTCAGTGGGATTTTCGGTATTAACAGCTAAGGGGTAGTAATATCACGCGAACCGGTACTACCGCCTACCGGTACATGCTCCTGATAAAGTGCCATGTTCCTGGCCTCTCTTGCACTTGATCTTGGCCCGGGCAATCAGGCTTGGCCCTCCCCCCCTCAGTCCACTCACTTCGCACAGAAAGACGAACAAGATCACCGCCTCTTGGCCGTGAACCCAAAAAAGGCTGTGCGGACGCCGTCAAACTCGACTTGGATCAGTCATCGTCGGATTCGCCCGCCCCATAAACCAGAGCAAGACGCCATCAGGCATCAGCTGCCGCGCCAGCACACAGAAGCCGTGCTGTTCCAGAAGCGCCAACTACCTCGATAAACGTTCGCCTCCGTCTCGTCTGGTCTTATGTAAAAATTATGCAGAGTTAGGATGCATACGCCGTGCAGTACCGGTACGTGTGTGAGTTGCACGACTGAGAGCGACGCCCGAGGCGCTGCCACAGCTGCCAGGCTAGCCAAATCAGACGCGTAAGAGAAGCAATCTCGTTTCTTCATGTACGGTAGGTATAGGTAGTCTGGACGGAGTACGCAACAGAACGGCTTAGCCTCCTTCCCATGCTGCAGTGTACGAATCCAAGCTAACGCCGACTCGTTGGCGCGTTGGAGGAGTTGACCGGGGGGTGTGGTTGATCGCCCAGCGCGCCAGCGTGGATCAATACGAACGAGGGTCCGCCTTTTTTTCTCTCCTTTGTGCCAGTGCCGGCACACGAACTGAGATAGAAAACCTGCCTTGGCCCCGGGCAGACCCTGCAGACCGAAAGAGGGATGGATGCCTGAGAGAAGAGGGGAGAGGTTCTCTCTCGGCTGTATGTCCTCCAGGTATCCAGCAAGTCTCACTTACATTTCACCCAACGCGCAACACAGAACGCCAATAAACCTCAACGCGCGCCCTATCCAGTGCACTTTGGCGTTCCTCCCAGCACGCGCCTTTTAACCAGGCTTCGCATGACATGACAGATGAAGGCGGCTTCGAACTCGGACCCCGTCAACTGATCACACATTCGTCCGGCCTCCGTCTCTGGTGTACCGACGAGCTCGAGGGACCCGGGGCTGAGACCGGCAACGCTCGCACTCCCAGCCACGTCAGTCAGCTTTTGGGGATCTACCCGTCGGCGGTTGGCTTGTCTTCAACTGCCTCTTTCCACCGCGGATCCCCTGGCTAAGACCATGAAGCATCAGCCATCGGCTCCAGCGTGTCTCGCCGATCCCAAGGGGATTCGTTCAGCAAGCCCGCTAGCGTCGCCAGGCGGTGCGGCTTCGTTCCTAGGCTCAGCCTGCCAAGCTGTCGGTCCAACTGAGGAATTGAACCCTTCTACCCCTCCCCCCCTTCGTCCGACCCCTTTCCCCTGATCGATGCAATCAGTCGGGAACGCACTGAACTCTACTAACGAAAGTCCGAACGCTCAGCCGCGCTGCGAGTCGGGCCCGCTTGAAAAGTTGACACCTGCACACGCTAGCTAGGCCTTGATACTCCGTGCCCCCGTCGCTGCGTCGAAGTGTTTGGAGGGTTTTGGCTGACCCTGTCCTGGCCCAGCGGGCGTGTAAGGCAAAGCAAGGCGAAGGCGGTACGGGATGGTTCCTGAGGGAAATCAAACGAGTTGGCTGTTACTTCGTCACTGACCCGCCCGCCTCTCGGCACTCGGCAGTGTTACATGGGCAGATGCTGCATCACGACGGGGTGTCCTCTCTCCCACTGGCCAGAAGTCCGATTCGGCTTGGGACTATGGTTCCCGTGTCCGGCGATTTCATTTGCACATATCCGTACATTAACGGGTGTCATTAGCGTGCCTGGGAAACGGCGCGGGAATAAAAGATTGAAGAAGTGGTATGAGTTCTGCACAAAGCGCCACAAATCCCCGCCTTGGGATGTGTTTGGCCTGTAGTTACAAGTCTAGTCGGGCGCGTCGTCAATGCGCCAGTATTGTCCTCCAGCTGGACGGGCCTTGTCTTCGCAGCGGCTGACATTCAGGGGAGGGCTGCCTCGGGGAGAGAGTTATGTCGATGAACGAGAACTTTTTCAGGCCACAGTGGTTGAGTGTCTCGGTCAATGGTGGTAAGGCCTGCCTCTGTCTCTGCCTTGTTCGATATCCGATAGATACCCGGAACGTCGCGCCAGTACGGATACTGCGGGTTAGATGTGATTATGCCCGGGCAGGGCAGCGTCCTACCGAGTTTAAGTTTGCTATGCAAATAGACTCAATCTGCCCGTCACCCATTACGATCCGCACATCGAAATCCCGGTTTGCTCGAAATACCATGTTTGATGTCTTGCCCCCCTGCCCACAAGTGGGAACGTTGGCTAGTCAATAACCTCCCCCTCTTTGTCCCAAGACGGCTTATGCCATCATAACTCGAGAATGGGCACAAGGGCCTTGCTCTCCGAGCCCAGCTTCAGGGTTACCAGGAGTGGAGGCCATGAAGGAAAACATGCCAATCATAATGTTATCTCTAAAATGGGGCTTTCGCCGTGCGCCCGGCCTCTTCCTGTGTGCTCTACACATTTTAGGTATCCCACGAGCGAAGCAGGTGGCAGTACTCTTTATCGGGAAAAGCAAATAAGAAATTGGGACGACTCCGGCGACTCAAAGAAATTGACAATGTCCGTAGGGCAAGGCTCGTGGATCGGATGGCGCTGGAACGATGGCTATGCTCGCAAGAAGAAAAGATAAAAGTGCTTTTCACAATTGAGTACCCTTCTTTCGTTTTGCCCAGGTGTCATTGAAGCTGATTGGAAGCCAAGCCATTTTAGCGAGGTGTTCTCCTGAAGGCTCGGTTCCACTGGCACCATCATCATCAGATCATTTGCCAGGGAACCTAATGGATCTGGCTTCACGGCCGATACGCGGAGAACCTCTCTTCGTCTCCGCAGCATGTTGGCGGTGAGCCGGACAGTCCGGAGAGCAGAACGGGGCGGGGGCAGATTGGTGTGGAGTTGACATTGGGCTACCTCATGAGATGAGGCTCCCATACGAACGGGTTCCATGTCGTCCCCGTGGCACAAAAAAAAAAAAAAAAAGAAGAAGAAGAAAAAAAGAAGAAGGAAAAAAAAAACCGCCCAGTGTTGCCATGGGGAAACCCCGGCCGGTTGGGAATCCCTATCCAGGTAGCACAAAGTCCTCAGCCCCCCGCCGGAGTAGTCCACGGGCGGTGTAGTGGTTGACATGTTAAAGAACCATGGTTTGGAGTGTTGCCGTTTCTTCATGCACCAGAGCTATAGAGTATAGAGCAACATAGGTGTTTGGTAATGAGAGGGCAGGGTTTGATCTTGGCACGTTGAAATTTTCCTTCAGCAAGAATGGCACAGAGAGAAGCCGATTGCTGTACACACAAATGCCGTTGTCCGAAAAGGACGGTATCACGTAGAAGGGGGCTGATGGTATGGCTAGCGCGTCCATTGAGATTGACCAAAGAACCGCGTCCGTCGAGAATCCTGTCGTTGAGCAAAAGCGCCGAGCACTTGCGGGACGCCAAGAAGGCAACGCGTGGCTCAGTGGCAATCCACGTCCGCAGAGCCGAGAGAAGAGGATCGAGATTGCTCATCATCATTTGGAGATGAGGGCAGTTGCCATCCTATCAAGGCGGCCGCAGCGTTGGTGTGAGAATGACAGCGTTGCAAGCGAGACTGAGTTCCACACACCAGCGTCACAATGTCGAATGAATAATCGACACTGCTGACACGACGTGTGCTGATGAGGATTGCGGCTGTGGCCACGACGTCAGCTTCCAGTTTGGGTGAAGGTATTGGGGTGAAGGAAAGATGAAATGAGCAGATAATCTACCGCCTGGAGAAATTTTATCAGAAAGGCAGAATTGATTGGGAACTCACAGTTGCAGGCTCGGGGCTGTCTCGGCCCGAGGGACCCAAGGAGTCCAGTTATTGACAACACTTTTATTGTTAATACCTGAGGTACCGTACCGTATCTACCTTCGTACCGTACCTGCCTTGGCACCTAGTTACTACCTACAGGGTGGCAGGGGTAAGTTTTTTCCCCCCTATGATGTTATCCCCCATAGCTGACATCATGATAGAGGGGGAATATTCACCAAAAGTGAAGTTCTGTAGTAGGGGTGTGAGCACTAGTTACCTAACAGGGGGAAAAAACTTCGGCCGGATACCATAGTACCTATAGACCCAGGGACCCGTCGGTGCACGAGCCACAGTCACAACGACGGCGTTGGCCGGCGCACCTTGCGCCGCCCCAGCTGGGATCTCCCAGGCTCTCCGTCGCTGCTCCCGGTTGAGGGATGATACATGAGCAAGCGGTGCGGGGAAGTTGAAATGTCAAGACCCAGACGGAATGAAATAGATAGGTAAGTGGTGTATAGAAGATCGACCACGATGATCTTCCCTTGACGGGACGACAAAGGCAACCTTTGCATGAACACAAAAGACTCGGGGGCACCGCCACAAGTGTGCTATATTTGTGCTCCTTCACAGGAGTGCCGATCGAGATTCAAGCATGTAGCATTCTTGTGACTGCTGTTCATCTCGCATGGACGATTGCGTCTTGGTTTGCTCAGGGACACCCCAATCCCTCTTGGCTGTTGGGAGGAGAGGACCGCTTGTGATAATGTTGGTTCTTCGGCCTTTCCCAGTTTGTAGGGAACCTCCTTGGCGGTAAGGTTCTTGTATCATCCCCCTACCCACCAAGGGTTCCAAGCTGTGGTTTCCGATGATCAGGACTGGGTAGTTGTTGGTGAACTACCAACCTACGTAGTTCAGGGTTCATAGAGCGCATTAATGAGGCTGGAGCTGAGCTCCTACCACCAAGGAACAATCTGGTAAGAATCCGGGTCGCGACCGCTCTTGCCATCACGTACACAGCCAGCATCAGACAACATACCTAGCAACGCCGATTGTACACTCGCTTCAACCGTGTCTTTCTTTACGTGCAATAAGAGAAAATCCAGGACCGGTGGCTTTTGGGCTGCTTTCTAAACGTTAGGGAGAACCAGAATGAAACCAGAACACACCGTTAGGTCTCGGAGCAACGGGTGGCATGCAGAACCCAGACTCGAAACCATGAGTAGGTAGTTTCGCACTATAAGTACAGCAACAAGAAGAGTAGCAAGTGGTCATGAGATTCCAGACGACGCGAGGCCGCTTCCAGTGGGAGGCCAGAGCCGGTGCAGTACCGTAGCACGCTTGAATGGAAATGTCACTCCTTTGCTCTGATTGGACAGAACTTAAAGCCCGCGGGAAAAAACCCGCCCTCGCCTTCGGTTGTTTCCCAACCATCCGCGGCCACAGTCGAATAGCAAAAGTAACGGGAAACCATTTTGGCATAACCGCCATCTATCACACTTATTCGTAAATCAAAACTCTTGGTCCTTCTGTCGCAATATCGTCGAGTCTTTCTTTCGACATCATGCGCGGGTCTGAATCAAACAAGGATGAAGTCCCAGCTGAGAAGCTGGCCGGCGGCGGTGTTAACCGGGATATTGAGCAGCAGCAGAACCCTGAGACCGACGGAGCTCAAGTATCTTCGATTTTCAAGTCTCTTGGTATTCTTGACAGACTTCTGGCCCTCTGGATCTTTCTCGCCATGCTGATAGGCATTCTCCTGGGAAACTTTGTTCCCAACGCCGGGCCAGCGCTCCAACAGGGTAAATTTGTCGGGGTATCTGTGCCAATAGGCAAGTTTCTCATCCGCATACCTGCCGGAATACCTCTGACGTTATTCAGCCATCGGCCTGCTGGTTATGATGTATCCTATCCTGTGCAAGGTTCAGTACGAGAAGCTGCACAATGTCTTCCGCACGCGGGAGATCTGGATACAACTCGTCTTCAGCGCAATCGTCAACTGGGTCATTGCACCTCTCTTCATGGTCAGTGTGGGATATCTCCAACTTTCGTCCTGGAATACAACTGATAGTGGGAGCGTAGCTTGCCTTATCATGGGCGTTCCTGCCGGACAAAGAAGGTCTGAGGAATGGTTTAATTCTAGTTGGAATCGCGAGATGCATTGCCATGGTGCTGATCTGGACGAGTTTGGTCAGTAACCTCTCGGGACTATACGTATCGCTGCACGCTGACAGGTCTGACAGGCTAGGGGGGACGGAGATTATTGCGCTATCCTTGTGGCGGTCAATTCGTTTCTGCAGATTGCCCTCTTCGCCCCCGTCGCGCTGCTCTTCATTAGGGTTATCGGCCAAGACAGCAGCATCTCCTCCGTCTCGTACTCGACAGTCGCATCTGCAGTGGGCGTTTTCCTCGGCATCCCCCTTGGCGCGGCCATCATTACCCGCCTATCATTGATATACACCGTGGGCCACGAGGCGTACACTGTCAAAGTGATACCGTTCTTGGCGCCGTGGTCGCTGGTCGGCCTTCTTTACACCATCATCGTCCTCTTCGCATCCCAGGGGTCACAGGTCGTCCACCAAATCGTGTCCGTGGTGCGGGTCGCGGCGCCGCTGGTGGTCTACTTCTCCGTAATCTTCTCGGCGACACTGCTCGTGGCCCGCAAGCTGGGTTTCCGCTACGGTCTCGCTTGCACGCAGGCATTCACGGCGGCTAGCAACAACTTTGAACTGGCCATTGCGATTGCCGTCGCGACATACGGACCTGAGTCGGATGAGGCGCTTGCAACGACCGTCGGGCCGCTCATTGAGGTTCCGGTACTCCTTGGACTGGTCTATTTCATCAAGTGGTTTGCCCGGCGGAATGGTTGGAACGACTAACGCAGAGCACCACATGCCGGTGTCATGGGTCCAAGAGTCTGCAGGAGCTAGTACTTAGGCGTGCGTGGGAGATCGCGCCTGGCAAAGCCGGCCTAGCCGATACGCATGAGATATGACGTTTGGCGTATTTGAAAATATATAGATCGGTCTTAAATCCGAGTGTGCTAGCACCTCGTAGATACCAACTCAGCTCGCTCGAATCCGACAGATGCCTCTACAAGACGCAGCTGGAAAGGCTACAAAGTGAGCGTTGTATGTGGGCGTCGCAGGTCCCGAACGGGCGGACCCCTGCCTCTCTCTTAGCTCACGTTGTACCTCCAGCCGTAGTGACCCTCAAGGTGACCAAAGCTCCCTGTCACAGTTCGTTGCACCTTCTCGTTCCAGACAGGTCCCCGTTTTGCTTCCGACCGCTAGTCCCATCACCACACTCTCTCTCCCTCCTTGCCAACCCCCAATCTCCCTCCCACCCCCTCCACTGGCATTCTGCAACCAATCCGAGCAATCGGTCCTCACGCCGAAACTTGAAGCGGTTGCTCCATCACAAATTTGCCATCAAGCTGCTCAAGTGCCCGTGGCAGAACTCCAGTGGTGTCTCCAATTCTCCGAGCTGCCGAGCAGCACCGCCAGATCCTTCGGAGCTCCCCTTCCCCCACGGTTCCGCCATGGAGTCGCTTCCTCGCGAGTTGATCGATGCCATCCTCCAGCAATGCGTCGCCTTGGGGCCGCGGAATAACGTTTTGGACCTTCGACTCGTTTGCAGGGCCTTCGATCGCTTTCTCAAACCCTACGCGTGCCGGACCGTAGCTCTTGAGTTCAGCCGTCTAAGCAAGAACAGCCGCCGCCGGCAACCTGATGTCGACTCCCTCCAGACGATTGGGTACCATTGCAAGTCCATGTACATTGACTTGATGGTTCTTCGTGATGAACGTAAGCAGGAGAACGACCATCAAAGACCTGCAATTTCGTACTGACCCTCGCTAGTGGAAGTCGAGTTTCTGTCCACCATATTCGACCGAATACCTTCCATGAAGCACTTCGTCCAAACTTTACAGCGCGAATACTGTATGTCTCCGGCCTCCTTCACGACGCTGGAATATCGACATATGCTCGAAACGATACTATTCAACTGCCAATTCGTCTCTTCTCTTCGCCTCAACCTGCCTTTCCAGCTCGTGGGCCACCGCTGTAATGCCGCAACAATGATCCTCGCGAATACCTTTTCCGCCTTCTCCCGCCGCCCGGAAGATTCCCTATCTCTCAAGACACTCGTTCTCGAAAACGTCTCGGACCAGGCCATTGTGGATCTTTGGACCAACCCCTCTGACGTCCTCGCCATCATGCGCGCCATCCGTCAACTCGAACACATGGTGCTCTCCTTTCGCCGCCACGAAGTCGATCCACCCCGCGTGTCCTTCTACGGCACGTGTCTGTGGGATCTCATACACAATGCGGATGTCCTGAAAACACTGTGTCTGTCTGGTACAGACGACGACCGTCCACCGCGAGGCCTGAAGCAAACAAAGGCGTGGAACATGACACTGGATGAGTGGCGGGCCCGCGCGCTTCCTCCTCCACCAGTTACGCTGACCTTCCTCACGGCTCTTGAGCTGAAGCGCGTTGAGATCACACCGTTTTTTCTGCGCTGTGCTGCTCGTAATTTTGGCGTGACCTTGCGCGAGCTGTACCTAAACGAGGTCTATCTCAAGGCCGAGCAAGGGCAAAACCTCAATGAAGACTCGAAGCAGATTCTTTGGATCGGCCTACCGAATCAGCGTCCTGGCCTTCATGACGACTGGATGGCTATGATTGTCCGCGAATCGTGTCCGAAACTCGAGATATGCCGAGCCTCCTTCCTGGGCTATGACCTCTACACTCGCGACGACTTGCCGCCTTCGCCCGCCCCATCGTCTCCAGACTTCGATTTCATTGATCCCTGCGGACTGGGCCGCTCGATCGCGCAACGCTTTGTCGAGGTCACCCTTGGCTATCACCAACCTCCACAGTCGGACGGCAGCCCCGTATGTTATCTCCCAGTCCTGGAATCCAACGATTACCTCCTCACCCAGATGCGGCCGCGCACCCGTGCGTTGCGGGTCACCGAGTACGATGTAAATGCATATCAAACAGCCGTACGGAACGGCACCAGCAGTTGGCAGCGCAGCATTGATGGCGTATTTCCGAATTGTAATAGTGGCACGCTCGAGGAACTTCACTACATCGCCGAGACCGCGTGTCAGGGTATGAATGAGATCCAGCGGCAGCGTAACGAGCATATGGGCCAAGAGGACGGGGGCGATGGTGGTGGTGAGGCCGGTAATGGTGCCAACGGGGGCGGCGGGAACCTGGCAGAAAACCTTCTCAATTTGAACTTTGCAGAGGAGTGAGCAAGCTCTCTAGATGACAGAGCTTTGCAGGAGGACCCCAGAGGAAGCACGCTGCTGAACCGTTATACGATTGCTGCCGTGTTACCACTTATGAGATGGAAGGACTGGAGCCACGATCCCAGTTGTGGCAGGCGTTATACGGTACGAATCTTTTTCTGTTTCTTTCTCAATGTCGGCATATGCCAGAATATCATGAGTGTCATTGGAGTTTGTAACGAGGTTATTGGTAATACCCCTTCCATATTCTAGAAATTTCATTTGCTTCATATACCTATGCTTCCTTTTTGGGGGGGGCACCCTTGTATGATGATGATGTCGACGGAGCTTCTATCCGACACTAGTTCAAAGAAAAGAAGAGGAAGAAGAAAAGAAAGAAAAAAGGACGGTAAACAGTAAAAACGCATTAAGCCACCCGGAAGTAGGTTGGCGGCGTCACTCTAAGCTCGCTCGCGGCGATAGCTCTTCAAAAATCCATAACCCTAAACACCTAGAAATCAAGAAGCGCCTTCTTCTTCAGACGGTTCCTCTAGTGACCGTTGGTGCCATTTTTCTGCTCGGCGACAGCCTTGTCAAGGGCCTGAAGCACATCGCGGCGCAGGTCCTCGGCGTCCTCAACACCGCAGCTGATGCGGACGAGGTCGTCAAAGACGCCGACGGCCTCACGCTGGTCCTTGGGGATGCCGGCGTGGGTCATGCTGCTGGGGAGCTCGACGAGGGACTCGACGCCGCCAAGAGACTCGGCGAGGGTGAAGATGCGGGTGAGCTGGCAGAAACGTTCGGCAGCAGCGTGGCCGCCCTTGATACGGAAGGAGAGCATACCACCACCCATGCCATCACGGTGCTGCTTCTTGGCGATGGCGCGGTGGGGATGAGAGTCAAGGCCAGGGTAGTTAACGGCAATGACGTTCTCTGAAGCCTCAAGGGCGGTGGCGACGGCGGTTGCGTTACGGGATGCCTCGCGGGCGCGCAGGTGCAAGGTCTTGATGCCGCGGTGGGCGAGCCAGCAGTCAAAGGGGGAGGGGACGGCGCCGATGGCGTTCTGGAGGAAGCCGAGGCGCTGCTTGAGGTCGTCCGAGTTGAAGGCGGCGACGCCCATAACAACGTCGGAGTGGCCGTTGATGTACTTTGTGACGGAGTGGACGACGATGTCGGCGCCAAAGTCGAGGGGGTTCTGGACGTAGGGGGAGAGGAAAGTGTTGTCGACGACAACCTGGATGCCGTGCTGGTGGGCCTGGGTGACGACGGCGCGGACGTCGACGAGGCGGAGGGTGGGGTTCGAGGGGCTCTCAATCCAGACGAGTTTGGTCGCGGGCGTGATGTGAGCCGAGATGTCGACCTCGATCTCGGGGGTGAAGGTAACCTTGACGCCGTGGGCCTTTGCGACCTGGGTGAAGTAGCGGTGGGTGCCGCCGTAGACGTCCGAGACGGAGATAACGTGGGAGCCGGCGGCGAGGGACTGGAGAACGACGGCGGTGGTAGCGGAGCCGGAGGAGAAGGCAAGTGCGTACTTTGCGTGCTCGAGGGCGGCGACGGCCTGCTCGAAGTTGTCACGGTTGGGGTTGCTAGAGCGCGAGTACTCGTAGACGCCTACGGGCTTGCCGACGCTGGTCTGGGCGAAGGTGGTTGACAGCGAGATAGGTTCAATGACGGCGCCGGTGACAGGGTCGTGAGGGGAGCCAGCGTGGACGGCGAGAGTGCCGAAGTTGTGGACGGGAGAGGGCGCCCGAGGAGGGGTATCGATAGGCTGCTCGGTGGGGACGGCCATGATTGCGACGATGGAGGGGTTCTATGGAGGGGTTTTGGAGGGGTCTTTTTTCTTTTTTGAAGAGCCGGTCTTGACCTTTAACAGAACAGGTATCGCGGCTTGTTTTTTAATAAAAAGAAAGTTCGAGGAAGACGGGAGGGATGAGGATATCAGACTAAGAAGGAAAGCCTCGGTTTTTTTGTGAGTAGAGTCGAGGGTAACCGAGCCGCGGGGTCTTTAACTTTTTTTCTGTCCTTAGGTCTGCTATTACGTATGAACAGAGGTCTGCTATTACGTATGAATACAGAAAAAAAAAACCCCCAGTCGGTATCCGTACGGTTGAGTGGGAATCGCCCCGCTTCGCCGGTAGATCGAAAAAAAAGAAAAAAAAAAGGAGGGAGGGAGAGAGAAAAGATGACGGTGCTTTGTTTCGTGGGTGCTCTGAGCCCTGAAAGCCTAGAGGAATCGATCACGCAATCGCGGCGCCTGCCGGCCAAGGTGATGAGTCAATGGGCTGGTCTAGGGTACTCAATTGGGGTTCGCGGTGGTGAAGTTCCGCGCTGAAAGAAGGCGGGACAGTTTTTTGCTATTTATCGTCGGCGTCTTATACTTTAGAGGGGATCCTGTTGAGTAGAGTTATATGATTGATGGCGACGGGTGGTCTACGACGGCTGATAGAGGCAAAGTCAAAGAGCAGTCACACCGGGAATCAGGTCCGGTGGATGGATGTTGAGGATGGCGCAATCCGGAGCTAATATGCAAGGCACTTAACTCTCGTAGGCAGGTAATGAGGTGCTCAAGAGAATCCTCCGGGGTTGGACAATTAGTGGTCGCGCTTGTATGTACGGTCGATCGGTTGATCGGGAAGGTCACACCAATACGGGGAAGGCAAGATCATATGGCACTTTATATTGCGATCCCTCGGATGGCGCCTTCGATTCTGACCACTCTTAGACACCCCGCCTCCAGCCGGAGCTGACATAGACTGAAGGAGCTGGGAACAGCCAACCAGGTTGATGAGTAAACTGGTTCGATGGGCTTCCGTCATCACAAATCCCGATGGTGCAAGACGTACAGTTTGCACCTTGCCGCGTCTGCTTGTCCGCTTGTCCGTAATCCGCAGTTGGCATGTAGGCATGTACGCGTATGTAACATGGTAGCAGCAGGGTCAGATAAGCTGAACGACCACGGCGCTGCGACACAACATCCTTCGGAACTTGTAAGAACAGGGTCTTCGGGGTATAGGTTCCGCATGCTGACATATCCACTTCTTGAATGTGAGTTCTGGCGACAAGGAGGGAAAACTACCTAGGTACGGTATCCGTATAGTGGAACCGAGACATCAAGCGGCCAGCTTCGGCTCTCCGTTCGATACCATGACTAATGGATTGTTTTGCTTATATCATCCTGAATGACAGCACCTCAATCCTAGTCAGCTGCCTTACTACTCCGTCACGCAGGTGACAAAAAAACGACCTCAAGACTGTATACCAACTAGACTACGGAGTACTAAAGTCGTAATTAACATAAGGAAAAACATATTGGGTGGCAGAAAGGGCAGTCTTGTATTAGATTGAGTTGATTTTTATAGGTATATATGCTCGATAATCTAATGTTGCGCTGTTTGTATAGTTAGTATAAGTAGTAGTATTATTACGTCAATTGAAGTGTGGAAGCTTTTGGCTAACCGCGTGCCCATCCAGCTCCCTGACAACGTTAGGTACTTCACCTAAAAGTATGTTTCACCTGCTCCAAGCTCTGCTGGTCTTGTCTGTCAACTCTATCTCCCGTCAAAAACGCAACGTAACGCTGCCAATGGCGACCGGGCCAGCGCCCCGTTGTTGACAGCCTGTTCTTTCTCAGATCACCTCACACGCACGTTGATAGAGTATACGTAATACATGTAAACGGCGGCGGATACCTAATCTTACCCAAGCCTTCGGGACGTGGCATCTCACATGTGCAAACCTGTTGCGTCACCAAGTATCACAACATGCACGCGGCAAACACAAATGAAACCAAACGCCGACGAGCATGGAGCATGAAGCCCTGTTTATTATTCCCAATGTGGAAGGTCATTTACGCATAAGCATTCCTCTGTCTCCGCCAGGACCGGCACCTAAACTTGTTCAGCGAGGAGCGAAACTCGCGGGAAGACTCCACGGCGAGACTGCAAAGGCCTCATTAAGGTGTGACCTCTCTTGTCTTGGAAATGGGTTTTTTTTTTTCCCTGAGACAAGTCTGCGCACGACGTGCGACCGATGGGAGCTGTTTTACCCTACCGGTGCCTTGTCGTTGTAATCTTCATGAAAAAAAAAAAACATTCGACGAATTGAGGTGCCCGCTTTGGGATATATGTTCTTCGACCAATCGTCTGCTTCCGTAGGGACTAGGGCAGGCCCGGTTAGCTTACTCTTACATAACCCTGTCGGAGAAAACATGGTCTCACACCTTGCGCAGAACCCCATACTAACTAACCCTTTTATGCTTTTTATGGTTTTGTTCCATCCGCTTTGGCTTGGACGTCCTTGCATGTCAAGTCAAGTCATGTTCCTACCGTAGTCAGTCAGAGGAGAAGACCATGGCAGGCGACCCATCGCCGATGCTCCTGGCAGAACCATCCTTTATCTCGCCGATTTATTACCTCATTGGGCGAATGACCGAAACGGACAGCACGGGGCCACAGGAGATCTCAACGCAGCATGGCAGTTCCCTCTGTTTTTCTGCTTGGTGTAATTCAATGCCTGCTTTATGATCAGTGTATTGCCGGCTCGATAGTACGCATGAACGAAACTTCCCGCGGCGCCGATATCACTCGGCTATCCTCTGAACACCCCACACGTTCTTGAGCTGGTACCCTCAAATCCAGATCCGTATGCGCCGGCGCCTTCGATAGCATCGGCTAAACACCAACCACCAACGCAAGACTGGCTAGAGATGGGTGGTTCACTAATGGCCCAACGTTGCCATCAATTTCCAGCCGTGATCAGCAGCCGCAAGACTTTCAAGCCCTTCAGCGCTTCGTCCTTACTCCCATCCGCTGTTTCAAAAACGACCACTATTAAGGAGAGTTCGCCCGCCGGATCCGACCCGCAAGTTGCGCTGGTCTATTCTCCGGAGACGAGGACTATGGTGTCTCACGTGTCCTGGTCGTGGTATAGCTCATCAACGCCGGACTGTTAGCGATGCCGCTGTTTTCTGCATGTAGAGCGCAGGCTCTCCATTAGCGGTTACCAAGCCGTGGCTTCCAAGGCATCCTGATGATACCTATGTACTCAGAGACAAGAGCGTCTTACCCGTAGATTCAACAATAGTATCCGTCCGAATCGAATAGCCATTTGGTCTGATGTAGCTACATTGGGAAGTATGGCCTGCCGGCTTCCTGCCGAGAAAGAACCTATCATTGGCCTGAAAGCCAAGGTACTGCCGGCTTCCTGCCGAGAAAGAACCTATCATTGGCCTGAAAGGAATTGAACCTGGTCTAGGTTCTTTACCCAAGGTATGTTTTTTGACGTGAGACATACTTGAAGCGCTATTGAAGCCGAGCTGAACGGGCCGCAAAATCTTAGTCGGTTCCATCTGCCTCTCACCGCAGGGGTTGCTCAGTCATCGCGTTCCCTGACGGCCTTGCGGTACAGTCGCTTCTGATAGTTATGACATACCTTATGGTTTTCCGGCGGGAGATCACCTTCACAGCTGCGTCGCTATTGGCAGTCAAAGTGATCCCAAAGCGTTGTTTGTCGACGGCCCATCCTGCCCCGCCGACTCCAGCGAATTCCCAATCAACGCCCATGGTTAGTGTACAACACGATGGCATCATCCATGAAAACCTTTGATATGTCAATTCAGCCGCCAAGATGTACTTCTGGAAACTTTCGTCAACGAACAGATGGCGGGTGAAGGATCGTTGATGCTATGGCCCCGTGCCAGAGGTGCTGTTCACAGACCTGAGGTCGGCCACAGAACAAGCCCACCCAGCCGTCCACCATGAACGTTACAGCTCGCGCTTATGCCTCAGTGTTCATAATGCATCCCTAATGCAAAGACCCCGAGATGTTTCAATAAGCACGTCTGCCAAATGCCGCTTGATTTGCCAGGTCCAATAGAGAGGGAGACAAACACCTAATCGAAATCCCGGTCAGATTCCTTCCCGTTCGGGAGCCGTAGCGCCGCCCTTCACAATGGCAGGGGTCGGCTTCCTGCATCCACACCATAACGCGCAGCATTTGAAGGTCTTTGATTCGACCATGGCGGCGGCCGCCACTGAATCCCGAACGACTGCCACCCCCACCGAGTTCGTCACTTCAAGATATTTGTGGGCACGTCGGTCCTGCGAACCTAATCATAAGCAAATATCAAATGCCAACTATACCGCCACATTCGAGAGGCAAGCACCTGTGGCGATGAAATGACACGATTCTGAACGTGGCGCGTCGACTGATGCGTGGAATCCCTTCCTTTCTTTCATTGTCTCATTACAGGCATTACCGCGAGCATATCTTCAAGACCGTCTATTACATTGCGCCATTGACTAGACACGGAACAGCCCGACGGACTCCTCCGAGCAATGAGTAAGTCGTCTCTAGCTCCCTCAGGCTTATTCGTCTGAGGTGATTCCCTTGCCTACCGAGACTCGTCACCGTAGAAGCCGTAGATGGGTCGCCGTCTAATTAGACCTTGCACCTTGCACACGTACTTTGCTTTTTACTCGTTATACCCTGGCTTTCAAGTTTGGGATCCTGGATCTGGGGTCGGTGTGTGGCGTAAGAGGTTGTGTACGTATATGAGAGCTGACGTACCCAAAGCAAACGAGGGCCGGGGTCAAACACGTCGGGTTCGCGAAGCCGACCTCGTACTCTAAACGGCCGTTTCGTTTTCCCCGGGAAGTTACAGGTACAGTGGTACCAAAGTCAGGCAGGAGGTATCTTGAGTAAGTACTTATGCGCATGTGCCGTACAAATCCCTGCGTGCACGACGAGTGTACATATCTTACCTACTTACCAAGGTACCTAGGCATCCGTGTTCACTTACCTAGTCATGCGTAAGAGGTAGGTAGGTACATGTGTGTCCTGTCTACCAAGGCAGAGGACACTCCAGAGTCCAGACGGCTGCTGCAGACACCTTTCGGCTTCCAAGGCGTACATCGTGGAATATTTGCACACGCACAGCCGTCCGGGGGTTTCCGCGACCATCCTTGATTCGCCGACTCTGGGGATCATTGGTAGTCTGCAGTCCATGGCGGACGCAGACACGACGTCCCATTCGTAGCTAAGTTATCTTCGGCGGTTGAAGGGAGATAGCTTACTAGGTAAACCACCTGGTTGAGTTCGTATGGCAGTTATGCGGCGATATGCATACCTCAATCAACCCGAGAGTTCTCGTGTACGTCCCAACTTTGCAGATGTAACAAGGTACCTGTGCCATGGTAGATCCTTTCGGTGTGGTTGGTTGCACTGCCCACTATCGACACAATGACTTCGCTTCCCACAAATCGATTTCCGGCCCCTCCCTTTAATTGGGCAGTATCCGTACACTCATTACCTTACCTTCGGTAGGTACCTATGGCACGATGCAGGTACCCACAGATAAACCACGTCTGCGCCTGCGTTCCTCCGCTTCTGCCCTGCAAAACACTGACAGACAGCAGTGACACCTTCCTTCCTTTCAGCCCGATATTCGCAACTTGACACCACCGCGCCTACTTACACACTTCATGCCATACTGACAAGAACCTTACCCTACCTGCCTGTCCCACCATGGATAGTTGATTTCACATCCAAACTCGAGAAAAATAGAGGGAAAAAAGGCAATTACCTTGCTTGCATACGAGGCTCGGGCCCAGCCAGCCCCATCGGCCTGGCCTGCCTGTCTTGCTTCATCTCGACGTGCGCTGAGGCTGCGACACGGGTTCCTTTCCTAGGCCTGTGCTGTGTTGGTGGGGGCGGGTACGCTCAGAAGAGACGGGGGGGCGGGGGCACTTTGACCCAGCATATACCTATTGTGGACAGCCCCGGAACAACAAACGATCTTACCTGGCTCCTCGAACCCAATTCGTCCATCTCCACAGCTGCAAGTTGCATAATCCTCCCCGAGACTGCGAAGCCGTCACACACTCCACTCCTCTTACTTTTTTACTTTTACTTTCACTACACGCACTGTTGGAACTGCCTTCTTTCCGTGCCCATTCGACTCCCTCGGCTTTTAAATATCCGCTTGTCAGCCCCAGCTCACGCCATTGGCCCCCCACATTACCCCTACTACCCCTACTGCCTATCCGATATCAACCAGGCTGCCTGCCCGTCTGTCATGCGCCTCGGCCTGCCCCCCATTTAGACTCCAAAACGGAAAGACATCGACGTCAATTGTGCTGTCTTGTTAACGGCACGTGAAGACCAGCTCACCCACATTTGCCTTATAGAGTGGGAACCCCTCACACCGGATACCCGTCCCGATCAACCACTCTTAGTCTCCGATCACATATATACCCTCCTTTCTTTCCTTCCCCCTGCTGTGTCGCCAACATGCCTCCTAGGAGATCACACAAGAAGTCGAGAGCTGGCTGCAAGCGATGCAAGTCGCGCAAGATTAAGGTAACGTCGCCGTGCCCCAGCCCCCGCACCTGCTTTCGCCTACGCCCAGCTCGGCCACCGACTAATACACTGCTTGTTGATAGTGCGATGAAGTTCACCCGAGATGCGGTAATTGCGTCAAGCACGGCGTACCTTGCGACTTTGAGAGCCCAGACATCCTCGACGATATCCTCGTTGCCATCACGCCGTCCAGCAGCACCTTGTCATCAAATTCTCTTGTCGACAGAGCCCCGTCCATGGCACGCTCTCCCTCCTTTACCGGTTCGAATCGAGGCAGAACGCCGTCGTCATCTACGGGCTCGCCTCCTGTCATGAACTACTCGCCGCTCTATATCAGGCCCTCCACCACTACCATTTCCACCGCCACCACTTCCAATAATCGGCTCCTGGAGTTACGGTTGATGCACCAATTCACGTCGTTGACTTCCCGTACGCTGGTGGTGGACACGCCCGCCATCTACGATATCTGGACGAATACGGTCCCGAGGCTGGCCTTCGGTGGCGCCAGTTACCTCGCAGATGCTATGCTCGCCATGTCTGCCTTACATTTACGGTCCTCCAACCCGAATGACAAGGCGCTCATAAGAGCCTCGCACTCGTACATGGCCTCGTCGATAGCGGCGTACTGTGCTTCTCTGCAGAATGGCATTACGGAAGCCAACGCCGAACCCCTTTTCCTGACTGCCACTCTTATCGCCTTTCAGTCTACCGCCTCTCGAATCTTCATACGCGACGAAGTCGACCTGAACGACCCTTCCAGCGCCTACTCTCTGCCGATCTCCTGGTTTCACGCATTCCAGGGCGTCAAAACCGTTGTGGCGACGTCCTGGCCTTGGATTCGGAACAGCAATATTGTTATTCCCATCATTGACTCGCAGCCTGTCCTTCAGCTTGACTTGGATGCCACATCGCCAAACTCATTCTTTGGGGGGCTCCTCGGTAACCTGGAAGACGAACTGCAGGGCGAAGATGACGCCATAACCATGTCGACAAGACAGTCGTACCAGCACGCTGTTGCAGTCCTGAATTGGGCACACAAACTGCCCCACCGCGGTGCTGCTCTCGCTTTCCCGGCCACGGTTTCAAAACGGTTCATCGACTTGGTGGAAGAGCGCCGACCCCGTGCCTTGGCCATTCTCGCCAGTTTCTTCGCGCTGCTCAAGGGCTACGAGTCAGCAGTGTGGTGGCTAGACGGCGTCGCGCGCAGAGAGGTTATGGGCATTGTCTCGCAATTCGAAGCCACCAGCCCCTGGTGGCAATACCTCGAGTGGCCTGTGAGGATCGCCCTGTACAAGGGCTCCATTATCCCGCCGGAGGTTTGGGGATCAGACTGGGTCGCCGAAGAAGGCAAAGCCGAAAAGGGTCACAGCATGACTACCGAGTCGTTCGTGGACCACATTGAAATTTTGACGAGGACCATTGCTACTGCGCAACAATTCTCGGTAGAGGGCATGAACATCCCGGCGCGTGCAATGTAAGCGGAGCAGCTGGCTGCTATGCGAACAAAATGCTCAGGGTTACATATCGCGAAGACTGGACTTCCATTAGATTGGCTAGTCCATACGGCATGAAAGGGAAAAGTATATATAGAGAGAGCAGTCTCGAAACTACGGAGTCTTGGAGCCTTGAGGAAGCGACGAGAGTTTGGTCAAAAAGGCAAGGGGAATGGTCAGGTTCACGGGTCTTGGCTCGTTCTATCATCCTCCCTCGTTACTTTCTTTTGATAACGGTCCACGATGAAATTAAGGGATAGGTATACCATCAAGGTATTTGGGATTATGGCTAGTATACTACGGAAATGGGTTTACGGTGTTTAACGCGATCGAAGCACTACAGCTGACTACAGCTAATAGCGGAGTTCTGGGGTTCTTCAGCCGGGACAGCTCAGGCAGGGCATATTCGCATTTTCAACATATCAGTATTTCTAGCATATGAAATTTGATGACATTATGAAAATGGCGGGCAACAAGCGGCACAGTCGGCGAGGGACCTCCTGGCATAGATGATCATCACAAGTGATTGTGGCCATGTGTTACCCAGCCAGATATTCTCGACTACAAGATGACAGCTAACCGTACCGCATCGGCAGGTTCGGACGACCCAGAGGCGAGCAAGCCGAGGATCGGCGCAAGTTGGTACGCACCATATGATAGAGGTGTACCAATATCTGGCAGCCCAGCCGGCAAGGTCAGTAGTTATCTTGTTTTCCCGCAAAATCTGCCGACAAGATACTTGCGTCTCATGCTCTGTAAGCTTTGGCCGATGTCGCCTTTTCTTTTTCGTTCGAGAAAAAGCCTGTGCTATTAGTTTACTATGGCCGTCCCGTCCCACTTGTGACGGCTTTTCTTGACCAATTTTGCGCATGGCAGTCTCCGTCGTTGCCGCCTTCCATTTACCAAGACGCACGGGAGTTCATGCTCTTGCTTAGGTAGGGGGAGATCAGTAAAGACTGGCCTACGATTGTCATGAGTGGGAGATAGGGGGGGGTGGGGGTTCAAGAGACCCTTTTTTTTTTCTCTTTTCTTTTTGCCCTTCCTTTCTTTCCTTGGTTGGTTAGCAATTTGGGTAGTGCGACGCAGGGACGCTGGTTGGGAACAACGTCGGTGATTGCTAAGCAAGGCGAATTGGATCCACAAGTGCTGGCATCGAACCTAGAGCCAGAGGCGCAGACCGGGGCTGGGTGCCATTGGCGCGCATCGGGAGCCAATACCGCCACCATTGATCAATGGTGTGTAGGCTCTTCGGGTGCACGCTTGTGGCGGCGCCGCCGCGACTGTCACAGCTGTACACGGCTAATATTAAGAGGTGCAGCGTGGAGTGAAGCGGCTGCAGTGGCGGAGAAGCACCTCAATTCGGCATGGTATGAGAGCTATCAACATGAAAGCTATGATATGGCAGCAACGACAATGAGGTCTGAAAGGCATTTCGCCAACGCTGCTCTTTGGCGGAGGGATTGGTCACAGGTGTTGGGATCATAGCTTTGACCCCAAGGTTATCTCAACATCAATCGTCCTTTGGTCTAGGCCAATACAATACGGGAAAGCCAATCGAGGTGCCCGTGCCAATGGCAGGTTCGCGCTTATTACAGTCTTGGGCCGTTTTGTCCTAGAGGCTGCTTCTCAGGAACTGGCACGCCGACTGATGGCCCTGCCGTCAGACTAACTCAGACTAACTCAGACTGTCCGGGCCATTTGCGTTGACAACAACAGGAGAGGTGGTACTTTAATTAAAATGGGCGGGTGACTCCCGCCGAAATGGCTAGAGAGAAGGATCACCTGAGAACCTAGTGAGAGCCTGCATGCAGAGCCGACAGAACCCGCAGAACCCGTTGATGGAAGCTCGCTTGTTTGGGTAATCCGGCAGGAAACCAAGCAGCCGAGGCCCCGGCCGGGGTGGCAGAAAGGAGGGAGTCTGCTTTCCAAAGGCTGATAGGAAGGGCAAATAGGTGTGGAGAAGAGAGGACGTGATTGGAGGGGTCGTCAATTCTTCCCTGAGGGAGCTGCGCGATGAAACGCCAGACTTCCCCCACTGCCAACCAAAGTGGCCCAGGTGGAACGGCCCATGTCAGCGTGGCAGCTTGCCCGCAGTGCTATTTGGTAAGCCGGCAGCTGGTTCGTCATTTGTTTCTTCAATATGTCTGAGGTAATAAAGCGGTGCTTGTTAGCTCCTGGACTCGGCTGGAGGAGTTGTAAGGTGGGTGGCTTGGCGGTGTACACAATATATTGGCTATACGAGTGCCATACAGATTCGGACATTGGCTGCATTCGGTGGAATCTGGAAGCGGGGATAAAAAATAATAATGAATTCGTGGGATCCCGTCAATTAGAGCAAGGTACGGAACAGGTCTCGGTTTAGTTGATGCTCGACGTGCATAGGCGAAGATAAAGTACCATCCCCTAGTCCAGGAACATGCGGAATGACAAGAATAACTTAATTCGTCCTCTGCTTGTTTTGTTTTGTCAACTCGAGGGGCCGTTTCCGCCTTTTTCGTCTCCGGCTTCATCCTGTCATCCCCATGGGTAACATTTGAAAGAAGACCGATTTCGTTGTCCATCGATCTTTGCTGCCCAATATGCTCGTCTCGGTCGCATCCGTCCTCCTTCTCGCCCTTTCCACGGCCAACGCCGCCCTCACTTACAAGGGCGCGGACTGGTCCTCGGCTTCGGTAGAGGAGAAGGCCGGCATCAAGTACAAGAGCAACTCCGGCGCCTCGCAGTCCCTCGAGGTTATCCTCAAGAACGCCGGTGTCAACTCGGTCCGCCAGCGCGTCTGGGTCAACCCCTCCAACGGCGACTACAACCTCAACTACAACCTCGCCCTCGCGAAACGCGCCAAGGCCCAGGGTCTGTCCGTCTACCTCACGCTGCACTTCAGCGACACCTGGGCGGACCCGAGCAAGCAGGCCATCCCCTCGGGCTGGCCGTCAGACATTGACAACCTCAGCTGGCGCCTGTACAACTACACGCTCGAGGTGAGCAACGCCTTCCAGCAGGCCGGCGTCCCGCCCGCTATCATCTCCATCGGCAACGAGATTCGCGCCGGTCTGCTCTTCAACACCGGCAGGACCTCCAACTGGTACAACGTCGCCCGCCTGCTCAACTCGGCCGCCTACGGCATCAAGGACTCGTCCCTCAGCCCGAAGCCCAAGATCATGATCCACCTCGACAACGGCTGGGACTGGAACACGCAGAACACCTGGTACACCAACGTCCTCGCCCAGAACGCCCTCAAGGCTAGCGACTTCGACATGATGGGCGTCTCGTACTACCCCTTCTACGGCTCTGGCGCCACGCTGTCGGCCCTGAAGACGAGCCTGACCAACATGGCCAGCAAGTGGGGCAAGGAGATCGTCGTCGCCGAGACCAACTGGCCCACAAGCTGCCCGAGCCCCGCCTACGCCTTCCCCAGCGACCTCAAGGACATCCCCTTTTCCGCCGCCGGGCAGACCACCTTTGTCAAGCGGGTCGCCGACGTCGTCGCCGGCGTAAGGAACGGAAAGGGGCTTTACTACTGGGAGCCCGCGTGGGTGGACAACCAGGCCTTGGGGTCCAGCTGCCCCTCTAACACGTTGTTCTCGTGGCCCGGTACTGCATTGTCGAGCCTGGATGTCTTCAAGAGCATTTGAGGGGCGCAGCGGTTGGTGGCAGCAGTGTCGGGGACGTTACGGGTTGGAAAGGCCAGCTTTGAAGGAGGATCTGGGCGTGAATCTATTTGCTTCGAGATATATATTCTTTGGACGTGGATCGTACATATTCAGTTTGGCTAGATAATGCAAATAAGCGCTCCGGTAGTATATAAGCAGCCATTGTCAATTCTGGTATCCTTTGCGGACCCATCCATCAACGAGTGACTTGGTTTGGAGTTGTACTCTTACATCTTATCGGTTTTGGAGGGTCTATATAAAGGCCCCGTATCAGCTCATCGCCTAGATGCATACACGCATAGAGACACATGTGATCGCCCAACCTTACCGAGACATAGAATGCACCGAGTACGACGTCTCAATATTGCCTGTTATAAATCCCTTATCAGACAGACGCAAGTCACGTTATGAATCGCAGGGTAAAGTAATGACATGCCTGCCAGTCATCAAATTCCTGCCTTGGTTTCTCAGAGAGGTGTGTTTTGGGAGATGAAGCATAACCACTAACGATGTGTTGCTATATTGTTGCAAATCAAGTACGATATGACGCTCCCAATGTTACCAAGGCAGTCAAGGGCATGGCTAGCTGTAGTGATATATTACAGCAACCTCGGCACCTTCGAAGCATTGTAGGGACGTCAGTACTAACAAGCTGGGGTGCAACAACTCGAAAAATGGTATAGCTTTTGTCCATGCACAGCAATGTCGATCGCCTTAAGCCAAGCCTGCTTACACCAGATTCCACGACGTCAAGCTTGGGTTCGGGCAGCACTAAACCGTTCCCAGTAATCTAATCACAGACGTCTCCTACGCGAAGAGACAAGCAACTGACAACCGATGCAGTTGTTGATGTTCTCTACAGGTAATTCTCTGGCTTCTGGGGATTGCCGAAAACAAGCTGTAGACCTGAAAGATGCGAATCCATGGCCGGGGCCCTGGAGCACATTGAATGCCATCGAGGATGCTCCCAGTACTAGGTCGCCAGGTAATAGGGAAATCAGTGGCTTGCGATGAAAGAGCCTCACATCGACAGCATGCAGAAGAGGAAAAACTATACACAAAGGCTAGAAGGGGAAAACCCGCTAGGAACATAGGCGGGGGTTGGAAATCAGCCATCGCGAATGCCTCGGGGAGACCGACCGAATAAATGGGGAGCGGACGCAGCCTCCTGCCGAGCGGTGCTTCCCACGTCGCCGGCCAGCAACAAAATCTTCGGGCGGCGGTGGAGCAGGCCGTCCGGAATTGTTGCATGACCGGAAGAGATGAGAAAGTGGGATGGTCCAAGCGCCCGGTGCATCATTCCTCAAGCGAGGTGCACAAAATAGTCACATGATCGCGGGGGGAGGGCAACCGAACCCTACAAAAAAGTAAAGCGGGCCCGCTCAGCGCGCAGGAACAAGCGAAACCTCCAAGCGATCGCAGGCCCTGTACCCTCTCCAAAACTTCGACACCACCGGCAATTCAGCTTATTCGCCTTCGATAGACCGCATCGAAAGCGAATCTCCTGACAACTCACGACCGCAAAGATGGCTGACGACCCCGAATACGTACGTGCGATACTGTTCCCTCTCTCCTGAGCGATGGAAGAAAATAAACCCAATTCGATGGGACCGAGGCCATTAGTGTGATGGTCAACGGATATGGAGGGCCTTTTTTGGTGGCTGCACAGAACAGATTGGCTGACTGGAAACTATCGTATAGAACGCTGAGGAGGCTGCCGAGCTCAAGAAGAGAAGAGCCTTCCGCAAGTTCTCCTACCGCGGAGTCGACCTTGACGCGTACGTTTAGCCCACATCTACATCGTCATGCCACTACTCGCACCCCACGATCATCGAAGAACACGATGATTGCATCATCGCTTGCCATCCCCACGACTCGAACAACCAGAACATGTTTCACGAACCAGGACGGCCCAGGCTAACATTGGTTTTCCAACAGTCTCCTTGACCTCGACTCCGAGCAGCTCCGCGATGTCGTCCACGCCCGTGCCCGCCGGCGCATCAACCGTGGTCTCAAGCGCCGCCCCATGGGTTTGATCAAGAAGCTCCGCAAGGCCAAGCAGGAGGCCAAGCCCAACGAGAAGCCCGAGCTCGTCAAGACCCACCTCCGTGACATGATTGTCGTCCCCGAGATGATCGGCTCCGTCATTGGCATCTACTCCGGCAAGGAGTTCAACCAGGTTGAGATCAAGCCCGAGATGGTTGGTCACTACCTCGCTGAGTTCTCTATCTCTTAGTACGTTCTCTTATGCTTAGTACCCGCTTCCGATGGGAGCAGACGCCCCTGGAACAACGCTAACGACCCAACAGCAAGCCTGTCAAGCACGGTAGACCCGGTATCGGTGCCACACACTCTTCTCGTTTCATTCCTCTGAAGTAGAGGATGGTTGTGGGCTGTCTTAGGGAGGTTCTTGCATTCAAACGGGCATCACGGCGAAACGGGAAATGGTTTTGGTAGCAAGGCAAGGCCGCTACCATGTTGTTTGGGCGATGATAGTTCAATACAACATCGTTGTCCGCTAAAAAAGTTTGAGCCTCAAAATGGGAATGAATTCAACGAAGAGATACCAAAATTACATGCGCACTCTTCTGCTTCTGTGTCCACCGTGATCAGTTGCCTACCATCTCGCCCATTAAATAAGATTTGAATGGACTTATTTGGCTTTCTGTACAAACCCCAATTTCCCCATGTGCTGGACTGTCACTGACCGAACCCTGGGTGGCACCGGGCCCACGAGAAATGGTATTCAACCTCCATTCACATCTGGAATGGAGTCACAGTGACTACGACCTTTGGCAATATAGGCGATTAAACACTTGGGATATATCATGCTCTATGGTATCCTAACATCCGGCACTCTCACAACTCTGCCTTAGCTATCATCTTCAGCTGCGCCTTCTCGTGCGCGTCTAGGCGGTCATACAACTCTCGGCTCCAGTGGGTCCTGTCTCCCTTGTTCTTCTCCATAATGCTCTTCACAGCGACCTTCCAGTTCTCGTCGTTGACGCGGTCGGCCACCCTCTTGGAGGTGTCGGCCTCGGACGCTTTGAAAAAGGGCCACACGCCCACCTCGGCGCCCATATTCTCGTCAAGGAAGGTGTCCAGCACGAACTGCCCGGCCTTACGCTGCGCAGTCTCCCACCGGGCGTCCTGGGGGCCGAGGACCTCAAGGATGCGGTCCATGCCCTTGTTGGCGATGAAGTCGTCTCGGATCGCCGGGCTCTTGGTCAGGCCCTTAATCGCGGCGATCTGCGCCTTGGCCTTGTTCGCCGCGCGGAGAACGTCGTGTTCGGTGTCCTCTGGCGGCGGTACGAAAGAGGCGTAGAACCCGTCGCGGAGCTTGAGCTCTGGTGCCTTGTGGGGCGAGCGGCACGAGGCGTCCATCAGCTGAGGCCAGACCTTGGCCACCTCTCTGAGGGCGGTAGGGTTGTTCTGCAGCGCGCCAGAGATGATGGCGGCGGCCTGTTGGTCACGGGGCACAGCGCCCTCGGACGGGGCCGGCGTCTTGGGGTCAACCATTAGGCAGAATAGGGACCTGACGGTGTCAAAGGTCTCGGTGATCTTGAGCCCGTAGTAGATGTCGTGAGAGATATCCTCAAGGAACTCGAGAGCCTCGTCAATGGGAAGGTCGCTTCCGTGCGCGCCCTTCTTGACGAACTCGAGGTTGGTATAGAACTCGCCCGACTCCTGTTGTGGTTGCTTGACCTTACCGACGGGTTCATATTTGGGCGCGTCCTTGTGGATCTCAATTTCTGGGGCCTTGTCCGACTCTACGACCACCACCGAGCGGTCTACAGGGAGGTCCTCCAGGGCTGGGTTCTTCTCGTCAGGGTCGTTGATTTTAGCTTCCTTTAGGCCCGTATAGATGTTCAAGCGTACATGAAGCCCAGGTGGTAGTTCTTGGTCATCGTGAACTTTTTGGAACTCTTCTGTTGGTTGGAAGATCTTGGGGTAACATTCTGACGCGTTATCCGTGTGGCAGATGAGTTCAACGTCGGCTGATGGTGAGGATGCGGCTGGTGCTGCTGAGGCGGAGGCTGATGCTGGCGATGCCAAGAAAACGAGACCAAAGATGACCATAAAGATGGTGAAAGGCAGGAGAGATACGCGAGTAGACTTTCTCAAGGCCATCTTGGACATTGGCAGGGTCTTTGACATTTGGGAGGGGTATCTTGTGGAATGAAATAAGTCTGACGGTTCGAGGTTGCGTTGAGTTAAGTGTGTGGTTCAGGATGTCACCCCAGTCGTTTGCGACTCAACTACAGCCCAGTATAAATGAGGATTGATAGCTGCAGGTGGAAACCCAAGTGACTTCGCTGACTGTGGTCAACGGATATAGTTGAGTGCAACGGGTTGGCGCGATAAGAAACCATGCAGCTTTATAAAAAAACACATAAATCGGAAATGAGTCACTGATGAAAAAGGACAGTTTACCATCACGAAATAGAAATCTGTCGAAGTCATCCGTCTGGCCAAGTTGTCTCTACATGCCCCATTAAGAGGCAAATTCACTTATTTGAATTCGGCAGCTTATGATTGGTGGATCTAGACGCTTAGCCGCGCTCGATCGCGCCAGCGCTTATCCGCGAAAAGTGACGCTCCTCCAGCACCTTGGTTCAACCTCCACACGCCGAAGCTCCCTCCTTCAGTTCGACGCCGTGCCACCCCTCTCAATAACCCGAATCCTAATCGTCAATTGATACCGCTCCACAACGGCATTCAATATGCAGGCCATTCGAACGCGGGCCGTCTGCATGGCACGTCAGTCACGGCTGACGGGCCTGCGCCAATCGAGATCCTACGCCTCTGGAGGTGACCACGGCCACCACGCCCACGCCGTCGAGGAACCCATCGGAGTACGTCCTACGCATTTCTGGCGACCAATTGTCGCCCCTTACTTTTCGTCGTGTCGCGGTAGAACTCAATTGACTAACGCTTGTTCTTGCAGGGTTTCTTCTGGGCCGTCGTCGCCGTTATCCCCTCCGCATACGTCGTTTACAAGATCACCGCACCCGGCAAGGATGGCGAGGCGCCGTACCTTACCAAGAAGATCCAGGAGTACGCTCACTGGCAGGAGACGTGGAAGGAGAGGAACGCGCTGCACACCAAGGCCGTTGAACAGGCCGGCTACGACAGGCTACTCTTCTTCTCCACCCCTGCGAACCGTGATGTCGACCTTAGATTCCCTGAGTGAGTTAAATACCATTCCGACGCCAGATGGGAAGAGAGAGAAGAGAAAAGAGGGAGGAAGGAGGAATTGTGCGTGGTCGGTGGTTGTGTGGGGTGAAGTGATGAACACGGCACGATGGGATCAATGCTAATGATGCAACTTCTGCCCAGGGCCCTGTCCAGCAATGCCGCGCGCAACGTTGTTGCGGGTTCCCAAGTCAACTTGGATCATGTTGTTGCTCACTACAAGAAGCAGCATCTCGATGAGGAAGAGCGGAAAGCGCAGAAGCTTGCCGCGCAGAAGCAAGCATAAGTGGGAGGTGGTGTATGATACCGTTACATAAATCAACCTAAAGTTGAATCAAGCTTTTCAGTTCATTTGTTAACATTCAACCTCTCCTAAGCATGTGGAAAATGCTAATGTTGCCTGCGTGCCCAAATATGCACATGACAAAGGTCTAAAAGCGAGGGGTTTTATTTCTTCTTGCAGCACGCCGAATTAGTGGAGATGGGGTTTTCTCATCATTCTTTACGAAGCACAAGCATACACTGGCGGCAATAAACCGCTTGTCAATCGGTCAACAATGGCTTATTTTTGTCACATCCATCCGCTTAGTTCTGTTAACAGCTCTCCCTTCTCACTGCGTCCAAGCAGGTTTCTTCCTATTATTGCAACTATTATCCCCCAACCTTTGGCTTTCCAGTTCCATGCCCCTTTTTTCTTGACCACCGTTTACTCTCCTATGTTCCCTTTTCTAAACACCGTTCGTCAACCCTTCATGTGGTGCACTTTCACCGCCTCCATTTCCTTTAATTACCCTTGCCTTTGGCATATAACGTCTCTAATCATTTCTGTTGCCTAGACTTCATTATCTCTCTCCTCGCACTCGCCAATTTGGGGGGTTATCCGTCAATAGCAGCCCATCATATCACTATTTGTGCTTATCGCAGGAGATCAGACCCCTTCTCGCTGTCGCCATGGCATCACTCGTAACATGGGACGAGATCCTGGCCATTGAACTGACAAAAAAAGCCCACCACTAAAGTAAAAGTGAATCATCACTATGGAACTGTAGCTGTCAAAGAAAATACCAGTTCCTCCCTTCATATTTGAGATTTAAGCTGCATGCAACAAGCTCCAGAAAAGCTTGCTTGGGGGATGAAGAAATCCACACTCATATACCACCGTTAAGGGCCAAAGGTCAAGACGAGCGCGACAAAGAGTGGCTTCAGTATGACGCTACGCGGCGTAAGCCAGCCACTCGGTAAGGCCGAGTAGCTGCTCAGGCAACGTCGTTTCTATCCTCCCCATATCGCCACGACATTTATAACAATATCTATATAGTACTGCAGAGATAGGAGTAGAAGAAATAGGAGAGGCGACCACAGTAGCTACCTAGGTAGACATTGCAGTCACCAAACAAAGGGGATGCTAAAGAGTGCAATGATGCCATGGGGATTTTGAGTGGCTGGTGTGGGCAGGTACGGTTAATTCACATGGTGATCAAGGAAAGTTTGGGCGTCCCAATGACAGAATCTCGAACTTTGTGATGGGCGCTGGATAGCAGAACTTGGGTTCAACGAATTTATTACCAAGCGTGCTGCTCAAAAGTAGTAATCGTTCGTATCCGATGCTTGCTTAAGCTGCCGTTAAATCCTGCGACAACAGGATAAAGTACAGGCTACAATCATGTCAAAATGTGTCCTCAAAAAGAGTCCTCATCAAGACCGTTCAAGTCCCGTTGCCAAGTTTCAGCACTGCGCGCCAAACGCAATCCGACTCACCCCCAAGCGCTCCGTCCCGGGCCAAGGGTTGTCAAATCGTGGCGTAAATCTCCCGCAGGCACCTTTGGGACCCTCTCGGTTTTTTTTTTCCATGCCCGCAAATTCTTGGGATCGACCTTTCGGAGCAGTCCTTTGTCTCAGTCTCGGAGCTGTTCGGCTTAAGCCCTCTTTACGAGGGTTTTGCGTGAGAAACCGAAAAATTAATATGAGGCAGTAGTTGGAGCTGATCGGTAATCGTGTCATGTTTCCCCTGGGTATTGGTGTCGCCGGAATCCGGTCGGCTGCGAGGGGGAGACAGTGCCTCCTGGCAGTGACGGCTTGTTTAGAAGCCGTGGACTTTGACGAGCTGTAGAGGAATGGGTTAGCATGTCTTGGAGCTTTCAAGTAGGGAATGCGGATGTGTCTTGTAGAGATTTTGGGACCGG